ACGTAAGACGAGCTTTTCGCCGCGACACATTTTTACGTTAAAAACCAGCGTCGTTGTTTTTCAACGTACGTTGATAGGATCATCACTGTGATACATAGATCTATGAGGGGCATTTTTTATTGAATGTACCTTTCCCCTTTTGATTTTTAGATCAAAAAAAACTCCCGTGGGATGTGGTGATAGGATTGTAGTTTTAACGCCGTACACTTTGGCTCGGTATCCTACACAAATCCCCTCCATAGTTTGATACAGTAAAATTCCTTCAAAGGGCCTGAAATTCGTTTGATCGTCACTAAACTTTGAAAATGGTTCCTAAGTCACCCTCGCCAAATGTAATGATAACTGAAAGGGTTCAAAAACGGTCGGTGGGTCATTATTTACCGAAGCACCACCTTTACTCCTTAAAAAATATTGAAAGTAAAAATGATAACTAATGTGTTACCTTGGAAAAATATAAAGAAAAAGCCTGGCTATGGAATATTCTTAAATTTAATTAGTCTTATTATCAATTATGATTATGTTTTATCAAGCCATTTATACCCCCCCCCCCGATGCCATATAGAATCATTGGACCAATTTTACCGGTATCATGACCGGATTTCGTACCGGTGGAGTGTGGGGGGGAACCTTTACCGACGCTTGTTGTTTATCCTAAGATTTACCAAATCCTTTAGTTAAAACACTCTCATTAATTGTTATTCCGGGAAATCCTCCTAGGCGATTAAAACGCAACTGGTGCAGAGATATGCTGACTTAATTTCATAATAATAAATAAAAAAAAAAAAAAAAAAAAAAAAAAAAAAAACCAATCAATAAATATAGATGTATCTGAGAAAGCTTAATTTATAACCTCAATTAATAAGTGTCATCACTGAGTGGCTTCTTTTATCAAGCTATTCATGTTTATTTTATTATATTTTAGCTAATACTCTTGTTGTACCAACGAGGTACAGATTGTGTATTTAATAATAAAGGGGAAAAAAAAAAAACCGAACTATAAAAATCATTCGGGATTTGACCAAACTATTTCGTGTACCTAAACTGAGTTTTACTGGTATTCATACTTTTACAGTAACACTTAAACACTATAAGCGTGCTCACTCCATTTTTTCGGTTAAATTTTACATAATATATTCATATTCTGATTTTTGGAATTTTTAAGTGTAATTAATGCGGATATTTTCGAATATTTAGATTTTTCACAACATTTAAAGAGTATCCTGTGGTGATACCAGCCTGGGTTTTTCAAATGAGAACCTATATAAAAAATTCCAAGAATAGACGGGGTATTACGTTAAATAAATTTTGGTGTCAACATTTTTGATTTCCGTCAACCCGTTAACGAGATATTCCACTTCTAAGTTTAGGTAGGGGGATAGAGTAGTGGAGCACTAGTAAAACGGCGCGCGCCGTGAAGCCACACAAATAATGCTCCACTACTCTATCCCCCTACCTAAACTTAGAAGTGGAATATCTCGTTAACGGCTTGACGGAAATCAAAAATGTTGAAACCAAAATTTATGTTGATTAATACTCCACCCATGTATGGACTTTTAACTAAAGGTTTTATTTAAAAAAAATAAAGTTGGTATCACCACAGGATACAACTTAAGTGTCGTGAAAAATCTAAGTATTCGAAAATAGGTCATATCCAGTGGCGGCCCGTACTATGGGGCACACGGGCACGTGCCCTGCAAAATTGAAAGAAAGAAGGAAAATTATATTAAATTAAAATTGAGTTGGTGTTTCCATCATAATAATATAGTTGGCATATTATTTAAAAATATTATAGAAAAAAAAAAAATGTAATCAAAATAAATACGGGTGCTCATGCGTACAATACAATTAGATTTCCCCCATTTTTCGACAAGAATTAATACGGCGTTGCCGGGCACAGTCGGACCGTGCCCGGATTCTATTTTTATTACGATTCACGGGATTTTGTCGGTCTTATCGACTTCGTATTGCTATCGTCGACCGTCTTTCGTGGCACAGTATTTAAAAAATCAACAGAAATTGGTGGTAAGATCAAAGTTGTGATAGTACAAAATGAGGGAAATTTTTGTGCCCCACCTGCAATGAACCCCACGAGCCGCCATTGGTCATATCAACCTAAAAAATGTTGACAAAATCCCAATTCCCACGTCTTTTTCTATCATAAGTGAAATATCGGTTTCATACCAATGGCAAGTTTACGACAAACGTATACCGAAACGGATACAGTCATAGATAATATAAGAATGTATAGGCCACTCCTATATTAATTTGATAAAGGGCTCTCACTCACACAGCAAGGGGGTTTACCATTAATTACATTTCACATTTCAATAATAATAATAACTTAATCAACGTATTTGTATTTGAATTTCGCTTACCAAAACAATTTCTAGTTTTTCAATACAATTTGATATTATTATTATCGTAGTTTTCACAAAATTAGAAAGATTGAAAGATGATAATATAAAGAAAAATCGTACCAGGGCTAAATCAACAAAATTTATACATTTCTGACACGAATAAATTCAATAGAGAACCTACTATTATTATACCAAATTTTCATAAACCAGAGTTGTGATTTATATATATATATTTATATTTTTCTAATTTTGTATTATGTAGGTATATAAATTATTAATTATCTATAAAGTAATTTGATTTTTTTGTCAAAATATTAATACGTCATAATAAATAATGATATATATAATTATTAAGTACTAATTAAGTTTAACTAACTAGCTTAATTCATACTAAATTAAAGTAAAATGAATTATGAACTATTAATTATTTTTGTTCAAGTTTACAACTTTATTGATAAAAACCCATTGTAACCTTAAATTATAAAAATGTTGTTATCCTGTGATAAACTCTCATGGCCTATCCATTCTTATATTATCAATGGGTACAGTACTCCCGATTTTGATAACAACTGATAACAGTTTTGGGAGATTGATTACACCAACCTTAGGAACATTAATTTCTTGCACAAAAAAAAAAAAATGTTTTATTACACTACTGTTCTAAACAATTTCTATTTTATTGTGATAAAAGTTGTTGCATTTCTGCATTTATTCCGTAAAAAATTCGATTGCCACGGATACAGTAGACGTACTACCAAAAATTCATTCGTTTGATATGATCCGTCCAGTGTGTACGATGTGGACATTTGGACGCGTATCTTATGGTGGTCGTTTTTTTAATTTCCAAGCAGTTTTCAAAATAATTGAGGAAAAACGGGAAAATTTACCAAAATAATACTTCCATTATTTTCAATTTTCATTATTTTGTTAGCAATGATTAGTTGTTACATACAAAAATACATTAATTTCCCCTCTATATCCTACTTTCCCAACTTCTCACCTACAACAGTGGCCATCGTGCAAAGTATATCAGTCTTTTTTTTTCTATAGAGATCTTGATAATAAATGTAAAAAAAAGCCTTCGATGGGGAGGAGGTTAAGAAATAAATGTATTAAAAACAAGTTTTCAGTATATAGACACAATTCTTCTTACACTAAACATACTACATCAGACATGTTAAACACTTGGCTTGCGACTAATTTTTTTGTGGCTTATGGCTACCAATATTAATGGACAGAATAAAAAAATTATAAAATATTAATTCTATTTCTTTCGGAATAGAAAGTTGGTTGCAGAAAAGAGATGTCAAATATCTTCAAAACAAATTATTAATAGATTTTTTTTTAAATTTAATTAAATTGTAATTAAAACGTAACCCAACGATTGTTATTGTAATTAAAACTTTTAGTTGTTTAAACATGATGACAACTGTAAATTTTGCATATTATATAATAGGTAAAAACAAAAATTGGCCTTATCTAAACTATTTGGGATTGGTCCCCTTCGTTTTAAACTTCCACCTGACATCATGATACCACGGGAGTATTATGATCCCTTTCTACAGGGAGAATAATATTATCAACAATAAAGTAAATTCCTCCACACTACAGAAACAATACCATATGCATACTGGAATCACTCAACTGAGCTTTCTATCAGTAAGAGCTGGGGGACCCCATGTTCACTAAACTTGTAACATACAACTCCCTGAGGTTACATTTTGATACGAAAATAAAAATAAAATAATTGAAAGGTTGCTAAACAAAAAAATATGCCAACAATTTTTCATATATAAAGTATGATATATATGATACATATATAAAGTATATACATAAATATTTTTCAATCTGTAAAAATGTTACGATTTTTTCATGTCGTACCTTATTAAAATATGTGTCCAAATTTCAAATAGTTTTTAAATTAAATTTAAAGAAAACTAACTATAAATTTCATTTCATCAGTTCTATGATTTGTGGTTTTTCAATAGAATAGTACAAAGTGATCTATTTAAATGGGCACTCATTATCACGGAAAGTATTCATTTTTTCAAAATTTTGTTTTTTATTTTGACAATGTTAGAACATGGGGCTCTGACATGTTATATTACCATTATTTATGTCACTCTTATTTTTAATATATTTCATTCTCAAAAGCACTCTGTGTTAAAAAAATTCATAAATAGATTGAGTATTAGTTTAAATAAATTTTGATGTGGACATTTTTGATTTCTATCAACTCATTAAAGAGAAAGTAGTGGAGCTATCTTAAAATGACGCACAGTATACAAATGATGCTCCATAACTCTTCCTAACCAAACTTAACTGTGGAATATCTTGTCAATGGGTTGACAGAAATCAAAAATTACCACACTATAATTGATTTAAACTAATATTATTTATGAAATTTTTACACAGGTTGCCATCTGACAATCAAAAGAGTCATTTCACCCTCAAAAAAAGTTTGGTAAAAAAAATGCTCAAAAATAGTTAATATTCTCCAAGATAATGAGTATATTGACTTAAATGTGTCACCTTGTATAATAAATTAATTTATGTATTCTACCTTTCCAACAACAATATTATTTTTTTATAATTAATTTTAAAGTTTTAAAATACAATTTTGTTTTCCAATTATTTAGAAATATGGCTGAACTAGATAGTGAGGACAGTTTGGATGGAGCATTAGTTATAGATGAACCTCAGGATGAACCAAAATATGATTTACACCAAATTAAAATATTAGAAAGTTCTGATTCTGATGTGGAAATTATTGAAATAAAAGACGATGATGAGATTTCTCCATCCTCTAATAATTTACTCAATTCTGATTCCGATGTGGAAATCATTGAAATAAAAGATGATGATGATGAAATTTCTCCATCCTCTGATAATTTAATCAATTGTGTCAAAAAGTTCAATGATAGTTTAGGAAATTGTATTAATGTATCAAACGTTCAACAAAGGGTCACTAAAAGAAAAAAATCTGAAGACCTTACACCTGAACTCTGTATTAAAAATAAACGAGGCAGTCCACCAAAACTCAATAATGGTTTCAAAAATCCACTTCCTCAACTTATTCCCATAAATAGACCAATAATATTAGCAAACACAGAACCTCAAGACGAAAAAAAAATATTCAATCTTCAAACAGAATCAAAAAAATACAATCTTACTCCTCCCAAAAATAATCCAGAAAATAATTTGCCATCTCTTAGTCAAATTTTAATTAATGAAATTGAACCAGAATATCCATGTACCACATGTGGTCAAATATTTAGACATAATATTGGACTAATATGTCATTTAAACGATGCACATAATATTATAACGACTGTAGCAGAAGCAAAAGATAAAAAGAAATCATATACTAAAGTGCATGAAAGAAAAAAAAGTATAGAAAATGACGAACCTACAGTAGAAACAATTAATTTAACAATGTTGCCAGATTTAAAAAAAGATACTTTGTTGAGTAGAATGAAATCATATGTGTATAGCCCTAACAAAAACGATGTGATTTGTGTTTTGTGCAAAGCAGAGTTTAAGAATAACAAAAAGGCATTAGCTCATGTTGAAGACAAGCATATTTCCAAAAAAATTGAGTGTGGTTACTGTAACATGAAATTTGTGTACGAATTAAAATTGCGAAGTCATATGGCGAAAAGACACAAAATAATCTGTGTTCTTAAATGCGAAAAATGTGCAAAGATGATAAACAGAGAAGAGTATGAATCTCATTCAGAAAAATGTACAGGACAAATGAATACAATAAATATCAAAATAGAAGATTGCTCTTAATATGTTTTAAATTTAAACTTATTATTTTTGTAAGTACATGATTACCTAAACTAAACATAACAAAATAGTTACAATTTTAAACTGTTTTCTCATTAAACCTATTAAAAATACACCTAATAGTTAATTTCATTATAACCTTAGCTTAAAAATTATGTACTGCAATGGAAAATAAATATAGTTCCCAAAGTCTTCATTGTAGGTAAACATAATAATAATAATTATTGTTATAGATACATATATATGTATAGAGAAATCTCACCAAGGGCAGTCTTGTCAGTTCTTGCAGTCTACCATAAAGTTTTTATTAGCACTAAGTGTCTGTTAACAAACATAATTTTGCCTATTTACGGCAAATATAACTGCTAAAGTAATTAATTAAACCCAAAAAGAATAAAAAAAAAAAAAAAAAAAACCAATACTATATTAGAAGATTAAATGTACAGGTAATTATTTTTCTTTTAACCGAATGCAAACATTAAGAATTTACTAATTTTTAGAAAATTAAATTAATAAATAACTACATTTAAAATAATAAATTTAGTGTACTACTTATAATAATACACATGGACATTAAAATATTTTTATTTCTCAAAATTCTAGATACTGACCGCATAAAATATATTTGTTTCTTTTTACAAGGTGATTCATTTAACATAAAATATCCGTTATTTCTCAAAATATGGACTTTATAAAAAATTCTTATAATTTAAGAAACAAGCAGCTCAAAAATGTTACATAACTATTATTTTTTGTCATACTTATTCATTGAGGTGAAAAGACTACCTACTTTAGATTTTTAAGTGGCAACCCTATTACAAATTACATAAATAAATATAATATTAATATTATTTTAAATACATTATGGTATGGAAATTTTTGATTTCTGTCAACTCATTGACGAGGTATTCCAGATATACAAGTTTAGATAGAGGCAGAGTAATGGATCACTATTAAAACACTACGTAATGTGCCGCCATACAAATTATGATCCACTATTCTCCCCCTACCCAAACTTAAGTGGAATATCTCAGGTGACAAAAAATAATGGTAATGTAACATAATAACAATAAATTGATTTGTCAATAATATAATACAGGTATATAATAGGTACCTAATAAGATTTATTACAGTCTTCTTTATTTTGTATTATTGAAAGTTACCCTGTATATTATATATTTTGCATTCAACTAACTATTCTTGTTTTCATGCAATAATTAACTAAAATTGATATACCCACTTTTTTTTCTGAATGATTTTATTTACAATGATAATCAAATAACGTGTATTTTGATAACTTTTACTTATTAAATTAAATACATTAAAAAATGTTAAAATCTCAGTTGTAAGTGAGTTTCTGCAAAACTAAAATATGCCTTGGGTCAAATTGAAAAGGAGTTATATAGATGTACATATTCTAAATAAAATTGTATGTTTTTTAAATATTTAATATTAAATTTGAATTGTATATTTCTTTTTTAATTAATAATTAAATTAACAAAATGCTCATACAAGCTACTTTTGTCATTTAGTTGGTATTATTAGTGATGTTCTCATCAAATTTGTTGAGGGTATACTCAGCACAATTTCAACAAATGAATTGAAAAAATTGAGAGTGCTAAAAGTATATCCATATTTCATTCCCCATATTAAGTTTCAGACTGTAACTTCGGTATTTTATATTACGCCTTTGATTAAAGGGCCTGTACACATAATTGTTTTTTCTGTATGTCTTGTGCGTAATATAACAACAAATATAATTTGCACTTTAACAATTGCAACTCTTTGGATGAGTTTAGGACAAAGGTGCTTATTATACATTTTATAAAAAAATACATTTACTATGCCATGACGGAAAGATGTTTGATTATTTCATTTTTATAGAAAAATAAGTTGTAATTTCTCTTAGTTCAAATCATGAATTACTAATTAATAGGGCTCGGATTTGAAGATAAAAATGGGTTTCATTTAATATCTTAAGAAAATGGATGAATATTTGTTTTGCTTATTTTTCGCCTTTGTTAGTAATAAATGCCTTTTTGCTTTTTTGTTTATAATTTTCAATTGATCTGATTTTATGTACATATTAACGGTACAAATCAATAAGAGCTTGTGGGCTTTATTATCGGTGATATTTATCAATATCACTAAATACTTTATCGGGTATTTGATAACTGACTTAAAGTAATATCTAAAAACAAAGATTGGAAAACATAAAAAAAAAAAATTAATTTTAATTTAAATGATAATTAATTTATGAAATGTGCATCAATAACTTTGGGGTATGTTGAAAGATCATTCTCTGTGTACAAAAATATTTTAACCCTAAAGCAGAACTTCAGAAGAAAATGTATATAAATATTTTGTAGTTTTTTTTTTTAATACAAACTAGTAAAATTGGACATAAACCTATTACATTTTTATTAATTTATTTTTTTATTGTTCAAATTTTATTTCACTAATTAATTATTTAAAGTAGTTTAGATATTCACCATTAGCAATAATAATACAATAATACTATTATGTTTATTAATATTATTCTGGTCATTTCTAAATACTAAATTTAATACTAATTAAAGCAGCAATGCATTGTTTTGTTAAAATTTGCTTTATATTAGAATATAAAATAAATGTATTTATTATACCAAATATATATTAAAAATAAAATTGATGACACTTGTGTTGTTTTAGGATTCATGGGTAATGTTACATTTAGTGCTCAAATTATAGGTAGGTATATTATCTAAAGTCATATCAACTGCCGTTTTAAGTTTCCATTACAATAAATTATTCTTAATAAGAATCTAATGTTTTAAAGCTTTTATATTCTTTATACATGTTTAGTTGTAATTAAATTGCATACTAAAGTTATAACTGCAATTTTATCCGCTGCATTCTGACCTGGCGGCCAGTTGATACAGCATTAGACGACTCAACTTATTATTATTAATAAAATATTAAGAGTCAAAACAATAATTCGGATTTAAACATAAATTTAGAATAAATGTATTTCATTTTCCATTTATTTTTAATGGATACACCAAAAAATATTTTTCAAGTTTGATTTATATTGCAGATATAAATATATAGGGAATATTATAATTTAGTTTTATATAAACTTTGTCTGTAGTTTTAGAGAAAAAATAATTGCACCATTATAATATGTTTACTAAAAACTACCATTGTGTATTATTATTTTATTTAAGGTGTAATTATAATTTTACTTATACACAGTGGTGTGCGCAGGAGGATTAGTTAAGCCCCTTGTTGGATTAAAAATACAACAAATATCACTGTTTATAATGTTTATATAGTAATGTTATCTAGAAATTTTATATTTTATTGTCATAATTACAAGGAACAAATCTTGATTTATTGAATAAAAATTGACTTTTTTGGAACCTACTTTAAATTCTCATGGTAAAGTTAGGTATAAACAGAAAAAGTGTTCTGGGCATGCAACTGCTGATATGTTCCTATTGTATTTATTTTTAATATTATTATCTTAAAAGTTTATATATGTGTCATGTGTTATTGAAATCGGTACATATTTTATAAAAACTTATGAGCAATATATAATGAATAATATATTTATAATATTTATACAGTACAAACCCATAGAAACTATATGTTCAGGCTGTGCATTGCATCTACGCACTCTTCTATTAGACTTGATAGAGGACCTTCTCTTTTTTTTTTCTTTTAGTGTTTGGCCTTTAAGACTATCCCATAAAAAAATTCTTCTCTATCTTCAGTTGCTTCTTGGGTTCTTGGGTCTACTACTTTTACATTTCTTCACACAATCTATCCATCTTAAACATGGCTTTCCTAATAGTCTTCTTAATTACTACTTTCATCAATGTGTTAATTTTTTAATAAGCACGTCTGGCCTACATTAATATTATTTTACTAATTTCTCTCATAATTCATGGTCTTTGGTACAGATTTTGGAATTTCTCAGTATGTCATCTTTTCACCTGTTCATGATCCATAATAGAAGCCACATATATGTAGGGGCCTTAGTATTTTCTTTTCAAAATTATCCACCCTTGAGTTTTCTGTCTTTCTAAAGCACAATTCAGAACCATATGGGATAACACCATATATTAATGCCACGGAAATTTTAACTTTGTGGTTTTTAAAAATGGGTTTTAAAAGGGTTTCTGTTCAAAAATAGCATTATCAACCATTACCAGTAGAAGACCCTTATAAAGTAATGAAATTGATTTCGGTCGAGTAATATAAGGTATAAGGTTACATAAAAATAACTTGTACCAATTGGATACTGTAGAATGATTTAACTTGTGTTTGGTTTTTATTTTAAACTTATTTATAACTATTTTATATTTATTTCCTTAGTTTGGCAATAATCTTGTTTTAATATTGTCTGTCACATTATATTTATTATATGCTGACTCAATGTTAACGTTTTTAGATAAAAATTAATTGTCTATGTTTAAATAGAGAATAGTTTTTGTTGAAATGTGTTATTATACTATATTAATCAGCAATTTTTTTCTGTAGTTAGATATTAGAAATTGTTTCAATAAATTTCAAATGTACAATCAAATAACAGTAAAAATAATAATTTTAATTTTAAACCAAAAATTTTAAATGAGATAGTACATATATATGTGCATCTACAGTATAATTAATATATTAACTATATTTTAATACTCTTGGATTAAAGTATTATATAAATATTTTATTTTTAGATATGATAGTTTAATTTATTTTATGTAACCTTAAAAAAGACTAATAGCAATGTAGTCAATAACTTAGATAAATGGTACATGATTATAATATGTTTAATTAGATGTGTATTATCAAAATATATATTTAAGTTTGTTTTAACCATCTTGTATTTATTTTTAAGATAACTCCTAACTATTTATCAAAGTAATAAAAATGTAATTTCATTTACAATTAGAAATTGTAGGTACATATAAAGTGTCAATTGTACTATAATTTAAGTATACACTGATGTATTAAATACAGTTTACTCATTTAGTGAACAATACAAGTGAAATGAAAAATGAAAGATTACTTAGTTTGTAAGTTTGAAAAAGACTTAGTACCCATGAATGTATTTTTTTTTTAATTTTTTTTTAATCACATTTATGTAGACTGATGCAGTGTGATATTTATATTGTTAAAAATGCTTTATTAAGATATTTTATTTATTCTTAATGTTATTTTATTTATTAATTTTTGTTAAAGCTTGTACCACAAATATTTGTATTCTTATAATTTGCATAATTATCCTAATTAAAAACATACACACCTAGTCACATATTGTTCTAATATTTATTTTTATATTTTAAAAGACTTATTTATTATACTAAATTGTATGTAGTGTTGATTATACATCAAAATACTGATTAAATACAAAATGTATGCCTTAAGGCTTAAAAAAAAAAAATCACACTATTTTGTTTATTTTATCTTCTTATAGTTTCTTATCTATTACGAAGCAAAAAATACCAAACAGTAGAAATAGTATTCCCAACAAAGTTCCTGAAATTAAAAAAAAAAAATTAATAATAGTAAAAACAATTATATTAATAATAATAAATAATGATATTGTTTGTTATTTATATAATATGTTAGATAAGTAATTGATGTTTAATTTTCCAAAAAAAATATTTTTTTTTTATCCGTGGACATTTAATTATCTATGTTGTGGACAATTTAATAAGTTTTGTAAAAAAATAAATATTTTTAAGTAGGTAATTCAAAAATATCTCGCCCAATAAAATTTTTCTGAAGACATTTAGAACTGTAGGAACAAATTGGACTAAAATGTCCCTGGTGTATCAATTTTATCCAATTGGGAAATCGTTGAAAGGTCAAATCAAAATGTCATCTTTACTTTTTTCTTTGTTAATTTATATATTGCCAGATAAAAACCCTATCAAGTAACTCATATATTATAAATAATCAATTTTATTTTTTTATTTTTGTAGGCATCTTGTAATTATTTATCTCAAACAATCAAACATCAAATAATGTAATTATCAAATTAAAACTATATTACAGTTGAATACATAGAAATATTCATGTGTAGATTATTTAATCATAATTATTATATATACATACCAGGTGATTCATTTAAGTGGATATACTTATTATTTCAGAAAGTATTAACTTTTACTGGAATTTTTTTCTAGAAAATTTAAGAAACAAACTACTCTACAATTATACATTTATGTGTTTTTTTTTGTCACCTTTATTTTTGGGGGAAAACCACTACCTACTTTTGATTTTCAAATGATAACCTATATTAAAATATCCATAAATAGATGGAATATTAGTTAAAATAAATTTGAGTGTTGAAATTTTTAATTTCTATCAGGCCGTTGACGAGATATTCCACTTTTAAGTTTGGGTTAGAGAAAAGTAGTGGAGTATTATTTGTGGAGCAGTACGGCGCGCGGTGTGTTAATAATGCACCAGCATTCTCCTCCAATCCAAACTTAAAAGTGGAATATCTTGTCAACGGATTGACGAAAATCAAACATTTTAAAATTCAAATTTATTTTAACTCATACTCCATCTATTTATAGATATTTTAATATAGGTTATCATTTGAAAATCAAAAGTAATGGTTTTACCTCCAAAAATAAAGGTGATAAAAAATAACATATATATATAAAATTGTAAAGTAGCTTGTTTCTTAAATATTCTAGAAAACAAATTCTGGAAAAATATAATACTTTCTGAGATAATGAGTGTACTTAAATGAATCGCCCGGTATATGATTTTTAAATTAATAGGTACTGAAATCGGAAATTATAGGAATGATTTAAGCATATCAGGAGAGAGGAATTAGAAACAATAAGAATGGTAATTAAAATAAACGTAGGAAGAGAGAAAGGCCGAAACAGAGGTGGTTGGATACGATTAAGAATGATATATAGATAGCCAGTGTATGTGAGGATAATAATCGGTTCAAATAGAAATTTAAGAAAAGAGTGGCTGACCCAAAATAGTCGGAATGAAAACCAAGTAGAAGAAAAACGAATTGGTACCGAAAGCTTAATATTTAAAAAAAAATCGAAATACAGGTGTTTGGTACCCATTAGTTTTTTCTGTTAATTTTTGTTTAAATCTGGGCATTATATTATTATACATTTTAAATCTGAACGTTATAATATAGTGAAGTAGGTTAGCTAGGTATATAGGTTAATAAAGATATTCTTGTTCGTGATGAAGTTCAGAATTAATACTATTAAATGCTATTTGTAAGTATATTTTATTTCGGTAGTTTTTGCTATAGTATTTTATATTCCAAGTATAGTGAAGAAAAGCAACTGTTACAGATTTACAAAGATGTTTGGATGTGTTTTTATTTAACTTTTTCGGTAAGTAAAAAAAGTCTGATTTTTTTCATGCCCTAGGTACTTCAAAAGATGCGGATTTCTTTGCAAATGTTTTCAAATTCCCAACAGTTTTCTAAAAAGTTGTAAAAAAAAAACAAGAGCCAAAATCCAACAATTATACCCATTATTGATGTAAACATACAAGGCCGACAAAAAGCATAGGTAACACAGACATACGTCTGGGTCGGCACTGTGTAAGAGACGGCATTTTTTCGGTGTAATACTGATGAAAAAAAAAAAGATATTTTTTAAAATAATAGCTGATATTCGGCAATGAACTAAATTTACACTTAGTTAAATCGGTATTCACACAAGTACAATACACTGAAATAGAACTTAAGATATAAGGTAAGTAAGGTGATTCACTTGACTGTGAACACTCATTATCTTGGATTTTTTTTATTTTTTTGTTTCAAAACTTAAAAAAACAAATAGTTCTAAAATGTTACATTATCATTTGTTTATAACCAATATTTTTGGGAGCTAAACGACTAACTACTTTTGATTTCCGTTAACCCTTTCACAAGATATTCCACTTTTAAGTTTGAGTAGGGGGAAAGTAGCGGAGTATCATTTGTTTGGCGTCATGACGTGTGGAATTTTATTACTTAGTGATCCACTACTCACCCCACCTAAATTTTAAAGTAGAATATCTCGTAAATGGGAAATAAAAAATTCCATCACAACAATTTATTTTAACCAATAACTCCATCTATTTGAGGTATTTTCATTATAGATAGTCTTTTCACTACCTTCCCTTCAAAAATAAGGATGACAAACAAAATGATAATGTACATTTTAGAACTATTTATTTCTTAAGTAAAAAAAATTCCTTAAAAAGTTAATACTTCGAGATAATGAGTATTTTCAGTTCAGTGAATCACCACAGTGTATAATATAAATTATAGAAAAATATCGTCTACGTAGGTACATTAATTTTAAACCGACATTATTGTAATTTTAAACGTCCATTATACGTGCTTATATACTAATATTAAATGATTAAATTATAATATTTGGTTTTCGCATTGGTAATTATAAATGTGTACGTATGGATATGTAACATCCGTATCTATTAACTGACATTACTGGAATCACATTCACGCTAATGATCATTTACTACGCACATAGACGCAAGCCATAAAATATGTATATTATAAATATTGTGAGTATATATTGCCTAAATTAAACCCCTTAAATAGACGTCACCAATTTGCTCTTCGTCCGTCACTTTGTCATGGCTGCAATATTTTACAAAACAGTGTAATACATGTATAACAGTGGCTGAAAACTTATAGGTACCTATAATAGGTAATTTTACCTATTTTATAACATATAACCCATATTGTAAGTATATTTAATAATTTTGATAATAATCGTTATATTATATTAGTGTGAGTAATACCTATTAATAGGTATTTTTTATTTTTCGATAATTGAAAGCTATTATTAAAGCTATTCGATCTCATAATTTTGAATATTAAAAAGTGTTCACTGTTCACTGTCTAAAAATAATACGTAGGATATATTTATGATACTATTATACTTCATTTATTAAATTATAGTAATAAAATGAAGTATAGTTAATTTAAATTTTTTTCAAGCAACACTCATTATAGATTCTGAGCAAAGTGAGGAATGTATTGGTTTTACTTATAACAGGAGCCTATACCTACCTAAGTAACCCGGGAATCAACAATAATAGTCGATATACCAACAAATGCATACTCTGCCTTAATGTGCCTGTTGTGTTTGTGTGTGTACGTGTAACAGCACTTGGTAGGAAGTGGACGTGGTCGTCAATCTATAATGTGCTAGTGGGTGTGTACTGTGTACTTAAGACTATGACGCTAAAGGAAAGAAAAATGGTAACAAATTGATAGTGATATTATAATAGCACGGTATATTCGGTGATAAACGATAAAATAAAACTATAAACCGTTATAATATAGGAAATAAATAAGGAAAATAATAAAAAACGGACATAGTTCACATGTGAGATGGTCTACCTTTGAGGTTGAGAAAGTAGAGAGGAAATTCAATGTATTTACGTACGCAGCGATTGTTCATTGCTAAAAAAAATTCGGGCTAACAAAATGCGTATTTATTATAATAAAATATACAAAAAAGCTGTCCTAGGATGATGGGGACGCATGCAGCCACAATTGAAGGTTGGAAATTGGGAAGGTAGGTTACGGAAGAGAATTTAATGTATATCTGTAAGCGACGATAAACCATTGCTAACGAAAAAACGATTCTGAACAAAGTTTAGTTGATAGATGCTTAATCAACTATATATATGCCATATTAAAGTAAAATAATTAAATAGGCTTTTTAAATTTTCTTTAATAATAATTGTTTAATGTTGTACCGATTTCCTCGGTTTTTTACATTTGCTGGGAAGAACTCTTGGGAAAATCGAAAATTACCTCTCTAAAGTATCTTCTCAGTCATATTTCCTTTAAGAAAAAGTGTTCGGATCTATATTATTTTATAATCCACAAAAAGGCGTTTAAAAACATTTAAAAAAGTAAAGATGATAGAGGGATTGTAAAGTCTCCCTTTAATGGCTCTAATGACTTATAGTTATTAAATTAAATTTCCTAACACTACACAAATGATTAACACAAAATGACATCTTTTAGATAAAACCGTATGTATTATAGTATTATGAAAATAAATTTCTTTTTATTTCACTAATCATTTTTGTGGTGTTAGAAAACTGTATTCATAAATTAAATCTGTTAGAGGAGGGATTATTAGAGCCCTATATTTTTTTTGCGTTCTTATACATTTGTTAAGTGATTTTTTTTCAAAATATATTTTTAGTCATTAAAAACAATTAAGTTATACTTGTTATAATACCGGCGACCACACTACTTATAGTATCCAGATTCGTAACCAGGAGGGGTCTATTGGGTCTAAACAATCCTCTCCCCTCCGAAATTTAAGCTCTTCACCAATTGATTTTCTATCCATTACTTTTTAATTTTCACCTCCCCCAACAATTATAGGTAGTTTGTGATAAATTTTATGTTGACATCCAAAAAAAAATAATCATGGCTACGTGCCTGATAATGCCAAAAATATATCGGGATTTTGTTTTCCAATTTTGTCGTCTCGGATATGTTTATGATGATCAGATATGATATTGAAACGGTTTATTTAATCAAGCAAATCGAACATGCAATAGTGACTAATATAATATCAGCGGCGGCTGAAATAGGTTGTGTAAAATTGCTTTTAACGCATTCGTTTAAAACCAAACTCGTTATTTTAATCGTTTCTCTAGAGGAAAAAAACAAGTCTGGTCTTTTTTAAGCCTAGTCAAACTGTGCTACTAAAATAATTATTAATTAACCAAATGAACAAGATCAGTGTATAGTTTTTTTTTTTTTTTTTTGGTAGGTGAAGCTATTATCAGTTGCATATACTGCAGTTTTTGAAAGGCGTTGAAATTCCATTGCTTTTCCTTTACAAATAATCCGAATCGTAATATACTATATAATTCAATTACAACAATTAACATTTATCCTTTTCTTTGATGACTGGTATCCAGTACGCCTTTAAATGTGATAATGGTGTCACCGAAGTACAGACTATAACAACTGTAATAGGTACCCGAAGGGTGGAAACCGAATCTTGCTTAGGTGCATTTTTGTGAGTTAGTTGTAGATATACTCATATTTATTTTACTGAATTATATTAATTTATTACATTTTCTTTTTTTTTTTTTCAAAAAATAAATAAGTAAAAATTTAATAGCATAAACCAGTACCATAGCCATACAAAACTTTCGGAAGGAGGCACTAATTTTTTATCAAGTTTTTGTTAAGCTGGAATAATTATTATTATTTTTTTATTAAGATATCAAAAACAAAACATTTAATATACATCAAAATTAAATTTTTTACAGAATTGATTAACTTACCTCCTGTAAGCTTATGCAGCTTGTGTTGGAGATAAGGAGCTATGATTACTACTAAATAATAACTACCAAATTTTTTATGACTCTTATCTATTCCTTTATCACTTATTATTTATACCTCTTTAGTTTTACAATGCAAGGTTAAAACAGAGTTTCTATCCTTATAAGATAATCACTAATTGCAGATAGGGGATATGTCCCTAAAACTTAATTTTACAGAAAGCATAAAAAACTGTCTGTCTAGGCAAGATTGAAAAGCAGCTAGACGGACAAATAAATAAATCGCATCATTATCCACATTTCATTTTTTTTTTTATAATTCACGAATATTTTAAAATCAAAAAATATAAATAATATTTTTACAAAACAAACTCAGAAATAGATTGGCTAAAAATAATATTGATAAATAATGGATGAAATATTGTTCGCAGTTAATGATAAAATCTAAATAAAAACTTATGAATGACTTTATAGTTTACACAAAAACCACGTTGTCACAGAAATGTATTAAGATATTTAACTCAGAAAGGGGACAATGTTCTCTTTCTGCATTAAAAATTAACTTTAGCTGTTGATATTTCCATAATGGTTTGAAGGACTAATCCTACTTTTTTCATAAAGTATGTAGCTACCTCTTGAAAATAAATAAATATAAATCCGGTAATAACTATTTCGTTAGACATGTCCCATTTCTGCAATTAGTGATTCATTTAATTTATTATATTACACATATAATAATATAAAGCAATAAATTGTATGCTTATAATAGCACTAATAATAATGTATTTTACTAATATGACGAATTTACGTAAACTGCAAAACATCATTCCGAAAAAATAAAAAAAATAGCCCTGGCTAAAGCACTGTATTAAACAATTTTTTTTTTAAACTGTCAATTAATTCCCATAAAATATCAAAGAATTTATCTCCATACATTCCTTGTGCAGTGTCGTAGCGGTGAGGTTTCAAGGGTCAAAAGTACCTTTAAACTACTTTCCCTTTCTAGTATAACAATATTTAATTCTTTTATTTCCATATAGTTTACAATAATCACCAATGAAATGTAAAAAAACCAAGACGATTTATGGCTGTAATGGTTTCATTATATTTTCAAATTTATTTATTTTTGAATTCGCTTTTAAACGATTTTTCATTTAGTTCAGTCACTTTCTCTTAACTTTAGGACTGTAAAAAATTAAAACTGAACCTGAAATTTTACGGGTCTGGTTTTAATTATTTTATATAACTCTACTTAGTACTCCAGTCCCAGCTAAATAGATTATCTTGAAATAAATTGCTATAACAAGTGGACCAAAAAAAATGAATTGGTATAACGAAAATCTAGTAAGTACGCCTACAAAAAATTTGTGAACATGAATTGGTTTTTATATGTATATATGCTATTTATTGCTTTATATTATATTCACGTGTCGGTGTTTCAAACGAAAGTTACGTAAGGTACTTAATTTTTCTCAATGTCGAATAGTTACGAAATATTTTTGATAAACCGAAAAGGCAACTTGCATAATATAGCTACACCTAATCGCAACACAATATATAAAATAGTTTTTTTGTGTACACTACACAAATATGCAATAAAATACTAATTACATATAGATAGGTGCTTATATTGCATATATTTTAATAAATTATATATATATGTGCATATACATGGTGTCTCGCGATTATCTGACACTTGAAATAACTTGTTTTATTCAACAAATATCAATACATATTTTTTTTTTATTCTGAACGAAGCGAGGAATATATCGGTTTTACAGTGTTAATTTTTTTTACATATATTGTATACAAAATTTGTCCAAGAAAACTTGCTCTAATCAAAAAATTACAAGAGGTCTTTTATTCGTTTATTTAATCTGTTAGTGTCAAATACGAAACATTTTCGATTTTTTAAGAGGTTTTCATAATAATTGGAAGAAACCAAAAAAGACGAAACATAAAAACTAATAAATTTACTGTACTACGATTTCATTATTTTAAATTTTTACGCCAAATAAACGAAATTTAATTTTAACGTTTTTTACCAGAAATATTGCTCCAATAGAAGAACAACGGGACTTTTTTTATTGCATTTTTAATCTTATTGGTGAGTAATAAGGTCGTTTCTTGGTTTCCTGTATAGTTATTTTAATAATTGAGCAAACCTGAAAAAAAGCATTAGAAAAAACGGGAAAATGTACGAAAATAATGCTTTAATAATTTTGAATTTTGTTTTTTAGTTAAAAATATTGTTTGGTTTAACAACGAAATGCTTGAAAATTCAATAAGAGGTTCATTATAAATCGTAATTTGTAGCAAAAAAAAAAGTTTGAGTTTAATGTAGTATTTATAAGAATTTTATTATCAAATTTTGACAAAAATTGTAAATATTATGGCCTTTTAAAACATGTGTAGTCGAACTTTGCGCCGAATCCTTTTTCCTTAGCAATAGTTTATCGTTGCATATATAGTTGTACAAATATAAATTAAATGACCTTCTACCTTCCCAACTTCCCATCTACAACAGTGATACCCCGTTCTCAGTATCAATTAATAATAAGTATTTCTTTGCGCTGCAGTTATAAATTAATTTTTTTCTTAGGTGGGGACTTAAAATTTAAAATTTTACTATAATTTTTTAAAACAAATTCAAAATAGACATTTAATTTAAGATTAAATTTTTGTTTTATAAAATTGTTTACAGTTTTTTCATGTTTGAATATATTATTATGGTTTATAATATGTTATATTATTTAATTAGTAGGTACCTAGTATAATTAATGTATTATTTTACTAATAGAAAAGGAAATTCTTGTCATTTGATGTGCTCTGACAACTGATTAAATATTATAATAGATTATAAACCAGAATAATATTCATAATTGCCAAAACTTCAAAAAATTGTTGAAAATAAAAGCCTAAAACTTAATAATAATTTTAATCACCAAAAATTTTCTAAACATATTTATTTTATAAAATTACTAATATAATTTTTTTTTTTAAGTTTAAAATTTTAAGTACATCCACCTAAAAGGAAAAAATATGTTATCTGTAGTGCAGATGTATACTAATTATTTAAAATATAAATATTACAAATATTGAATATTACAAAAGTTATTTCAAGTGTCAGATCATTGTGGGATACTCTATAGAGTGATCCATTTGTCATGAATCACTGATTTTCTTGGAAGATTTCAAGAGAAATTATAATTTCCATTTATTCCAATCATTATGGAATCACCTTATCTTTAACACTATTTTAATTTTGTACCAATACTCTGTATGCCTTAAATGAGTATATATACTTTAGATTTTTAAATAGAAATCCCCAAAATTAAAAATATATAGGTACTATATAATTACTTAAGGTATAAGGATTATAGTCAGTAGGAGTAAAAATTGAAAATTATGATAAAATAAAGCTTAAATAATTGAAAAAAAAAAAACAATAATCAAATTGACTTAAAATTAACCATGAAAGTTGCTGGTGTATAATAAATGGGTGACCCTATAATAGAAATATTGCTTAGCTCATTAACTTTAAAGATAGTTTCTGATAGTGATGTTTTGTCCAGTTAGTGTGATAATTTTTTGATTTTTTTAAAAATAAGGAAAATCTGGAATATGTATGCAATATTGACAACATTATTATTAAGTATTGTTAATATGGTTTTTTTATAAATTCAGTTACAAAAAAAAAGTAGAGAGCTTAAACTTTAATTAAACATTTGTATTAGCACTTTCTAAACATAGTACAATATTATCAAAACATGGCGGTTTTTAAGAATCTACAAATAGCGAGTAATTTATTGGTTCTATTATGAATGTACAACTTTTATTTTGACAATGATTGTACAAATCATAGCATTTAAAAACAAACATGTTTAACAAATCTACATTCAAAATTGTATTTTATTAGCAATATATATGATTTATTGTTACGTACACATATAAATTAATTAACTTTATAACTTTCTTTTTATAACTATATAACTTTCTAACCTTTTTTTAGTAATTTAGTTATTAAACATTTTCAAGGTTATTATTCGGTTTTACCAACACTTGAATATTTGCTTGGCTTTTCAAAGTTTGATAAAAGTTTCTTCAAGTTTTTCTTAAAACTTAATGTTTTTTGTGGCAACAAAAATCACTAGTCACAGTTTTTATTTTTTATTTAGAGTTCATATTTTGAAGGAAGTAGTCAAAATCAAAGCATTTTATCTTTTGTTTTTTTTTGTTTTACCTATTTTAATCAGTGAAAAAAAGTTGTAGAAAAATAATACATTCACTGAATACTTATTACTTATAATATTAGCACCTTCTAGAAGTGCTGCTATTTTCATAATATGAGGGGCTTTTTGAGTTAGTTCAAATTTATACGATTTTTGTTTTTTTTTTTTTTTCATATACTTATAAGTGGACTTATGTTATAACAAATTAATATACAATTTTAATTTAAAATTTCTTCAAACTTTCTTGTTTTCGAAGATTGGCATTAAATCACTTATCATATATTATATTATATAATAACTGTCAACTTTAAGGTACAGACTGATCAATGTTCCCTAAAACACTCATGTTATTTCGGAATATGTACAATAATCAAATTCTTTTAAAGGTTTATTTTTGCACAATTTAACATCCTGTTCTATGTATAGTACAATGTAATCCTTGTTTTCTGTGGCCCCGTGTTTGACGGTGAAACCACATTACCAACTTTTGATTATCAAGTGGTGTCAAATGTATTAAAAATTTAGTGGTTTTTTGGCTGAATTTTTTATTTTTGCGAACAATGATGATGATAAAATAAGTACCTAGAGTGTAGTGGAACACTATCTGAATGTAATCACATGAATTATGAAACACCAAAACTATTTATTTTCACTAAAACTTTACATATTTGTGGCATTTTTAACAATAAACATTTACATGGAAAATAAAGATAAATGTGTAAAATCTGAAAATTGCATTAGGTATTTAGGTATTTTATTTTGTAAAAATCAAATTTTGATTACATAATATTAATTCTTACATTAATCGTCATTTTATGTAGATTTATTATTATAGATTAAATTTGTCTGCATGTAAACAATTTTTCTATAAGGAATTTCTATACAATAACAAACTACAGAGATGGTTTCTGGCAGAAAGTTTTGTCTAGTAATAATTGGTTTTTTTTGAGGTGTTTTTTTTTTATATTGAAGTTGGGAAAAACTGGAATGATTATGCAATAACAGAAACTATAGTTTCTATTACTTTCAGTTTTATTTTTTTGTAATTAAAAAATCATCATGAAGACTTGATATTCATCATAAAATGTTCTGGCTTTTTTAAGTTATTTGTATGTATAGGGTCGTTAGAAGTATAATTAATCTCATCAGGATTTACGGTCCACTAGAACTATTCCTTTGGGATCCAAAACGTCTATTTATCTGGCTGTTATGTTTGTCCTTAGAGTGAACTATCAACAGTATATTTAATCTGTGCTATTATCCTTAGATACATTTGAATAACTGGACAAACCAACAAATATATTTAGTAAGGGGAGGTAAGATTTACCTCCCCTACCTAAGTTGAGTTAAAGGGTAGTTGTTTATAAAAATATATTAACTTATATATTTTCTAAAAATAAAAAATGTATTATTGTTTCATTCTCCCCATGCACTTATATGAGCCTGCGAATAATCATCAAGGATTTACTAAATTAAATTCATATTTATTATATTATTGAAATAAAAAAACTAAACACGGAATTTTAAAAATCATTATTCACCTAATATAAAAATGGAAATAATATTTTAAATTAAAACCAGTACCGGTGGAAGGTTAAGGCAGATTGGACATTTGTCCAGGATTTCATGATTCATGAAAGGTCTCGTGCCAAAAAATATTGAAGCAAAATATTTTTAGGTTTTAGCCACAGGCTATACAGTGCTCACAACACATAAAGTTAATAATAATCTGATTTAACACCCATATTAAATAAACAAGATGTTGTAATATTATTATTTTAAATACATGTAGGTACACTATTGTAAAAAGCTATAAGAAATAGCTTCTAAAATTGATTATCAAAATATTATAGATGCCTTTGCTTCAAAATATATTTTAATAGATAATATTTATATTATAATTATAACTTTTATAAGGTACAATTCTGCTATTTGATACTTGATTAATAAATAAACAGAAACGTTTACAATTTCAGTATCTCATTTGAAAATGTGTAAACATTTTTCTTCATGGGCATTTAATTATAACTAATATTATGAATAAACAAAATCATTCCTATTCACAAAAAAATTGTATACAAATTCACTATACATGCATTAAAAAAAATTATGAATTTTGGTTCGATAAATATTTAATTTTAGAACTAACTATGGAGTAAAAATAAAATGTTAACACAAATAAAGGGGGGGATTGAGCCCTTCCCCAACATATGTCTAATGAGGAGGAAGGAAAGATATTTGAAAGAGACCCATAGTTACACTTTCTATATTTTTGCCTCCCCCCACCATGTGTAAAATATTTCTTTACTACTTTAAAAAACGGTATAGCTGGTAAATATAATAAAAAAATAAATCATTCAGATTTCAATTATTGTTTAAAACAAAAGTCCTTGACTTGGATCAAATTAAACAATTCATTATATAAAAACTTATTTCAACAGAGATTTTATCATTGTTGGTATAACCTGCCTAATTTATTTGATCATGACATGTTTTTTTCTTTAGTACTCATATATATAGGTAGGACTCAGGTGGTAACTAGCGGGTCAACCTCCACCCTCGAAATTGTTTCAAAAGTATTATTTATTATTTTTTGTAACAAAAATAAAAGTTAATTTGAATTAGCCCTCCCAAATTCGGTCAAATACTTTGATGGAGTATCTACTTGGACTTTTTTTATTGTTTAGGTAATTATTAACCTACCTATTCAAACTGAAATCAAATATTATTGGTAGGTACCTGGTACATACAATTGATTTTATAAAATGCTATAATTTTGCTGACAAGTACGTCTGAGAAATGCAACCAATGTTTTAAAATTAAATTTTTTTTTCACATAAACTTACTAAATTTTGGCTTTTCTTCTCCGAGCAAGGGGCCTACAATCGATGTACTCACAAATGACATTCCATTCGCAATTGGAACAGCCAAAGATATGTCTAGAAATTTTTTTTTAAGCAATATAAAACAGACTAATAATAATATAAATTGATACAATTTTTTTTTACCTGAGTTTTTAAGAGTGAAATAGAACAACAATGAACCACATTGATTGATAGCAAATGGTATCAAATACTAAAATAATAATAAAACTCATTTAAATTTTTATATTATTGTTTTCAATATTTTGTTAGATATTTGTCATTTGAGTATATACTCACGTTCCGGTTATTCAAATGGTCAGTGACTTGCGAAACCAAATCAAATTTCTTATTTCGTCTTTTTACTTTATTTGTTGCCAATTTTATAAATGGATTTGTAACTCCCCAAACAATTCCAACAAGAAATAATTGTAGTATTGATGAATCTATAACAAATGTTTAATAGATATTGATTACCATACAATTTTAGTATAAAAAATAAATTGATCCCTTCATGCAAAAGGTGAAATAATAGCTTTTTTAGAAAACTAAAATTTTAGCAATTTTTACACATTGATCTAAAAAAAATCACTAACTTATTAGATTTCCTAAATTATTCTTGTCTCAAATAATCCATGATATAATAAATAATTTAAAATAATTATCTAATTTTGTGTTTAATAGTAACTTAGGAAAAGTAAATAGTTAAGCAGCCAAGTTTATACAACAACTTATAACAATACATGTTGAAATTTTCTTCAGTCGTTTAGTTTACACTATAAAAATTATTTGACCATGTAATATTGTGTTTAATCACTTTTTGCACTAAGGCAATTAAATTAGGAAAACAATAAATAATATATCGACTAAGGTGATACTTAAAATCTGACTTTTTTTTTGGTATACGTAACATTACCAATATGTATACGTATTGGTAATGTTTAAAAAAAATTAACTTTAAAAGTAAGGGCACCTTGAAAATTTGTTCTATATGACAGGGGCAAACTTCGCTGGTCAGTGAACGCAGACTAGCCTTTCATCCATATTATAAATTGGCAGACTAACAAAAATGTACCTATTCTTTTAATATTAACAAATATAAAATATATCATTATAAGATGATGAGCTGTAAACCCAAAATATTGAATAATATATATATATATATTAATATAACGAACACATTATTAAGTAATATACCAACGTATGTTTGTTATTATCCAAATGCAGAGATAAGCTTTTTTTTAATGGTCAGAAAAACGAATGTATAATTTGGAGTAAGGGTGATCCTCACTTAATGAGCCCCAGTGTCATCCAAGTATATCTTTTTGAATTAGATGACCAAGAAATTTTTAGTTGGTTATATAATTATTATAAAAATATCAACACATTTTTGGCATTTATACTTTTAATGTAAAGTGTGAGAAGCTAAAATTACTACCCTGTATCTTATCTTATATCTTCCAAATTTCCCTACTTACTAACATTATTCAATATGTCATTTAAGGAGGGCAGCCACTACTAACCTAACCAAATCCAAAGGGGGCAATCAATTGTTCGTCCCCTCAAGTAAGTACTTGCAATAGCGCCAGTATAAAAACACCCGAATCAGATTTTTATCTGTTGTTAAATGTAGTTAGATAATATCAGTATTTTTTTTTATAAAAAAAAACTATTGTTTTGCTATTTTTATTAATTATTGATCAAGTTGGCCTTTGGCCTGACATTTTATAACTGCAAATGATGATGTCTCTGATGACAGGATCCACACTGCTACATGATGTTTAAGTCTCAGTAGAAATGTACGATCAATTCATTAAATTCTAAAGGTCATTATGAACCTTCAAAATTGAATAAATGTGAATTAAATTTTTTCTTTAGCTCTTAAATCATGTAAAACATTTGATATAGTGCCTCTATAACATTTTTAAAATTGAATTCTAAGCATCACTCTAATGTCGACACAATGTTATAAATAAAAATAAAAATATTATACTCAAATGTACTTTCAAGCAGAAAGTTAAATAAATAAATTATATTTTAACAAAAACAATATTACATAGATGTGTAGTCTATTTAGAGAAACATTACTATAATAAATATATTTTGAATTGACTATCAACAAATTATTTATTCGATTTTATTTAATTTTTTTTTTATTTTTGGATTTAGCTAGTTTTTCTTCCAACTCAATATCTGCCGCTTTTTGCGCTCCTACCACTTCAGCAAATTCCTTATAGTTTTGATTGACCTTTTCCAAGTGTTCTTCGTTCTCCTGCCACACATCTTTTCTGGGAAGATCTTCCCCGTAAAGATGTATGTGTCGAGCGTTGGCGGTTAATACGTCGTCGCTGATGACTGGTATGAATTTAGGTGGAATGAACGCTCCGGCTACATATCGTTGTTCACTGATGGCAAAATTGTAGGTGGCCAGTGCCGCGTCAACAGGCAACACCTCAATGTTGCATCCGTATTTCTTGGTAGCTGTTAATACGATCTTGTCGATTTGTCTACGATATGTATTATCACCGATGCCTAACACGATCAGAGACGGCATAGGTTCCAAATTGAACAATAAGGACAATGAGTTCTCGTGAACATCCCCATCATCGTTTATGTACCAGGCGATTATCGAGTTAGAGAAACAAATGATTGGGCCGAGCACCTGAAAGTTGTTGTTCAGCCGGAAACCGAACTGACTATAACTCGATATCATGACGCCTTCCCTGATATTGTTGTTGTTCAGCATGGACACGTACGTCTTCCCATCATTGTCGTACGCACCGATAGACCTGCGGGGAACCCGCCCAAAGGACGCCATTATCGGCTTACATAAGGCATAACTTAAGACTGTGTCGCACACCGTCCGAGCTGAGTTTCTCAAAGACATATCTCAGTAACTACTCTTTACCAAATTACACAAAAACCATAACATTTAAATGTATTCTGTGACCATACCTTCCATCTTCGTGGCAGGCGAACACTGGTCTGCTGTAGCTGTGTTCGGAGTAGTACGTCGCCGGGCCGATAGAATTATCTCATATATTTATAGAAATCTTGTATTATTAAAATTTGTAAAGTTACCGGACGACAATTTGCGTATCAGTTATTTCTTTGTCAACGATTGTTACCTGTTATCATCTAGTCGCGGACTTCATCGCCCGGCTATCAGCTCCGGGCCAAAAGCAGTCCTCTAAGAATGATAATAAAAATAAAAAATAATCTCATACCAATCAAAAAAAATGTAAATTATTCCGAATAATAATTTAATATCAGTTTGTTGTGTCAGCCTGTACCATGAACTAAGATATACAGGAATGGAAAGAGCTAAAATGTTATTTTTCACCAAAATATAAAAATTGAATTCAAATTTAAATATTTGTAGATTTTATCCCTGAAATTATTGTTAAAATTAGAATTTTAGAGTTTCCTTTCATAAAAATATTAAGTGAATAACATAATATCGGTATAATTGTTGGTACCTATCTATACAACCCGATTCTGAGAACTGTTGTCTATCGACTCTCTGTATCTAATAATTTTGATTTCAAAGGTAAAAAAGTCTTATATTCAGTTTATTTATAGTTTTTTCGTCATTTTTTAAGTTCACCTACATTCATCAAAATGTATTATACAAAAAAATGTCAATATAAATATAATTATCATTATGGTAATGGCTCGGGATTTTAGGTTTAAGTATTGGTTAATCTGATATGATAAATTTTTTTTTTGTTATCAGTTTTGAGAGACCTGCTATGAGCCCACCAGTAGCCTGACGCAGCGCTAGCAGCTATCGATCAGTGTGACCGTCATTGCGGTAGACATCCCACCAGTTGTCGATACACTCCGTTGTCCAAGTATTATTATTTGAAAAATAAATAATATTACGCTGATAAGATTATTACTCGTTATCTGTTATTTCGTGAATTCACGCAAATTCATACAATTACTACGATTGCAAAATATTCATTTATTTGCACAACACCGGACCAGATTCTCCGTTAGACATCGAGTTCTTCGTTTATGTGAGTTTACGCCGTAATCGAAGCACCACCTGATCTCGTCAAAATCCGTCCTCAATTTTAATAGCACTGGACTTACTCCAGTTTTGACATTGCTACCCGAGCGGCATATTGTCAATGACCCAATAATTAATACACAATAGTGTCCTAGAGACATCTACACGTTTCTCTTGTGTCCTCGAAATTATAATAATTGCTATTTTTTTTTTCTCTAAACAATTATTTCGGTTTCGCAAGATTTTTTTAAGGTTTTTTGTCAGTGCCACAGTGGTGTTTCTTACAAAACATTTAGTCATTTATTGTTGATACCGGTTTTCAGAATCATTTAAGTGCGTGTGTCGCGGTGTATGGCTCGTAAAAATAAAGAGAATAAAAACATGGCACTATCAACCATGTTGAGAGATGAAGGCGATAGCAGTGAAGACGACTACCGGCGTAAACGGGACAAAAATAATCAGGTATGCTGTAGTTTATGGTTGTATATTGTTATGTCTTTATTCAATTTTTTTTATTAATTTAATAGGCAGTTAAAAGAAGTCGAGTAAAAAGTAGAATGCGCACACAACAGACATTGCAACGTGTGAACCAATTGAAAACTGAAAATGATATGCTTGAGGAAAAAATTAAACTTTTAAGTAAAGAATTGGGATTTTTAAAAGAATTATTCATGGCACAAGCTGGTAAATATATAGATATATTAGTTTTATATTCCAAATATATACGTTTTCTACATTTTTCTTTCGGTATATTTTAGGCACATCACAAATTGAACTACCTAAATCTGTTGACCTGAAAACATTACTGAGTGACACTACATCGGATATATTGGATAATGATTTAACAAAACCCCCATCTTCGTCCTAAGTACCTATACTAAAGTACCTATTTAATTTGTACATTTTTATGAGCACAACATTTAAGTATATCATAATAATAATTGTTAGTCATATTGATTTAATCTTTTTCCAAATACTTTTGGCTCATAATTCAAATAATATTTATTAGATTTTACATTTTGAACCGCTTAAATAATTTTTATTGATTTGTCCAATTGAATGTATGTATGTTGTGCAATATTTATATTTATTTTTCTAAAACATTTTAATTTTTTTAAATGTATGATTTGAAAAATATTTGAATGAATGTTTAATACTTGTAACTTTATCGAGTTTTGTTTTCAATCCTAAGGTTGTCAGATTATCACATATTCATTAAAGATTAAAGTTGAGTCATATTATAATATTGTTTTGGAGTGTAAACTATTAAAGAATAATATTCCTCGGTATATTGTTTTTTAATTTGTATCTTGTTTTGTATAAATTTGCTTGGAAATCCTATCAGAATTAAAAAGTGTACTATTTGACAGTTTAACATATAGGTCCATCACTAGGACATACTGTGAGTAAGACATCAAAAATATTAAATTTTAACTTATTATAATTAACATTTATACTAAACTAAATAATTTTTATCAATTGATTGATCATCCCTTGTCACTTCATCAATCATTTTTATTTGTGTGATGCAACACTTAATTTTCCAAATATAATTTGCTCTTATCATCTATTGCTGTATTGACTGATTCTTCTGCCTATTCATTCCTTGAGTATATATGGAACTTTTTTTTTTTTTTATGTCATAGGTCAACTTTTATCAATTGCTAATATTACATTCTGTTGTTTATTTAAATGAAAGAGATAGTATTTCATAAAAATATAAGCTCTGTCCATAATAGATGTAGCAATAATTTTTCCTTAAAATAATATCCTAACTTATTACAACACAGGTTTCAAACACTCATTAATCATTGTGGATACCTAATGGTATTATAAACACTCGTTTACTCATATTAATTTTCTTAATTAATGAATCAAAATTACGGTGAATGGGTATCTGTTATTTGTTTTCTGCATGCGTTATAATATATTTAAAAAATATATGTTCTACATAATATTTAAAACCTTTGATGTTTAAATATGTTGATTATTGACCTGTTGTGAAATTTCAAATGGAATATTTTATCTAGTCAATTAAACTGTTCAAAAAAATTACAGATTAACAATATTCTTTAAACTTTAAAATTTTAAATGGTTGAAATTATAGATAATGTTTATAATTAATTTACATATAAGTATAATTATAATAACACAATCGGTCAATCATTTTATGTTAACATAGGACTTATTATTACATCTAAATAGAAAATAATCATTATTTTATTCTATCATATTGTTTATAAACACTGAATAATAAAACAAAACAAATTATATATACTTAATATAACAATATTGCATCTATTAGATAATGCCATTGATATGACCTTATAAAAAGTATTATATAATATGAAGTATAAGACATGGAGGTACTTAATATACAGCTGTGTGCATATCAACTATGACAGTGGAGGGGATAAATTAAATATTTGAACTTCATTACTCTGTCCATTATAATATTTTAACAGTAGGTATTCTGACATTGAGATATTCTGTATACACAATCTAATGTAATTTATAATAAAATAAAATGTAATATTCTACATAATATATGCGCCATATAAATATTATTAAATATATTTATTGTTTATTTACAATATAACAAAATAAATGCAATATTAAGAATTTAATCTATTTAATTTTAGTACATTATGCATCATATTATTCAAGTAGTAATTATTAGGTATCATACTCTATTTGTATTGCACTCCAAAATGAAATCCACTCGCTAAAAGTAAAATTTATTGATTTGAGATTATAATAGCCAACCAAATAATTGAGTATTATTTAATTTTTATAAACAGTATATGTATAAAAAAAAAAAATAAATAAATAAACAGTGTGAAACCAATACATTCCTCATTCCTCATACCTAGTTTAACAATTAAATATAAATACATAATAATATAATATGTATGTAAAGTCACCCTACAAATAGTGGTCCTTTCTCTGCTGCACTAGGTTTGGTTAATAAAGAACCTAGATACTCATTCAAATAATAATAGTGGTGTAGTATGGTAAAGTAGTGGTAAGGTAGTGTAGTGTAGCTCTGAATCTAAAACTAAATTTAAAATAATGAAATAATAATTTTTATAAATTTTTCTATTCTTTCTACGTATTTTTCGGTTTTGCTCAATTATTAAAAAAAAACTATGTGGAAAATAATATAAAAACGAGCTACTTACTTACCAACTCGATTAAAAATGCAACAAGGAAGGTGTTTTGTTGTTTTTCTATTAGAGCAATATTTCTGGTATACATAAGCCGTACAAATTTAAAATAAAGCAATCGTGCACTTATCAGTTAACTTTTTTTTTTTGGTTTTTCCCAATCATGTAAACGACTTTCTCTTTGAGCATCTAGATCTAAAGTGCAATAAAAAAGGTCATGTTTTAGTAATTTAAGTCATTTTTTGTTTGAAGCAAAATTTGTAATTGAAACATAAGTATACAAAAAAATATAAAATTGTAAGAAAATATACTTCTCTAAAATGTTAAATTACCATATATTTTTTTATTACCCTTATTTTTCTGGGTTTAATAACTATTGAATTTTGATTTTTAAATTGCAATCTGTACTAAAATTTCCATAAATAGATCAAGTATTAGTTTAAATCAATTTTGTGTAAACATTTTTTTTTTAGATATTTTACTTTTAAGTTTGGATAGGGAGATAGTAGTGAAGCCCTATTAAAATGCCCCACACCCTGTGTCGCCACACAAATGATGTATGATACTAATCATTTTTGACCACTTCAAGAAAAAATAAAATCTGACCAAGGATCATTTTTAGTGAAAAACATACCAACAAAAGTCATATGAGGAGATTTTTGATATTTTATCATTGTTTTCCAAAAATCAATAGGATGAAAACCATTTATCAGACTGACCCTTTTAAAAACAGACAATTTGATTATTGATTATTTAAAATATACATAAGCGCATTTAAAATTTCAATTTTATCAGACAATGGGAAGTGGATCAATTTTTGAATAGATTTCTTCTTTGCAAAAAAGGCAATATGAAAATGATAAAAATAAACTTCAACTTTAAATAATCACTATCAAAATGTAATTGTTTTTTATTAATAAAAAAATATTTTGCATTCCTATTGTAATACACTAATAGGTACAATTAAAAAAATAAAATATAATAGACATGTGAAAATTATTAGTTATACCAAAATTTTAATAAATATCTACATAAAACTCATAAATAAAACTTCTCCCACAAATACACTAATATTTTATATTTACACTAGTAAAAACTATGTAATAAAATGTATGTAATTTGTTATTTAGTTATTATTATTATTATTTTTTTTTTTTTTTTACAAAAATTTACAATTTATACAAAGACTTAGGTATAATAAGTAAATTGTTTGATATTGAATCTATCAATAGTATAGAGAACATCTGAATGAAAAAAATGCATTGTTTTTAGATTTGAAATAGCAATAGCTAAATATAACAACCTTATGGAAAGTTTACCCTGCAGAAATGCTACTGTAGGAAAAACCTGTGTTTTTAATCTGAATTATCTAGATAATTTTAATTTAAATATTTTATTATCATTTTCTATAATAATATTATTGCTGTATTTGTGAAGAACAAAATGTCTATTTATCTCATCATTCAATTTTATTTTTAATTTGTTTTAGCTACATCCTGTGTTAATAGAAGTACGTTCTGGCTGTCACCACATATTTTTTGTCCTCTGTAATTATTTTTCAAATTTAAAACAATTTCATGTTCGATAGCCTTATCGTTTTATACATGATTTTTTCTTGAATATTGCAGACTAACTTATTTTATAATATTGTTATATTATTATGACAATATTTTGCAATCGTTTGCTATATAAAAAATTATAATGACTATTGACTTGGTGTGTTGCTACACCATATTAAACGAATAGTATTTCACATATTATAATATAGTCGGTTAGATTAGTGCAATAGGTAATTGTTCTGATACAACGTTTATAAATTAATCGAAATTCAGATTTCTTAAGATACTTATAATTATTGTTAGTAAGTAACAATGTAAAAGTATTATATTTACCATACTACACCACTATTATTATTTGAATGAGTATCTAGGTTCTTTATTAACCAAACCTAGTGCAGCAGAGAAAGGACCACTATTTGTAGGGTGACTTTACATACATATTATATTATTATGTATTTATATTTAATTGTTAAACTAGGTATCTAAAGTATTTTTGCAAATTTTTCTAAGTATTTTGATTATGACATTGCAAGAATTTGTTTCTCTATGCAATATTATCTATATCTTTTAAAATACCTAGTTATAGATTGCTAAATTTGTGAAAACTGCAAATTTACCATTTATGTAGGTTTGAAAAAAAAAAGATTAGTAAATTTAATTTTAAAATAAAATAAAATTTAAATTAACTTTATATGGATATGTGATAAAAATGAATTATGCTATTTTATAAAGTATCTATGTGAAGGAAATGTAAAAAACATAGGTATCTACTTCAGAGAATTCATTAAAAACTCAGTCCCAATTTATTTAACATTTAACCTTTTAACACTTTAATGCTCAATCTTGGCTGAATGTTTGTGTTTAAAAAAAATGTATATTTATACACCAATGTCTTGTGGAGATACGATCATTGCGATACATTGGAAAGTATAAATTTGTAATTTATTTACAATTTAAGGAACAAGTAGTTTTAAAATGTTACATTACGATTATATTTTGTCACATTTAACATTTTAAAGCTAGGCAATTGTTTCTTAAATGGTAAAAAAAAAAAAAAAATTATGAAAAAATTTCATATTTTCCAAGATATTGAAATAATCATATTGTCATGGGACTTTGTATACATAAACGATCCGCGATCGGATTCTAATGCTAATAAATTTCCCTATACCGGTGTGAGGTAAAACCTATTTTTGTATTAGAGTACACAATTATTTGTGAGTTAGCAAATCATATAGGTAGGTAAATAATAATAATTATTATTATCGTGCAGTATATACGTAGAAGTAAAATAATTCAGCAGCATGATGGTGTCGACACCGCGGATAGTCAGTGAGTGGACACACAATATAATGTAATTATTTTATAATGGTTTTTTTTACGCAACAACACGACATAATAATTATTTATACAATTTGTATTTATTTATTCACTATACTCGATCATTAGGTAGCTACTCGTACAAAGTAATAAATATTTTTAGGATTTTTATTTATAATAAACTTTTTATTGATTTATATTTGTATAAAACACTGGGTCGCATCATGTTATTGTCGTAACTTGTGTGATTATAATATTATCAAAAAATAAGAATAAACAAATTATAAATAACAGATAAGTACCCCCATATTATTAGACTATTTAGTATTTAGTAAAATAACAATATACTATCTATTAGGCAACGATATATTATTATACCTTCCTAATGAAACGTGTTTTTTCATTTTCTTTGTCTATATAGATGTTACTGTAGTTAGACTTTATAACTACTATAGTTATTGCAGTTCGTGGTATTTTCATAATATTTTAGATTCAAAGCGTATAGCGAGGAATGTATTGGTTTTACAACGATATTTACTTTTTTTATTTTTTTCTGTGAGAAACTTTTCAACCAGAAATCTTGCTCCAAAGTGACAATTTTTCAACACCTTGTAACCTTTTCTTTCAAGGTCATTTTTTAATTTTCAAAGCGGTTTTCACAATAATTGTGAAAAAACTTAAGATAAATGGGTAAATTTACGTAAATATTGATTTTTTTTTTTGCTGTATTTTAGAAACTTGAAATTTAGACAGAAAACTTATTTATTTGCCTTTTATAGAAGACGTTTGAGCTATTTAAAGACATTTTAATTTTACGAATTTCTTACGTAGGTAATTTTAATTTAGTAGATACTTTGGTTGACAAAATTGTTAGATTTAACAGAAATGCTTGAAAATTTGACAGGTTAGGTATCCCATAGTGTGAAATATGCCTGGCTATTTCTATTTTTTATGTTGCGTAGGGGTGGATTCAGAACTTAATTTGTTGAGGGTGGGGCAAAATATAATGTAAATAAAAATAGTAAATTCTAAGACCTTGTGAACAAAACATTCTACTCCATTACTTTTTTTTAAGGGAGGAGGGCAAATATCCGGTTTCTCCCTTCTTGAATCCGCCACTGAAGTTACGTAATACATAAGGCAGGACCCAATCGGACACTTGGTAACCAACCGCGTTAAATTTGTCATTGCCAATAGACAGGTACTTACTTAATTGACTGCATAATATAATAACCGAGAATCGAGAATCACTGTATATCTATTATGAGCATTGTATTTCTGAATCCGTAAAAATTTACGAGATGTATAATTAGATTGAATGTCAAGAGGTTTCGTAAAAATTAGTCGATTGCGTAGGTAGGTAGGTGTAGGTACCTATTACAGGTATATAATTAATTACGCTTAGGTATTTTCATAACGTTTTGAAAGCATAATATTTGTTCAATTATCTTTTAATAATACTATATTGATTTAAAATTCGCTGTCGTTTATATATAATATATAATATAAGAACCTCCTCCTGCTCCTCTGATGCCGGTTAATAATATCACATACTTTTCAACTATTAAAATGTATCGCTACCCGAATTCTGTTGCCTGCTTTATTTTTACTGTTTTCAGCTAAAATCAATGTTAACAGAAAACACCCATGAGCAACATAGCTCCGACACGATTAGTCTACTAAAGTCGAATTTCCCTTTCTCCCCACCTTTTTTTTTACATTTGATTATAAATATTTTTTACGAAATGATAAATAACCGAGTAGGTACTAATGTACTATAATAATACAATATCTACTATACTTTCAATTATAGGCATTTATAAAAGTAAAAATATAAAAATTGTATAGTTGAAAGGGGGGGGGGTTGAAAATTAAAACCCTCAAAAGACACGTCCTTGATACTAAAGTCCATCCCCCTATAGGTCTAATTTAAGGGCTCTGTAAAAGTGTTCAAAGCTCACTTTCAGAGTAAGATAATATGATAATATTCAACTCGACTTTCATAATTTCAAACCACCGAAAAAGAAAAAAAACAAATTTTTCTTTGAGTTTGTACTCATTTTGTCCAGAGGTAATAGCTTAAAGTGTGATGTGGGGAAAACATGAATATTTTAATTTATATTAAATAACCAGGGGTAGGTGACCGCCCTTATAAATCTGGATTTATTAAGTGTAGGTGTACATTTAATAAAAAAATGTCTACTATGAAATACATATCTAATGATTACAATTTTCTCGTATAAAACATTGAACAAATATTGTTACAGTTGACGAAGATATTATTGCTGTACCATTTATTTTGTCGTAGCAGTGTAGATATTTACCTTAATCCTGACTACCGCTCTCCTTAAAGAAAAATCTAAATAAGTTCCTGCGGCTCCTATAAATGATTAACAAAACACAATGCAGTAATCTCTATTTTAGGGAAGAATTCGACAAAACAAAATTATGTTATTTGATTGCATTTATTAAAGATTTGGTTACGAGCTCTAAATATTATATTATTTCAATTTGACAAAAATCGTTTTCAGCGCTTATAAATAATTCCAAATAAATTTCTCACGATTGTTATGTGCTCGTTCTGACTAAGACTCATCGCAGTAGATATAGGTACTGGTGGTTTATCTGTTTTTTCTACAAATGTTGACGTTATTCCTATATTATTTTTGGTAAATGCAATACAAGTTAAAAAGGAACAATGGTTACACGTGTATAGTCGATTAGTATTCGAATCGTGATTTTGAGTTAAATAATACCTTTACATCTTTCCAGTGGTTGTGGTTAAAATTGTAGGGCAGAATCTCCCTTCTTTATAAAATAAAATTATCAGTGCCCTTAAGTTTAAGTCTTCAGAGTCCGGGGGACGCTTTAATTATTGTCACTGGGACATTGAAAACATTTATTTTTACACTTTTAAAAACTAATTAGTTTTATTAAAAATATCTATTACATTATTATACGTAATCAAACTCTATTTTTCTTTATTTTTACTGAGCACCTGTTATTTGAGTAAGATTCCCCCGGAAACAGGGGGAGGGATTGCAGTTTATTTTTAAATCCTAATATTTCTTATATTAGGATTTAAATCCTAATAACATTTTTCTGTACAAAATGCATATAAATGAAAAACGTTTTGGAAGTCTTGACTCATTAATTGGATTCTTGAAAGTTTGGCCATGTTTTGTTAGTTTTCGGGAACGCCCCTCAATTTTCGATAAGTATAGTCCCCCCTTTAAGTTATTTCTACTTTAACCACCGCTCACCTCCTATTTAATGATGACCCCAATATCTTAAGAAATTTTATGGTGTAAGTACCTATACGCTTTTATAAATTATTACAAAGTATGTAGCACGCACTTAAGTAACTTTTAAGGATTTTCTGTTAGTTTTACACGAACATATTTCTATACATATTTTATTGACTTTATGATATTATCGTTCAAATTTCTGAGTAGTAGGTAGTATAATATTATAAATTATTGGAAACAGACCTATAAAAATACCTGTTTTATATTCCAGTGTAATAATAATGGATATTTTTTTTCAGTAGGTATAGCGTTTAACTAATACGAAATTCGATTTGGTTAACCGATTTTGTTTTATTTTTTGCACAATCCACTTTCGTCACGAACGACGTTAAAGGAAAAAAAATCGACGTGTGTGTCGTGACCGACGATTTTTTTTTTTGACATTCATTGGTCCCTCCACCTCCTAGCTTTTATTGTCACAAAAAATAAATACCGCCTGATATTAATATTAGGTATACTTAATACTTATAGGTATACAAACACAAGTAATAATTAAACTATTACTACACAAAATGAACCAATTAATTTGTGCCATACGGCATTATTGAAATTAAAAATAAAACAAATCCAACTGTTTATAGTACGCACTACGTTTATCATAGTTTAGATTCTGAGTGAAGCGAGATGAATTTATTGGTATTAGCGAAACTAGAGATCTTTTTTCGTTGTATTTTGGCTCTAGTTGGTAGACACTTTAGAAAAGTCATTTTTTGACATTCCTCAAATATTCAAGATAATGAGGAAAAATTGGTTTTTCAGGTTAAAAAATATTAAAAGATTAAAAATAAATTTGTCATTAGCAACCGTTTTTATTTATTTTTTGTTGTTATTTTTAATTTTTATGATGTTAATCTTTTAGTTTTTTTGAACAATCATTAATGTTATCGTGAAAACGCACATAGTTGAATAAGCAATACTATTGTCTGAGTTCCGCTCTGAATCGTTTTTTTGTTAGCAATGATTAATAGTTGCGTACATATATATTTATTAAATTCCCCTTTATATCCTGCATTCCCTGCAACTTCTCATCTACAACAAAAGCCCAGCCGTAGTGCAAAGTATGTCCGTCCGATTTTTAATAATAAATATTTTCGCGTTCAACAAATATTTCAGAGTTCAGACATAATTTTTTTTCACCACGTTTATACATTAATATGCGTGTAGGCAATTAGTAATCTAATTAGCACCAAAGGAGTAGCTATAAAAATATTTTTCTGGGTAGGCCAGATAAAATAACATAAACGTTTTGATGGGAAGTAAAATTAATACAAATTTTTTGTTTTAAAATTATGTTTATTTCAGAGAAAAATGGATAGATACGTGCCTACCAGGCCTGCTTGTTGGTTACGCAGGGTGTGACCCGTTTCACCCAAACATATATATTAATCATTTTAAAATTAAATTAGCAATAGTTTTTGAATAATAGTTGAAACATATAGAAAATTATTTAAAAATGTGTTATTGGTACCACAAATTATCATTTTATTATTTTATACACATTTTTCATAGCATATACAGCAGTTGTCTGCACAGCAATTTATACAAGTTAAATACATATAAATACATTTAAAAAGTTCCTATTAAATAATACATTATAAGTATTATAAAATAAATCATTAAAGATAATTTTTTATTAAACATTATTTAAAAAGCCATCACAAAATACAAATCATTATTTTTTTAAGATTGCCTGTCGTTGTTTAGGTATGTTTAGCTCACCCGGCCACGCATAGTGGGTTAATAATCAAAACCTTCAAAATAATATAATATTACTTATTTACGTATTGTAACATATTTTTATCATGCTTATGTACTCATGTCCCGGCGCCCATGTTCTTGTCTACTTCGATTTTTCGGGAATTTCAAGTTTCAACGCTACACATTTATGTATCATAAACAGTTTTAAATAATTTTCCATGTGTTTCAACTATTCAAAAATTATGTCAACTTAAATTTAAAATAACTAGCGTTTTTGAGCAAAACGGGAAAGGTAGGTTTTGACGAAACGGGTCCCGCATGCTATGCCACAGATTAGCATTTAGTTAAACCTTCATAAACGCACTTTTAATATGCATTAGCGTGATTTGTTTTAAAGAGTTTATTCGATTTTTCAAATCAATTAATCTCTTATCACATCCTAGTATTAACTATTAAGAAATGTATAACAATAATATTTAGACGGATTAATATTTTTGATGGGAATTGAATACTAAATTATAATATATAATAGGTATATATTTTATAAGAATTTAATTTTAATATTGACTGTATTAAATTAAAAAAAAAAAAGACGAACATACTGCCACTGTTGTAGGTGGGAAGTTGTAAAAGTAGATACAGAAGGGAATTTAATGTATATCTGTAAGCAACGATAAGCCATTGCTTACGAAAAATGATTCTGGGCGGAATTCAGTTTGTTAGTGATGCTTAAGTATAGAAAAAAGTATAATATAAAGATTAATAGTTAAAAGAATGTATTGAAATCGAAATTTATTTTATTATAGGTAGTGGTAATAGGATAGTATTATAGGAATATAAGTTGATTATATTAAGTGCCTAGATATAATTTAAAATTTCACGATTTAAGGATATTTTTGTTTATGGTTATAGGCTATAGGCCTATAGCAATCTTTACTATATTATTATTATTATTATTATTGTAAGGACACGCACGTCGCACACGTTGTAAATCTTATGGGTTAGCTGGACACAAAGACTATTAGGAATATTACGAGTAGGTATATTATTATTATTGTGGTAAACGTGGGCGTAGAGCTAAGGCACTATTATATAATAATAATACTAATAATATCGTAATTATTAGTCATCGAAAAACCAAGCAATTATAATATATTAAATCGATTCGTCCTATTCGATCTTGTCGAAATTATAAAATAAAAAAATCCGGACTTACGTATTTGCACCATGTGCTGCACGTTTTTGCAGATCTATAGATAGGAAGTTTTATACAGTATAGAGTGTGATTTAACTTATTTGATAAACACCGAAAGCGCAGATAAATCATTGCAAACAAAAAAACGATACCGAACAAAGTTCGATAAACCGGCAATATCATATCAAGATTTTCAAAACTAATTTATACTATTATTGTATAACATTACCGATTTATCGGACTTGGCTCAGAATCGTATTTCGTTCGCAATGATTTATTACGTTACCTATACAGATATATATTAAATAACTTTATGTATCCCACCTTCCCAATACATTTCACCTATAACAGTGACACACCCATCTTTTATTTTATTCTTGACCTTGACAGCAGCCAAGTGGTGACTATATCGAATTTATTTATTTATAATAACTGGTCATAAAAAACTCGAAAAAAAAATGTAATGAATTCGCAATCGTTTGTATGTTTTTTTTTCTTCTTTTAAACGTTAACTATACAAAACTCCAGACACAGCCGGTTTATAAGTTATAATAACTAGGTACGTACCTATTAAGTAGATATTAACTAAACCATTATACGCATTATAGGTACAATAATACCTATGTTATTATTATTGTATATACTTTTGTATCGCATCGCTTTCTTTTTTTTTTTCCGTTCGAACAAGTCGTATACAATTTAGGTATTATTACATCATATGTCACGCGGAAGGTATTTACACTTTATGCACCATATTGTATTAAACGGATTGCAGTTCGGTTGGGGAATGTTGCCGAATTCGCATACAGGCTACTTAGGTATATTAAAAAGAAGTGTTTGGTTGATATGCGGAGATTTAAAATTATATAGGCTACAGGAGTTCTTTTCCGGGCCATGGACTTCAAACTAATAAAAAGTATATCAATGGGCCACGGATCTCCCCTGTTCTCCAATTTTGAGTGTGGCGAATAATGCATTGGTTTTATTATAATGCATGCGTTTAGAATGTTTAAATTCCGATCGCATACGAACGTGTTGCAGGTTATAAGACGATGATTACTATTATGCAGTGACGTATTTGAGGGAGGGGCGATGGGTGTATCGCCCCCTCTTTGGAAATGTTTGGCTCTGATGTTTCAATCACGGCTATAGGCTACGGACAATAAAATAACATAGTATTTAAAACCGTGTTAGTTATTATTTCTTGGGTATTTTTATCAGCATTTTTATTACCAAAAAGTAGTGATAATGATAAACTCGGGCAATTGTTTGTCTATACTGCATATATAAGGGATCAATGTAGATGTCCAAACAATAGTCGTTATAGATTGGTTTGTAGGAGAAAGAAAGATATATAAGTGAATATATTATGGTACGGAGGGGCTATATTTTAGCCGAAAATATCATAGCCAACAGTATTTAAGCCGACAAATCCGAACCGTATTTTAACCGACACGTATTTCATCCGAACCGTATTTAAGCAGACAAATATTTGATCCAATCCGTATTATAACCGACACGTATTTCATCCGAACCGTATTTTAGCCGACAAAATCCCGCTCCACTCCAACCTACGCTACAACACAACCGGTACGGTAACGTCGGTAATTGCGCGTACGGACTGCAGATGAGGTATGGCAGAACGTTGATTATAGTGGAGGGGGATTTGTCGGCTGAAATACGGTTCGGATAAAGTACGTGTCGGCTAAAATACGGTTCTGACAAAATATTTTTCGGCTTAAATACGGTTCGGGTAAAATACGTGTCTGCCATAAAGGCCGGGTACACACGAGCGCGCCGAACCCGTAACGCAACGTTGAACGCGCGGTGCGCTCGTTCGTGTGGACGGTACTCGAAACACGCGCTGTGCTGGTACAGCAACGGCGCGGAGTGAACCACTTTTTGTCAGTTTTTGCGACGAACACAAAAGGTTTGGTCGGCGCAGTGTGGACGTGTTTTTATTGTTTTTATCGTCGTTGAAAAGCGCACGCTGCTTTGACGCTGAACTGTGTATGAAAATGTTCGCGGCAAACTGCGCGCTTTGACAGTGGATCGTTGGCGCAGCGCGTGTTCGTAGTAAATTGAAAATTAATCCGCGCTGCGTTCGGCACGCTCGCGTGTACCCGCCTTAATATGTGTCGGCCAAATTACGGTTCGGATAAAATATGTATCGGCTTAACATTTGTCGGCTAAATTATGGTGCGGCTGAAATATTTTCGGTTTTTTTACGCGCGCCCAATGTTACGGCCGTTACGGGTAAACGCCGAAATCGTGTGAATCTGAGAAATGCTCGGGCGAAACGCGAAATGTCCACGATATTTGAGAAAACTGTGACGTCCATAAATTTTAATTTTTCAGAATTCCTGAAATTTGTCCGATTTCAGTTTTTGATCGTAATATATTATGTATACATCATTTTAGATTCTGAGTGGAACGAGGAATGCATTGGTTCTACAATGATGTTTATTTTGTTTTTTTTATGTGAACACTTTTTTTCTACCAGAAAGCATACTCCGATTATCAACCGTTTTAGCACATTTCCTGAAAGTAAACTTCTTTGATATATAAGTATAGCACTTTTTCTAAAACCTTAAGTTGTTTAGATGTACTTTAGAGATGTCATTTTTTGATTTTTGACGCCATTTTTTAAATAAAAGCACTGAAGTGGGAAAAAACGTAGGAAAACGTACAATTTCACGATTTCATTATTTTATAATAATATGGACGACGTTTTCTACCCGAAAAAATAATTTAATTGAAAAATCACAAGATATCTCTTTTGTTGAATTTTTGATTTACTTTCTAACGGTATCATCGTCAAAACTTTTGAGCCACTTTTGAGCTTTTAAGAAATTTCAATTTTTAGAGGTTTTTTTGCTGTAACTCGGTTCTAAATACAAGCAGAGACTTGAAACTTGTTAATAATACTTATATTAAGCTTACCTAGACGTGATGATTTAAAAATCATCGGGCGACTTTTTAATTTTTTTACAATTGTACTTTATTATTTTGTTTTACTATGTAGACCACTTTTATCCTAGAAAACTTGCTCCGATGTATAAGAGTAGCACTTTTTCTAAAAGTCAATTTTATCTACTTGGTAAATACATAGGTCATTTTTTGATTTTCGAAACGGTATTTAAAATAAAAAGTATTAATCTGGGAAAACAATACGAGATTTTCACGATTTCGTTATTTGAAATAAGTACCTATCACGTTTTCTAGCACAAATATGGCTCCAATTGTAAAATGACAAGAGACCTGTTTTGTTGAACTATTAATCTTGTTTTTAATGATGCAGTTTTTTTATTTTCGAATTAGTTTTCATAATAATTGAGAAAAACGTAGGGAGGTTAGGTTAAAAAAATTACAGTACTTCAAATTATGTATTACCAAACGGCGCTCTGAATCGTCTTTCGTCAGCAATGGTTTATCGTTGCTTACAGATATAAATGAAATAACCTTATGCATTCCACCCCACCCACTACCTAATTACAACAGTGATAGCATTCATCCCTGAATTAGCTCTTTATTTAAATTTGTCTGTTATGTTTCAAACAAGTGTGGGCAATTATTGTAGATGAGACGTTGGAAAAGTAGGGTAAAGAAGGAAATTTAATGTATATCTGTATGCAATGATTAATCATTGCTAGCGAAAATCGATTCTGAGCGGAGATCGGTTATGTTAGGACCTAACAGTTAGGTTGTAGTATTTAAGATTTTCATCAAAATATGATATTGAAATTCTTATAAAAAAAAAATACATAATTACTCTTTTTTTTTTTTACCACTCCAAAGTTCAACTTTTAACGAACCTCCTGTTAAACTGTTAAGCATTTCTGTTTGGACGAACAATTTTATCCGCAGAGTACCTACCGAATAAATATATCGGAAAAATCTCGTAAAATTAAAATGTCTATAAATAGCTCAAAAATGGCTCAAATGTTTTGAAGATTTTACGACATCTATAAAAAGCAAACAGGTCTCGTGTAGAAACTTACATTCGCTCGACGAAACGCGTGATACGTGCGTTGGGGTTTTGTCTGTGACGATTTTGGGGGACGGCGAGTTGTCGGCGTTCGCGACTAGCCTTGGTCTGTGGCCATGCAATCGCGGATCGACGATCACGTTCGTCCGTCACGCGACAACCTCGGTGATCGACGTGCCGTTTTGTGGTCCTGGTCCGTGGCGCGTGATGGTCGAATGGTAGGTCCTCTCAGGAACTATACGGTTAGTGATTATCGCTACGTCTAAATGTGGTCCCTAAATGCTATCGGTGGTTGGCGCGAATGCATCTGGACTCGACGTCTATTGCAGCGGGTGGTCAGACGTGCGGTTTCGGACGACGGCAGCGAGGAACAACGCGAGGGCTTCCGTCAGGCTCTGCGCGCTGCGACCCACACGTCACAGGAACGCTGCTGACGCGAGCTTTGCTAGGCCGTGGACGTGGACCCGTGGGGGTTTCTCTATTGAGTTATGACGCGCAAACTCGTTTAATTGTGTACAGAATTCTTATCACATCACTAACGCATGTGCATTGTGCGTCTTATCAAACATTCAAACTGATTGAATGAAAATTGGTCTAAATTGCTATGCATACGCGCGTATGGGAGCGCGGGAATATCTAAAATTTTCAAATTTCGATGAAATTAGTAATTACTCTGTGGCATATCTAACGTAGATGACGTCGCCATTACAAATTGAGTGTTATTTTCGATTAATTTTCGACACGAGCGAGCAAGTGGAGGTGATCACAGAAAAAGGTTTAAGTATACCTGTATATTTTGTTAAACATTTTCTTTCCAGATTTGTACACTCCGGGCTATTATAGGTACTTACCCGTATTTTAAACGAAGAAAGAGACATTATCTAGGTTGAATAACCCGTTAAAATAAGTTTGGTGTATGGTTAGTCTCATACATTTTAATTTATCCGTTTATTATTTTGTTATACTCTACCACAGAATAATATGTATAGGTTTACCATGCACAGTAAATATATACTCAATAATTATTGTTATCAGTTTGTTCTTAGTAAATCTGTACTTATCTTGTCAGTCAACAATAATTAATAGAATAGTATCATAAAATATTATTATGTTTAAAAATCTGTGTAAATAATTATGTTTGTTTGCGTCATATAGTTTCAACGTAATAGATATGTTTAAATTGTTTAATAAAATAATGAGAATACTGACTAACACTTTATTTGATTTTTTAATAGTCGATATTAATACGTTCACTCGGTCAAAAACTGAAATATTTTACATGGAATGGGTGGCTACCATGTGGCCACCCCCAGCCACCAAATGGTATTCTACCACGATTCATCAGTTAACGGACCGCATTCCAAGACCAACGGCCTCCACGTTGGACAAAATTTCAATTTTTGGCAGTAAAACCGTCAAAATCCATTTTATTTTTGTCCCTAGAAATCTTACATAACGTTTTTGATTGACGCACGTAGTTATGGTGGTTTAAATCGTGTTCACAGACATGCAGAAAACAAAAAAAATAACAAGCACACATCATCTAGATTCGCTCAGAATTAAAAAAGATATGAAGTTTGCGTGGCAAAGTGCTTTTCTTGTAGATAGTGCAGTGAATTTGCTTAAGTTCTCGTTAGAAACTATCTTGACATTTTATGTAGGTCGTCGCTAAATTATTTAATAATTTTTTTTCAATTTCCCAGTTCACTCCTATTACAAAATATCATTGAGAGTCAGAAACTCCTTCTCTCGTAAATAATTTATACCTACGTCTATAAGTATACGGTGAATTATACGAGCCTTGAGATATTTTTAATTTTTATATGATCCGGAATCCTAAACATACGATATTGCAGCCGATCGTACAGTGCGTCGAATTTTAAATGTGTTTATTTTACACAGCGCTATCGCAGTTAACAATCTTTAAGTTTTATCATACAGCCAGATACATTGGATGACAAATGACTATATGATACGAGTATATAATTTTTTATTCGTTTGTTTAACCCGCACAAATTCGCGACGCACTTTTTAATAACAGTTTATATTATGTAGGTACATGAATTTATACGTGTGACTGGATGAAGTGGAAAGAAGCGATTGGAAAGCGCTGTGTGGTCAATTTTTCAAAAATAAGAGGCAAATTTGTAAGTAATTTGTATTATTATGATGACGTACTACGTGCTACGTGATAATATGGGCATGTCGAGAGAAGTATAGATACGATGAGATCAGATATAGCTAGATAGGTATATGAAAATAGTAGGCGCAGGCTAAAGAAAAATTAGCTAGAACCGCCTCTGGGGGAGGTATCAAGCTTAGGTATGGCTTGTAGTTGAGATAATGATGATGGGTATAGGGAGATTTTAAGGGCACAATAAGAGTAGTTTAGTTCATAACATACTTGATACTTCCAATCATGTATGATAAAAATATTATATTAGGTATTACACATTAGGTACTAAACATTTTGCTTCAAACGCATCAACTTTAGAGGTAATTTCTAGTAGTTAATTTGGTCAATTCGGTATATGAAAAATACTTTGTTGGTTTCTATTTAATATTTTTCGTCTGGTCTTTCGGTGTATAAAATGAAGGTGAACTCAATTTTGATGCGAATTTTAACTATTAATTTATTTTAGTATAATATCACAATAGTATGTTATCGTAGTTCACAGTCATAATTCAGTTGCGTGGCCGGATGCGCTCGATGTCTAACGGGCGTGTGTTTCGTTAACTTGTTTTGCCATATAAATGTACGACCACGAGTGAATTATTCATAGAATAATAATACTCTACAGACTGCAGTCGGTACGCAATAATATTCGATGATAGTGTTTTGACTGATTGGTTAAACAATCCAAAGATAAAACGTCCATGGATGTCCAATGAAAAAATGCCCAATTAAGAAATCGAAGAAATAAATAAATTATTGAATTTTGTGTTTTTGATAATTTAAAATCTGAATGAATAAAATATGTATACTTCTGGGTATGAATGAATTTTGTGTGATATTTTTGTTTCCCTAAGTCATAATTTTATGTTTATCATACATTATGTCATTTTATCTACTAGGTACACCAGATAAATTATAGAAATCATGTGCCTCTGGGTGAAGGAAGTTGATAGTATAGATACCCAGTGGTGTAATTTGGACATGGTACCTATTTTACGACAAACCATAAATACAGAAATTTCAGGGGTTACAAATTAATACTTTGGCGACCCATTGATACTCCTCCTCAATTACGCCATTGTAGATACTCCCCGAAATTCCACAGTAATTACGTAACTGGTTTAGATGCTTTTTTAAGTATAGTTACTGCAACTCTAGTAGCGTTCACTTATACGTTTATGTTTCTTGTAAACATATTCAACACGGACACCTCTCGCACCCCTCTAGGCACTGCCCTGTTCTTTTTCTCATATTATACAATTCAAATTCCGTCTGTCTGACATTAATGCAAATCTACAGTTTTATTCCGATGATGATGAAACTTGACAATTAAAACAAGAGAAAAATCCTTTTACTTTTTATCTCGAAATTCAACCCACTTGTTGACACAGGGTTTTTGGTATTTTAAAAACGGACGTTCCATGTTATACTGTCGATTTACCTATGAGTTTATTATATGTACATATATACAATTTCCATAGTCGGAGTTAGGTAGAGAAGACGATTTATTCACGATTCTCATTTCCCACATCTCCGTCCCGTTGGGAATCCTCGGGCACGCCACTGCCTATACCTAGGTAGGTACGCATTGTTGTACGCGCGTAATAATAATAATATCTGTGTAGTAGTAGTAGCAAACAACAGCAGCATAAAACAAAAAAAAAAAAAAAACAAAAAAAATGGACTGTTTACGGCGTGATAATAATACACGTCGCGCACGAAATAACGTATATCATTATATTTTTATACCTACAACATAGGTACATTATAATAATTTTTTTCTCGTTTTCGCTGGCGCACGTACGCGGCCGTGTGTAACACAAAACACCTAATATGATGACGACGTTGCGAGTATTCGAGTATTGTAACGAGTCGCAGGCGATTACAACAACGACACGCGGAATCATAATAATCATGATAATAATAATACAAATAATAATAATAATATATTACGCCGCGGATCCGGTGTCGCACGGGGAGAGACGGTTCGTTGCGGTTACGGGTTACCGTTTTCTACGGTCGCGGTTCGTAGGACTCGTCAACGGGAGCGGAGTGCGGAGGCGGACGACACAGCGTCGCGGCCGCGCCGACCTTGGCCGCGCGTAACAACAGGTGCTCCGATAACGTGAGCCCCGTCGTGTTGGCCGCACTGCCAGAAAAATTCCCTCGGCTCGCGGAGGCACGCCTGCGCGCGGCGCAACCGCGCTAGAAAAATTTGATACCGTGTCCCGTTTGTTTTCCGTAAACGGTCTACAGTTGTTTACGTTTCAGTCGTTTGTCGTGGTGACCGTGGTGAATCGCATTCCGTCCGTTTGTCTCCGGCAGCAGCTGTGTACCTGTCGTTGTCGTTATTCTAATCGTTAACTTACTATCCGTTTTATAACAGCAAGAAATTCAAGACGAACCCCGAAATAACAACAACTTCACGACAGTGTACCTTTGTCGTGTACATGGGTCGCCGCTGTTGATCATCGTCGTATCTGGAGATTTTCGCGCGAACGGTAAGTTCACCACGGAGTTTTCAATAACTAGTTGTTCCGGTGAAATACCTTGTTGCCGTTGCTTTTATCACACGGTCGGCCGTTCTTCTGGCGAACGCCACCGTCTCCCTCCAATGAAGTAGGCCACTATTAGTACATTATAGTCGGGTGCTGGAATTTGGTAGACTTCTTTTCAATTTGGTATGCCCAGAATTCCTTCCATCATCGGTTACGCCCGTAATCGACACATTGATACTGTTTTCCTTGAGCCGTGTGGGTCCTGACACCGATTTACTTATAGTATTACTAGTAAAATTGTAAGTTTTAGGTACTGATTTGCTATATTATTTCTGGAAGTTGGAATGTGTAGGAGTGGCTTGATATTCATAAAAATATTATTGGTTCAGTTGATGATAAAAATGAATGGTATTAACATTGGATGTTTTTTTTTTAAATATTTAAATTTTTTAAGCAAGCTACAGTGGTTTTTAAATTCTAATATTTATGTTAATATTTTTTGCTTAAAAAAAAAAATATTGAAAAAAAACTAATGTTCAAGCACAGACAATGTACTTACTTTTAAGTTAAATAATAGCTAAATTCACTATAATGTTAAAACTAACAGCATAAAAATGTTTCTTCTGAACGAAAATTTGACATTAGCCATTTTTTAAAAACTTATTTACATACCAATAATAATTTGAATAATGTGGTAATTTTGATAATTTAATGTTAACATGTTTAATAACTCTTTTTTTTATATATAGTAGTTAAGTAGGGCTTGTTTTAGATTTAAAATGTTATATTTTTTGATGCTTTGAAATTAAAATAACTGGAAAAATAATGGCACAAAATAAAACATAATATTATAAGTTATAACGTAAGGTTAAGTTGATTACAATTTATTTTTTTAAATTGAGATGCGCACTCATGACGTATATCCGTTGATATAAAAAATGTATTGTTATACTTAATAAATAGCGTGGTGATGCCATACATGGAAACTGCTCCTTCCTAGTAAACTAATAGTAGAATAGAAGAATTATAGACCAGAGACCCTGATGTTATTAAATGGGTACAATAAGACTAAATTTGTTATTTGTAGTTATTATGAAAGGTATACCTAATACATTTAATTTTGTATGAATCTTAGTTTGAAAGTAAAAAGTAAATAAGTCTACCATAGAGATAAAAAAAATATATAGTTTGATAATCAAAATATTTATTATGTACCTACTATTATTTTTATTACTATTACACAAAAGTAAAATTATTTTCATTATCATTTTACCAAAAAAAATTTACGAATATCATATTAGATATTGTCCAGTGGTTGAAACTACTGAATTTATTAGTATTATTCTTTGTAAATAGAGTTTAATTTTGTATTGATTTCTTAATTGGATTATGGTATCTAATTTTCTATCTACTGTCAATAAACAAACTTAATCTAACCTCTTTTTTTCACCCTTCATTTAATGGTTTTCGGGATGGTTTTAGATGTATTATAACCGAATTACACCTGTTAATTAACAATTTTTAATTTACCTGTGATTCAAAAACTGACTACATAGTAAAAATTATAATAAAAAAAAGATACTGAATACCTACTGATGGTTTAAATCAAGAGGGTAAATCACTGATGGATATTGTTTTCACTAGATTCCAAAATACCATCATTTTTCCAATAATTACCAAAGATTTCTGTTAGTGGTTTATTCGCTGGTTTAAACATTTGTTCAACAAATATTATATTTACTATTCACTGCCTATTTAGTTTAATAATTAATAATGATAATATAAAGGTTGGGTATAGCACTATAGTTGTATAAGCATATGACAAGGTGTACTGTACGTATAGATACTTATTATTTATGAACAGAATATTTTTTTCCCATTGAATTTCGATAAGTGAAAAAAAGATATAGGTATACATACTATGGTGCATGGTATTTTGTATAATTTTAAATTTGTTAAGAATGTGTGTATAATAATATGGACAGTTAGTTTTGAATGCCAATTTGGTTTGTTGATAAATTAATAAAAAACTTATTTGATATTAGTTGAAAAATAATTTACCTGTTACCATTGATTTTATAATATACTTTATACTATATTACATATTATAAAAGCAATGCTATTACTAACTAATCGCGAATGTCAATTGAAGAAAGTACCTATCCATATTTTTCAGACAAAAAAAATCCAGTCATGTTATTGTTAAAATTATCAGTATAAGTTACTCGCGGTTATTCGTAAACATTAGGTGTATATATTTTATTTTTACTAACTGTACTGCCTGCCGTTGCCCATCAAAAATAAAAAATGATCATTATGTTATTATAGCCCTTACCCGGACTATCTTATTATTATTATCACTGTTTTTTAAATTTCATCCCTATCACCAAGGTAACCCATAAATCAACAATAATATATAATTTAATGATAATTAGATTTTCGTTCCCAAAATACCAATAAGCCTGTGTCAGCTCACCTTTAGGGTTGAATAGGGGGAGGGGGGAGGAAGTAATTTTAATGTTATTTCTGGTGTGGAACTACAATCTTTACACGGTATTTGCTCAATTCGTTCAGTATCTTGGGCGAGAAATGGTAACAAACAAACTTACACTTAACCATCCACACTTTCGCATTTATAATATTAATAAGATGTAATTCTTGATTACTGCTATTGAAATAATTTTATGTGCACAATTTTCATATTAATGAAAACGAAAATCTTTTAATCGCGAAAAAAAAAAATTCTAATAATAGTATCGAAAACATTGAATCTTAAAATATAATATACTATTAGTATTACTGTCCCTATGAACGTATGATTTATAGTTTTGTAGTTTGAAATACATTAAGCCCTGTTCGTTACTGCCTATACTTTAAAAAAAAAAAAAAATCATTGTTTACCTCGTGTTTATTCTTCTATTCACTGGCATTTCCTCGATTGTGAAAGTATTTTAGTAGGTAGTGAGTCTTTTTGCGCTCCACAATGTTAGCATTTTCGATTAAGTAGTTCAACGGGCAATTTTGACCTTGTATAATAATATAATAATTATAATACAAATTTAAACAATTTTAATTTAGTTTCAATTACTAGGTATAAAAATTAAGTCATTGAATTTGGTACGTTAATTTTGCAAACATTACGCACGCGATGATATTGTTCTAACTTTAAGTACCCACTGGTATAATATTATTATGCACGTGTGTAGTTTCGCTTCTCTCATTATTGTTTAATAATTGTAATAAATAATAGAAAACAGAAAAATAATAGGCAAGTAATATCCTGCCTATACGCTACCCGTTTGACTATTTAAAATACATTTCGCAAACAACTGAATACGTTAACAATTTAACAGCAATTTTATTATTTGGCCCAAACCAAGTACGTTTTTATTTTCCGTGGATTCTAATGACGCTGACCTACATATGAAAACAGTTATCAAGAATGCACGTATCCGTATAATATAGGTATTTTTCGAAAATATATTACACATTATTCTTTACAATAATACCGTGTTATTATACATTTATAACCGTAACGTTGCAAATGTTATTATGCTTCTTTGTACGGTTTTAATAAATTTCGGAGTATTATGCGGCTTTTTTACAGACAGGTGCGATACAATATCATTGTCTTTGAAATAACTGTAATTGAATATGTAATTGTAACAAGATAAACTAGGAATACAATATTCGATTTATAGAATTTTTTGAATAGAACCAATAATTGACCGTTTGATCCGTTTTGTGTTTAAATCGATTTAAGAATCCTTATTTTACATAATTATATTAGGTAGGTATGTAATGACGTCCTTGAAATTGAATTGCTAATGTTTTGGCTACAGTCAAAATAAATACGATGATAATGTGCGAGTGTTTTAATATGATTAGGTCTTAAAAAACTGTATCCGTATCATTCGTAAAAAGTCATCGATGTAAAGTTATGTGTTCAGTTTTAAATTCGAGAGTGAATATTAGGTGCCGATTTTGATTGTTCGAGTAAAAATAATAAATTAGGTACACCGTGTCCATATTCCATACCTTACAATATCATTACTATATATTATTTTAAAATTCCAAGACGTATATTTATACAGATGAAGTATAACCGCGAAAACCGCGGTTATGGTCCACTTATTTGGTAGGTAAAATAATTTTTAACGAAATTGATATCGGTTGTTCGAAAGAATAATGAGATTAAAGACCTAGCCATTTTTTTCGAGATTTGAATGTTGCTCGCTGATTGTCGGTTTTTTACTTTATAAAAATCTTTATATTAATTTTCAATAATTAAAAATACGGTCAATCGATGTTGCGCGGTTTATTTTACAAACGTTTTACTTAGGTGTAGTAAATGCTAATTTCATACGAAAATAAACAACATTATTTTAATTTCAGAGACAGGAAATTATAAAAATTTATATTACACCAGTTTTATAACGATTTTCGTGATTCCAATCAGGCACGTGTGTTGCATCAATCTGGTCGGTATCTGATTCTGAGCGCCATCGAGAAACGTATTGGTGATGTATCGCGGTGTTTCCCTTTACCGTGTATTTCGGTTGTTTTTGACATTACACTGCGGGTAGTAGGCACACCAATGAGTGTAAAGCATGATGTAAGATACATCTTCAATAACCGTTGTCGGTTTAACGATGCTCGTTTGAGGGTGGTAAAACACCACCAGTCCAATAATAAAACGTCATCGTTCGGAAATAAATTGCACTGTTGCGCACGAGTGAAAAAACCGAACGCGACGGTACTTTGTAGGTAGGGGTTATCGTTTAATCGAGCGATTTCCCCGCGGTTTAACGCCCCGAAAACTGCCGTTGATTGCGAATTAAATTACTCGGCTTGTACACGCGCGATTTCACTAGGATGTAACACGTTCACTCCGGCTCATCGGGCCGGACACGGAACTGTCGCGATTCGCTGTTGTTTCGCTCGCGTTTTTGCCCGCGGAAAATCGACATGCACAACGATTTAACAATGTAATATTAGTGCCGCGCCGACCAATGACATACCGATAACACTTCGGTAGGCAATCGTTGTTGCGGTGATACAGCGGCAGCCTGCCGTTATTGTCTTTACTTCCTATATTATTGTTATTCGCGTGGCCGCGTCGTGTGCAAGACCGCGGCAGTGACATCGCTCGTTTACGGAACTGTTGACCTCACCGTTCCCGAAGAACGCAGATCATATGCCCGGCATGCACACGCGCGTATTGTGTATGGCCACGATTGCAGGCCGTGCGTTTACAGCGAGTTTTTTTTTTTTTTTTGCTAATTTTTTTTTATTTCCTCCTCTACGCCGTCTTTTCACAGCTTTCATGCTGTAAAATGTCTGCGACACCTAAAACACGTTATCACAGATTTCACTCGCCTTTCCATTTAATATCCGCGGGCCGAATAACAGTACACTGGTCGCAATGATTTATCGTCCTCCGTCCGTCGGGCATCGTCTGCTCGCACGCCCCGCGTGTTGCGTGTCTATGATCACGACGCGACCGTACACATATCGCTAGAAACCCGAGAGAAAAAAAAAAAAAAAAATTTAATAAAAATAGCCGGCGGATACGGTATTGCGGATGTTTTGTACGTCGCGTCGCGCCCTGGGTCACCGGCACGTGGGCCGACCGCTGTGTACAGATGTTACACTAATGCGACGCGGGCACAAAAATAAATTGCGATTTTTCGCGGTTGTGCGTCTGAAATTTTCGGCCACTTTTTGCCGAGCCCGAAAAGTCGCTTACGCGTATACGAATGGGAAAATAGCGCCCGAAATGCCGCGAGTTTTTACGATTCTAACTTTAAACGCCCATAAACGAAAATACTACATAGCACGGCTTAATATTTTCGTTCTTTTGGCCTCCAAGTACAATACTCATGACCGACCACTTGTTAGTTTCGAGCATTTTTGTCGAGCTAAAAATACGTATCCCCGTTAAACTATAAATACTAGATAATTTCAAATGGCCGTAAATTGCTCTAAATTTCGCGTTGACGTTTATATTGAATTGAATTACTTAGACAATAAAATAGCAAATCCGAAAATAATTAAATATAAAATAAATAAGTTTTGTTAAGCGAAAAAAAAAACAGATTATTTTTTGTTGAACAAAAATTCGACCAAAACGATAAATTCTTGATAGACGACAATTGTTCTACAGTAAATATCGCACAAAAACGATTCACGTTACATGATATTGTGGTGCATATAACACGCACAAATAAAAATCTACTATCTTAGTTTTTTTGTATGGAACTCTAGAACTAGTGGTTCTTAAACTTAGGAACGTCTATACGTCTATATCACGAGAATGGCTTCAAGGAAAATTTAATTTTTTATTGGTAATAAACTAAAAAAACATAACGTTTCAAATAAACATGTATAAACTTGAAGGCGAAATGTACGGTTGGCTTGTATTTGACCGCAAACAAACTACACGGTGATTTTTTAGGGTTATATCGGTTTTTTTTTTTTTTTTTGTTTGTCAAACAATAAAAACTTATAACTACCGGTTCAGATTAATCACTAGTCGTTAAATCCACGTCGGTGTATTTTTTTTCACATTCAATCGTAAAAAAAAAAAAAATAGAAACTATAAATGTATAGTTGGCCGATAAAATATGTACCGATTTTAGAAAGTAATTTTAAATCTATGGCTATTAAAAATCTGTTTTATCAGGTTTTTTTTTTTGGTAGCATTGCCACTTAATTATGTAGGTAATTGCTTTGGAAATTACCTATTTATTTTGACTCTATTTAATTTCAATATTATTAAAAAATACTATGATAAAATGTACGGATATTTAGTTAGTTCGTAAATTGTTTTATTTTAATTAGATTTATAGATCTCCAAATGAGTGCGATTTATCGTTAAATATCGTGTACGATATCAGAACGAGAAAAAAATGGCTCCATAAAAAAAAAAACCATATTAGTCGTACTCTAATATAAAATTCACATGTAGCTTTTTAATTCATTGTTTTATTACGATTTTTCGTGTTTATGAGCTATTTCAGTGAAATTTCCATGTACCGCAGTACCTATCATGGGCAACAAAAAAACCACAACACATTCCTTATTGCCACGCATTATATTATTATACATCATGTATCATTTATTAGATACATTTAACATTTTTATTTTTGTATCTTTTTATGTAAGTTTTGGTATAGTTGCTGCTCGTTAATCGTCGTCTTTATTTTCATTTCTTTTAACGACTACTGTCTATTGGTTATTTAAAAACATCAGATTCGTTTTACGGGTATAAAGTTATTCATAATTAAATTTTGTAGCCTGTAGGTCGTGGTTCTCAAAAATAGTTCGTTATATGAAAGTTTTACTGTACCTGTGTACTTATTTGTTCGATAACATATTTATGACTTTGGTGAATTCGTTTGCATAAAATTATGCTATATTGGCGTATAGATGTGTGATACAGTGAGTTGAAACTAACCAGCGAAATCCACCAATAAATTTAAAAATATAATTTTAATTAAATAACATTCGTATCGAATGTTCACCAAATACCTTTAATTTCAACAGATGAGTAAAACCAGTGAAAGTCACTTTAATTTCTAATCAATATCGATGATTTTACTACCAACTACCTGTATATAGTGTGTATGTATATATATTTATATTATAATATATGTATAGATCGGTTGAGAGGTAATTTAAAAAAAAAGTATACCCGTAATACCTAGATTTGGTAAGAAATTCATGTGTATCACCGTAATTTTGTGATAGTTCATATTATTATATATTTTTAGTTTAATTACTTACCATTATTGTAATTTGTGGTATAATCGAGCTAATCATGATATAATGAAAACCACAATTTATAATTATAGCATAGTTATTTAGATGCTTACAGTATATATATTTTTAATCAACACTAATGCGTTATACAGACGAAAATTATCATTGAGTTTGTGCTGACAAAATTACAATTTTAGATGTCGTGTGTATTAATTAATTTAAATTTATTTATTTGACACGATCATGACCTAAAATTTGTCATCAATTTGCCACACCTCTGAAAATAGCTGAGAATCGTCGTGTACTATTTAAAATATACGAATAACGATGCTGTTAAAAATGAAATGAATCGTTGTATTATTATTGAAGTCACATTTTTTTGTTAGCGTTGCCGCGTTTAAATAAATCTTCCGGAGCCAAACGGAACGCTAATGCTTAAAATATTTTTTTGAATTATATCTTAATCGACTATTCTGTTATTATTTTATAGGCCGCAATCACCTAGCCATTGTATTTCTAACTCGTGTAAGTTCATAAATAGTACCTACTCATTACTCTGTAAATGTAATACAATTTTAATTGTGTGCGCGTGTGTGTGTGTGTGTGTGTGCGCGCGCGTGTGTGTGCTGCGCTTCCATCAGAGTCTTTCAAATATTATTTGTAACTTAAAATTAGATTGTTTAAAATCACATTGTAAAACTAATAATAAAAAAGCCGGACGTACCATTCGCACCATTCCAAGTTTGAAAAATACCTATTATATAGGATGCATATAGTAGTAGTAGTATAATAGTAGTAGGTATAATAGGTATTTTTAGGTTTAGTTATACAGGGTCTTCTACAGTGTTCTCCTTATGCTAATAATTCTGTCAATATTCATATTTTTTTTTCAATCGGGTTTTGTGCGAAGGGGAATCATATGTAATGAAAAATTAAATTTTTATTTTCATCCCTTAATTATTGCAAAAAAAAAAATTATAACTTTTCAAAATAGCAATTTTGTAAAATACATTATTTTAAAAACTTTAATGTATCATACATTCATATTCGATTTATAGTTTCTTAGTAATAGCAGTATTAATTTCTGGAAAATTGGTGTGAAAACGATTAATTTTCAATAGAATAACACGTTACGCGATAACGAAGGGATTTAATAATTAAGAGATGAAAATGTAAATTTAATTTTTCTTTACAGATGTTTCCCCCCTCAAAACCCGATTGAAAAAAAAAAATGCATATTTACCGAGTTATTAGCAATAACGATAACACTGTAGGACTCTAGGACATCCTTGCTGTATACTTTAATTGTTTAGAAAATATGTCGGGAATCCAATGAAATGTTTCAAATGGAAGTATTACCTATCAAACATGGACGCCCGCAGGAGATTTATCCCGGGGGGGGGAGGGGGAGAGCAAGTAGTATAAAACATAATATATTTATTAAAAATCAAATATTTTGTATTACATATAGATTTATTTATTTTCAAAAATAAATTATAATCGTCTTGTACCAAAACAATCTACACGTTCTTCATACAAATTATTATTATTTATAAGGTAATTTACCCTATTTCTATGTGTATATTCATCATGCTTAAAGCATCGAGTCTTCCGTTAATCATGGTAGAGCGTGTCCGGGTTTTAACCCTTCGGAACGTTTTGAAGGACCGTTCAACAGTATAAATAGTTGCTAGGATACTAGAGACCAATACAAATTGTCGAAAATACTGATGGGTAAAATATTCCTGAATTTCTGCGCTATTATAATATAATGAAATGTAGTGTGTGGGAAACTTAACACGTTTTAAAAATATACATTACAACCAATCGACAATCTTATCAAATGTTTTTATGATAATGGCCTTTCTTTTTGCGCAATGTGTGATGTGAACTATTTAAATTTTCAAAAACTACTATTTTTAGTAAAGTACAATCAAATTCTTAATCTTTTTAATCTGTATAAACAAATCGGATCATTCAGAAATTTTTTTTTTTAATTAATTAAAAGCCAATTATTTGTAATTTCGAAAAATTCCCCAAAATAAACTACCATCAGTCAAAAAATCCACATCTAAGGTACAGCCTGAAAAAATCGAAATTTTTAAATGAACGAAAATATGTTTTCCGAGAAAAACTAATAGTTTCTTAGATACATTCAGAATTAATATAAGCTGATTTGTAAATCTGCATTGACTCAATTTAAGTAAGTCCCGTTCCTGATATTAGTGTCGTATTTAACATCAGGCTAATTAGGCTGAAGTTTATTAGGGTGGCAAAATTGATTCAAGTGATTTTTTATTGATTGCTTGTAAAAATAATATTTGTATACAAATTGTTTGAAAATAAATAAATAAAAATATCATAGTTTTTTTTTGAGGAAGAGGCATGAGTTCATGAGTCATGCCGCATGATTGTTCTGTATAGGAAAAGCACAAAAAATTAGTCTATAAGGGCGACAAAAATCTAAATACGCTATTTCCTGTTACGATAAAAAATATAGGTATAGACACATCGAATAGAAAATATTATTTTTTTTAACGTTCTAAGGTTTTATAAAATATCTGATAATTTATAGTCACATATTAATGTGTTATGTGTATTTTTACATAAGTTTAAATGGTTATTTTTTTTTTTTTTGTACGCACATGAAAGAATAATAATATAACTATTCAAAGGGTTACAAAATTACCCTCTGGAAATTGTTTAGGTTCGTGACAGCGTGTAGCGTACAGAATAATATTATATGAAATATTGAAGCGGTTATTGACTTTAAACACGTGCGTGAGTGCCACTCCTTACCTTTAGTTCTCTTTCATTTGTCCTCCGTGTGTGTATATCGAACCAACTACTATTACTAAAATGTGAAAACACAATAGATAGTGAAATTTAACGAAAGCATAGGACTACTAGGGAAATCTGTTAGTCCATGAACAATATCTAAATACGCATGTAGGAGGTATCTAGGTACATTTTTATTTTTTAATTATTAAAATTCGGTTGTTTTTCGTCAAAAAAGGTAAAAAAACAAAAAAATAAAAAACCATTAATAGTTTTAGTTTAATAACTAGATACTTAATATTTTGCCAGTAATCCGTAATGTTTGCCAATCGGTTATAACTTCATTTATTTTATTTTTTGCACAGTTTTCCAGTCGTAAGAATTTCTATATTTATTTAAAAATGTGTAATTATGTTGACAATGTTTTTGATGGACTTGAGAAAGTAAGGGAAAACGTAGCTCTATAGAAATAAAATGCCTCCGAAATTCCGAATCCGAAATCAAATATTAAATTACCGCACGGTTATATTATAATCAGATTGTTTAATGATGTAAATGTATATTTTTTTTTCGTTGTTCCCCTATATAGAACAATTTTGTTGTATTTTTGTTTTGCGTTTGTGAACGTTTAAATATGTATCTTTGTATGTAAATTAAAAGGAGAGTCGAATAAAGTATTTAACTAGTAATTTATTAATAGAGGTCACCATTAGTTCATAAATGACCGTTCATTATCATTTATCACAAATATAATTGTCTGATAATTTAACTGTCGAAATTAAAGTGGCACACTTAATTTACAACTATAATGTCGATTTGGATATTTTATTTACGGCACTTACGTGCATTTTGTTTTTTAAGTTTGAAACTTGACCACAGTCTGCTATTATAGGTAGATACTCAAAACTCTCAAATCCACCACTCGCTTTAAAACCACACAACTCCAGTGTTTGTACAAGAAAATGTTGCTTGGTATTGAGTTTGAAATTTTACCAAGCATAACGCGAACTTTATTATCTTTTGTTGTACACAATTGAATCATATTGTAGATAATAAATTATTAGAACCTGCCCTGTAGGTATAAATTTGAACAAATTATGATTTATTTAAAAACAAAATAAAAAAATAAGAATATGTATTCCAAATGCTACAATTTTTTCATTCTTGTCCCTTTTAAAGTCTACTTTAAAATACTCTCATGTATTGTCTTAGTCTTATGGTAAAGCATATGATAAATCAAATTGTTTTCAGCAGGGACAACATTATGTTATTAGTTTTAGTATTACATTGAATTGATTAGAAATTTATTTATTATCAAACTTAAAGATGTGAACATTATTCACATAGGTACTATCTACAATACATATCTATCTTAAAAATTAAACAAAATAGCTCTAACGCTGCACAGATAATATTATTATCCTATTAGATCAATTCACTCTAATATTAAAACTAACAGAACAATATTGTCCTTGTTGAACAAATATTTCCTGTCTCGTATGTTTGTAATATGAATACATACTGCAATGGCTAATGCAACCAGGATATTTTAAAGGAAAGTGTCACATTCCCACATTAAAAAAAAAAAACTACTTTTTTAGCATATTTAATATTTATATAACTTAAAATTAATTGTAGGGGGGTGTCCAGACCCTCAAAACACCTCTCTGTTTGTGCCACTGATGACATCACCCGTGAGTGTCACTTCTTATTAATTTGCACTTAATCCCTACCCTATCTTTTAATTTGATTTAATTTTTTACCTAGGTTTTCCATAATATGTAATAATATGTGTATATAAGATGTTTATCTCAGCTTTAATAAAAGAAGCAAATGCAGGAAGGTTGGTCGTCAAAATCATGAGTTACTATTATTAATTACATATAATAGATATCTATTGGATCTAGTCATTAAAAAAAATATATTTTTTATAGTGATTACAGAAAATTCAGGTGGTCATATTCCGTTTTTAACCACCCTTCAGGTTTTAAAAAAAATTAATTTTGTGTAAATGTTTTACTTGTTAGTACCATACATTTTAAAACTATAATTTGTATAGCTTTCAGAAATATCTTTAAAATTAGTGTTAAATTGAAATTCAAAAACTTTAAATATTATGTCAAACTTCTGTAATTATTATATAATATTATTATGATGTAACATAATCGTGATTACAATCCAAAGATTAAAATTTTTTGGAAATTAAAATTTTGGAATTACAAATTTTCTTTGTGCATCATATTCTCACTATATTTCACTGACCACATTTGCCGTTTGTACCTATTGATTATTTTGGAGAACTTTGGTTGTATTCATTTATGGTATTGAGGATTACAGTAAGTACAGCTGTCCTGTTATTGTACTTCTGGTATTTGCCTACCAAACTTGTAGATTTTATTTTATTTGTGGTAAAGAGACGAACACAGCTAAGTTTTAAAATATTTTACTTTTCCACTTGTGTTAAACATTTTGAAATGTATGACAATAGTCATGAATCATTCTCATAATATTTGCTGTGTAGAAGAATAGTGTCTATACTATTATTATTATATATTTGTTAAATTATACCTTGCATTGTTGTATATCATTTTTGTAATGTGTTTAAAATTGTTCAAAGTATTGTATATTAATCATACTATTATATCCTTTTTTGATAATAAAATGTATTGTGACTCATAAAACCAGTATATTTGCCTATGTTGATAATTTAAATTTGTTTAACTCATAATACATATTACAATATGTACATAATTATTATTATTACTATTTTTTTTTTTTATAAAAATCCGATTTACCTTTGTTTCATTATTTTAATATTATGTAAAATATTCAGGCTTTATATCAAAATTGAGTATTAACTGAAACATAACATGCTAGGGATCAATTTATGTAATGAAGGGTCCTATAATGCCAACTCTATTATTTGAGGCCTTCGTGACTTTTTACTTGAACATATTGGTACCAATAATTTATACTGAGAATAAATTAATTTTTCTCTATTGTTACTAAAATCATGTATTCATTTTCAAAAATAAAGATACCTAATTATAAATTAAAAATATATCATTACATAAATAACTGTTTATATTATAATATGATTTAATATACACTTAAGTATTAAAATTCAGTTAATCATTATATAATATTTTATGAAACTTTCTAAAAAAAAAAAAAATTCCTTCAAAAATCCTGATTTATATCTTAAGTTGTTTTAAATTTTTTTCAAAAAGTAATCAATATAATGTTAACTCTGATTTTAACTATTATAATTTATAACAGTTTTTTGTGTATATTTAGTTAATATTCCTATTAATACTATAAAGAAAAAAATAAACAAAAAACGACTTCTTACTCACTGTCTAAATTAAAAATTCATCAAAAAAGATGTCTTGTTGTTTTTCTATTGAAGCAGAAAAGATAAATTGCAACAATGAAAACAGTGTAATCGGTAACGCCAAGGCACATCTGTAGTTCTCTTTCAAGTTTTTCCCAATTATTTCAAAAACCTTTTTTTAAATCAAATAATTACTTCTTTAATGCATCAAATAGACAAAATGTACTACATATTCTATACACTGGAGCAAGATTTATTTTCAAAATGTTGTTTATAGACAGAAAAAAAAAAATTGATATATGGTAGTATACATTATATTTAAAATACTACTTTCTGATTTAATGTTATGTTTTCTACTCTTAAATATTAGTGTACTTTTGTTACTATTTTTATATTGAATTGAAGGATATTTTATTTGTATTGCGGAACGGGTAATTTTTATTGTTGTATATTCAGATTTTTCTTGGACCGAATTATTAAAAGTGCACTGTCATTGTTATATCTTTTAAACCACTCTTTTACCTATTATTTTTTTTTTTTTAAATAATTTGTCATTGTAAAAAAAATAATAGACTGTGTAAACAAAATGTATACATTAAAAGTGTATTATAATGAAGGAATAATTATTTCTGGTTTTTTCTAGTTTTTCATGCAGTATTTAAATATATATATATATAAGCATAAAATAACCATATGAATAACTTTAATTTTTATTTAAAATATTGACTTCAAAATAGTACTTATTTAAAATAAGTATAAAAATAATTGTGTATTGTATCATATTTATATTTAAAATTAAAAATTTGTTTTAAATTTGTTAAAAGATACAACAAAATGACAGCAATGGAGAATGAATCTTCTGATGGAAATGCTTCACCAAAGAAGAAACCAATTCGTAAAGGAAAAACTGCTCTCGCTCGTGTTTTGTTATTGGATGGTTCTTATCTCGATATTCAAATTGAAGTAAATATATGAAACTTCAAAAAAGACATGTTTTGATTAGAAAAAAGTTTTTTTTGACATTCAAATATATAAATTTATTATTCTTAACACACTGTTTCTGATATTTTAGAGAAAAGCTAAAGGCCAGGAGTTATTAGATCAAGTATGTAATAAATTAAATTTATTAGAGCGAGATTATTTTGGATTATCTTATGAAGATCGACGTGATCCTCATAATTGGCTTGAAGTTGATAAGCGTATTGGAAAATTTTTGAAAAGTAAATTCAATTTTTTTTCTTTATTCATACATTTTGGTATGATTTATGTATTAACTTGTATTATTTATTTTAAGGTGAACCATGGCTGTTTAATTTTGAAATGAAATTTTACCCTCCAGATCCTAATCAACTTCAAGAAGATATCACTCGTTATCAATTATGTTTACAAATTAGAAATGATATTCTTAATGGAAAGTATGTGATAATTTATTAAAATAATGTCCTTTTTTTTATACTTTAACAATAAATTATTTACTAGATTGCCATGTTCTTTTGTGACTCACGCACTTTTGGGCTCATATTTGGTTCAGTCTGAACTAGGTGATTATGATATTGGTGAACATAAAAACAACACAGATTATTTAAAAGAATTTAAATTCGCTCCAATTCAAACACAAGAATTAGAAGAAAAAGTTATGGAACTTCATAAAACACACAAGTAAGATGATTATACTAATTTATCTAAGTAAAAGTTTTTTAAACTTAATTACTATAATAATTATATTTTTTAATTTAGGGGTCAAACACCAGCAGAAGCAGAATTAAATTATTTAAATAACGCCAAAAAATTGGCTATGTATGGTGTAGATTTACATCCAGCTAAAGATTCTGAAGGGGTAGACATAATGTTAGGTGTGTGTTCATCTGGTCTACTTGTTCACAGGGATCGATTACGTATTAATCGATTTGCATGGCCCAAAATATTGAAAATTTCATATAAGCGTAATCATTTCTACATCAAAATTCGCCCAGGTGAATTTGAACAACAAGAGGCAACAGTTGGATTTAAACTACCTAACCATAGACTAGCCAAAAAATTGTGGAAAAATTGTGTTGAACATCACACATTCTTTAGGTTTGAATGTGCATTAAAAAAAAAAGAAAAAAGTCTAATTTTTATATGTATTAGGTTGATGACACCAGAACCAACACAAAAACTTGGATTATTCCCTCGTTTGGGTTCAAGATTCCGTTACTCTGGCCGTACTCATTATGAATCTAAAAAAACTCCAATTGAAAGACCTGCACCGAAATTCCAAAGAAGCTTAAGTGGTAGAACATTAACTTCTAGGAGCATGGATAGTGAGTATTTTTTCATATTATCATGTATAATCTAATGAATTAAATTTTCAAACTTAAAGCTTTAGGAGGAACCAGACATTTGGGAGAAGATTTTGGAATGGAACCAGAGTCTAAAAGACACACCATGTCTCATCCTCCTGAACATGTTTCAGATTTAGAAAATAATCTTGGAAAAGATGGAAAGTCTAATAAAAATAATAAAAAGAAGGTAAGATTGACTGAAAAAAAATTTTAAGTCTAAAAAATTAGTATTATTAATAAAACTAATTTAACATTATTTGAGTCATATGTTAATTTATTATTTTAAAATGTTGAGTTTCCTTTATTTTTATTTTTATTAACAAGAGTGTAAAAATATGCTCGATAAGTTTCATTTGGTAACTCTGGGGTTGAACATAACCATACCAGTATAGGGTTATTTTCATTTTTCTTAAGCAAATGGAATAAAAAAATAAAAAAATTGTCAACCAACTTTAATTTATAGTATATTGTTTTAAACAAAACTTATATCAGTTATTTAAACTGTTTCTGAGTTTTGTCTAGAATTGTTTTTTTCATGTAATGGTTTTCGATGCTTTGAATATTACAAATAATTTTTGCATTCTACCTTCCTTAGTCATTTTTTGTTACAATATTAATATTGATAAAGTAAATTTGTGTAGTAATTTTACTTCTGTTATTGCACCCTAATTAATAGCAAAAAGAAAAAGTGAGCATAAGTTCTCATGACAGCTCTGTAACGGAGGAGGGCAATTACGAGGCTGAACGGAGCAGCTCAGACATTCATAAGCCAAAGGTATATGGTTAGATGGCTCTTCAAACATATTTGCACTCATTATTTAAGCTAAGTTGATCTTGAAAATATTTATTGCATTGTAGAAGATTTAAATTTTATTTATTGCAATTTATTTATCTTATTTATTAGAATATTTTTATTTCAAAGTCAACTTAATAACTGCACATTTTATTAATATAAGTTTTAGATTCTTTGTGTAATGTGGAATCTGTTGGTTTTATGATGATGTGTATGTTTTTTTTAATTTGGTTTTAAGTTAGTAGTTGGTTAGTATGTGGTTTTTTGATTTTCCAAGAAGTTTTCATAATGATTGACAACCTTAAAAAAGACGCAGACACAATGGAGAAATTTTACAGAAATTATGGTTTTATTACTTTAAATTTTTTTTTTTTTCATTGCAATTCAGTTATATATATCCATAGACTTGACAAAAAACATTATTTGTTTTTACTGGACATTTTGTTAATTCTTGAGCTTTTTATGAGTATTCTATGTTTATGAGTTTTTTAAGTAGTTTATATTTGGTAGTAAGTTACTATGGGGGTAAATTTATTTGACATTTAAGAAATACTTACAAATTTAACAGAAGGTTCATAATAGGTTGTATGTTTTATACAGTGGTAAAACAAATAAATAATGTATTATAATACAGTAATTTTGTTTTTTTATAATGGTTTTAGGATCAAATTTTGATAAAAATTGTAAATATTATGACCTTTCAAATCATGTATAAACAAAATTGGTTCAAAATCTATTTTCGTTAGTAATAGCTTATTGTTGTTTACAGATATAAATTAAGTAACTTTATGTATTCTATCTTGAAAAATTCCTGTCTACAACATTGGTAACCGCTTATTATAATCACAATTAATGTTATCAAAAAGCGGTCACACAATATTACCAGTTTGAGGACATGAAATTAAAAAACTGACATCAATCAAACATTTTTTTTAAGTTGGTAGTTTTTAAATGTATTTACATACATTTAGGTTTTAATTTTTTTTTAACAATTTCAAATTTTGTATATTTTGAATAATATTTTTTAATAACTTTGTATTTGTGTATTAAATTCAATAAACAATGATAATACATGCATGGAACAATTATAATCATTTTTTAATTTAACGAATGTTTTAGTTCTATTTCAATTTTCATTTATTATAAATCGATTTATATTGTTAGTTTTGTATTTTTGTCCAGTACCAAAGTGATTACATTAAGCGGGGACCACTGTAATTTTAATTGTTTCTCTGGTGTTCATTTAATTATATATTTATTTTGAAATATAGGTAATACAATTTTATAATAATGAAAATATGAATTATTGTAAATTCACTTGGCAGTTTACAATGCTTTCACTAAATATAATACTTATTTTCCTTTTTACAAGTTATGAATAAAATAATAATAATTTCATTTATGTTACTTAATGATAGTTAATATTTTTTTGGATTTCCACTATTTAGTATTTAAAATATAAATACAATATATACACAATATTGTATTTACTGTGATCAAATGTAATCATTAGAAATATGTCTTGATTACATTTTGTTTTGAATACAAAGTTTTACTGTTTTAAAGAAAATAAAATGTAATTTTATGCATATTTTTTAATAAATTGAATTTAAATATTCTTTTTCAATGTAAATTATTTATAATTATTTATTTAATATTGAATGCAGCTATGGTCAGAGTGATTATGGTTTGTAACTTCTTGAATTTCCATGATTTCTATTTTTAGTTTTATGTTATGTAAGACATAAATTAATTGTATAAATTGAAAAACATGATTATAATATGTATGTTGATTTTGTTTTGTATATCATCTCACAATTTTGGATAAAACATTTTTCTTTTTTTATATATTAATTTTTGTTTACAAAGATATAAGTCAACGTTGGATATTTAGTTACAAATTGTAAAACAAGGATTATAAGACGTATAATAATTTCTGAAAATTAGGGGGTTATAAAAATAAAATATTTATTTAAATCCACCGAGTTTTAATACAGAGAGTCTTGTTTTGTGGATTAATATATTATCGAAATAGTTACCGAATTTAATGGCATACCTACTATATTGTATATTGTTATATCTTATTGTTATTTTTCAATAATAATTATATAATTACTAATTTGTTTTCAGAAGCCAATTGGAGGAATTGCCGTTTTGCCTACAGGATCATTTAACTTTATGAGAAAAAAAAAAGAAGCCGATGTGCCTCTTAATATATCAAAGTGAGATTTTATAAATATAATGTTAGAAAAACTGTAATTTGAATTATATATTATTTTAAAATTAGTGGTGTTGGTGATGAGGAAGACGAAGAAAAAGAGAACAGAGAAACTTCTCCTTCAATTTTAACTACAAGTTTTATAACGAAAGAACGGGAAGCTTTGTCTGCAAATGATACTAACAAAAGTGCAGATATTTCTGGTATTAGTTCGTTAGAAACTTCTAAAGCTGATTCCACTATTAATAGTGAAAAATCTAAATTTAAGGTGAGCATGAATTTATATTGATTTTATTTATTTTGGTTATTTTTGTTTACAACAATAGCTCTAGATATTTGTTTTATTTTTTCAACTATAAATTGTACTTTAAATTTTAGATTCTGAGTGTAGTGTTGGCTTTTTTTTTGTCTGAGCAACTTTTCTAACAGAAATATCTCTTTAATCTAAAAATGATAAAAGAAGTTTGGTTACATTTTGGATCTAGTTAGTGTATTGGGGATGTATTTTTCTGATTTTCAAAGAGTTTTCAAAATAATTGGGGAAAAAAAATAGTTTCATTATTTTCAATTTTGTTTTTATGTTGTATTGAGTTAAAAATATTCACAGAGACTTGAAATTTTGCAAAATGTATGTTAGTGTTTTCTAGATGTTATACAATTTTCAAAATATGAACATATTTTTGAGCTATTTATAGACAATTTACATTTTCTAGTTTTTTTTTTGGTAGGTACTTTTTTGATAAAATTGTTTGATTAAACAGAAATGCTTGAAGATTTTTTACAAGGTTCATTATAAGTTCTATTTAGAGTTGTAAAAAATGAATCGCAATGCAGTAGTTTTTGTTTGATAATTTGAAGATCAAATCGTAAATATTACGGCATTTAAAAATATGTATAATTAAACTTTGCTCAGAAACATTTTGTCTCGTTAGCAATGATTCAACATTGCTTACAAATATAAATTAAATAACTTAATGTATTCTGTCTTTCCGACTTTCCTTCTACAACAATGGCACACCCACCCCAGTATTTTGATTGTATGTTTAATTTTGTTTTTTTTTGCTATGCCATTTAGTATAAAAATATTAAGTTTAGTTACTATAGTTTGAATTTTATTTGTGTTTTTATTTGATATTATTTTATAATTTTGTTCCTTCTTTTAGTACACTTGTAGGCATATTCTAGTTGTTTTATATTGTTTGTTTTGTTTTTTTTTCGTAGAGTCCAAGTGGTATTTTTAGCAGCTTTAATTTAAAATCTAAAAAATCTAAAGACAAATTGAAAGGTGATAGTAGCCAAGACACAAGTACTGAACCAGAATCTCCTAAAGGTCTAGACAAGTTCAAATTGAAAACTAAAAAGGATAATAAAAAACCAAAAAAAGAATCCAAAACTAGTTTAAAATCTGTTGATAGTACTACTTCCAATTTATCATCAAATGCTACATTTGCTGACCGTTCATTGGCTGAGACTACTGTGAATGTATCTGCTATTTCTACATCACCTAGTTTTACTAAAACATATGATTACACCGAAGAAGAACATGGTGCTACCAAAAAACGCAAACCGGTCGGTGGGTTTACTTATGAGAATAACATGCAAAAGTCAAAGGAAAGTATTTCTGAAATTCCAACTTCCCCCACTAAAAGAGCACAAGGATTAGCATTTAATTATGCACCAGGAGAGGCGAAGAAGGTTGCAGAAACTGCAGCAGAAAAACGAAAGACATTTTTAGAAAAAGTTGCTGCTGATGGTATCAAAACTCCAGGTATCAATTATGTACAATCAGCTGTTCACAAAGAAGAATCGGTTAAGAAGGAACCCAAAACTATTGTTGAAACAACGTTTGAACCTAGTGGTTCTGTGTTAGAGAAAAAAGTTACCTCAGCTAGTGCTGAAACTACTGTTCAGACTGATCCAATTTATAGTTCAATTTCTTATTCAAAAAATAAGAAATCAAAAGATCATGAAATTAATAAAGACATATTAGAGAAAACTAAGGATAAATTAACTTCATTGAGTAATAAGGGTACTAAAGTCAAAACTGAAGTAGACACAAAGAAAGAATCATCAGATTTCATTGAAAATGAAAAGAAAAATTATGAAGATGATAAACCTGCAAGTGTAGGCACTGCACCATTAATTGTAAAAACCACTACTAAACAAACTATGATTAAAGATAAAGAGGGTGTTACTCAAAATATTGAAGAGAAGGTTGAAGATTTAACATCTGGTGAAGTTACTGTGTCAACTCAGCACAATAAGGTAATAGTAGTTATTAGTATATTTGGCTGTTTTTTTTTTACTTTTGCATGGTTTTTATTTTTATGCTTTACGTCCAGGCTGAAGGTTTGGACACTACTACTACAACGGCTACTCCTAGTAGGCCTCCTTATGTAAAAGCAACTGCAGTAACTACTCGTACAGCTACTACTCATCAGGATTTGGAAAAAAATTCTAAAACTAGCCAGGTATAGTATAGGTAGACTTGATTTTAGTCAATTGTTTACTAATATAATCAATTTACCTATTTGTTAATTTGCTTGGTTTTGTAGTCAATTGAGACTGTCTACAGTTTTATAATAATAAATTATTTGTGTTTTTTCTTTTTAGGTTGAAGAAAAAACTGTAGCTCATACAACTACCACTAGTGGCACTCGTCAAGAACAGAGAACTGTTACACAAGAAGTAATATCTACATCAACAATCCTTGCTCCGGAATCAAAAGTCGAGGTAAACAATTTTAACCACAAGTATTTTTTACATAATTTGCTTGTTTCAATAAATAACTATTCATTTATTATTTATTTTATAAATTAAGAATTTAGATTATGTTTTTTATGTTGAGTTATTAGCACTAAAAAGTTAACATTGTTATAGTTTGGAAGATAATTTTTATTAAAAATTATAACAAAATTAATTTTAGAATTATCTTTTATTTTAGCCTTTTTGTTGAAATTATTCTATACATTTTTTTAGTTACTAAAAAAACATTAGGTAATTTAAATATTTTTTATTTTATTTTATTTCTTTTGTTTTTATTTTATTGCATGTTTATGTGCAGCTAAGTAGAGCTTCAAGTAGTTCAAGCCTTAGCTCGAATGATTCAGGCACACCAATTGACTTTGAAGGTCCATTAGATGAGCCTAATGGACTAGGATATTATAATAGTAATTTTCAGGTATTTGAATACAATATTAGTGTATTTATGCAACAAAATGAAAGAATTTAAAAATTAATTATGTATTAATATTAATTGTTATTTTATGTTATCTAGAATGAGTTCAAGGCCGACCACGTGACGGCTGGATCGAACACTGCTGAAGAGAAACATAACATAAATATTACAGCTAATGACAAGTCTTACACGCTCACTGGAGAAATTGTCTCCACACAAGCTATTTCTAGCAAAACACGAACAGTTGAAACTGTAACAGTAAGTGAAATAAAAATTATACATAGATTATTATTTTATTTTTTTAACTAAACATTTTTTTTTTTTTGAAGTATAAAACTGAAAAAGATGGCATAGTTGAAACAAGAGTTGAACAAAAAATAACTATTCAGAGTGATGGTGATCCAATTGACCACGATAAAGCATTGGCTGATGCCATTCAAGAAGCTACTGCAATGAATCCTGATATGACTGTTGAAAAAATTGAAATACAACAGCAACAACAAACATGATCAACATAAACTCAATTTATTAAATATTTTTTTTTTTGAAAAACATTTGACATTCCATTTTTCATTTTTACAATTATTATTTAAACTCAATGTATTTATTTATTTATTTGTATTGATCAGATTAAGGCACAATATGGCCTATAATTATTTAATTATTATCAATTAGTTTTTTATGCATCAATCATGTATTTTGTAATTGATTACTTATATTTAAATTTGTATTATTATTATTTCTGAAGATTCCATCCATATTTTATAATGTTTATATTGTAATAGTATAGCTATTTTGAGTCACAAACATGCCTAGATATCATAACATTCCAATAGTTAATTAAATGTTGCATAATATTATAGTTTTTGTTACTTGAATATTATTATTATTTTTATAATATTAAAAATAAATGTTTTTGTGCTTTAGTTTTTAACATTGTATAAATGTTCTAAGTGTTCATTTTGTAATGTAAAAATAAAAAGGTGGTTCAAATAAATATCTAATCTATAAGCTTAAGTAACAATAATAAATAGATGAATGGTAAACAGTTTTAAATAAAATATTCTCCGGCATATCAGTTCCTTATATTGACTGGAAATCATTTGTGTTCTAAAATTTAATTTTAACAATAATCAAATACAATTTATATTATAAATAAGTTTTTCAATTTTTTTAAATAATTGTATACATATAAACATTCATGTATATATATTCATGTATACATGTATTTTTTTTTTTTTATATTACACAATTTATAAATACTTTATTTTTTTATTTATTTTAGTGTTTAAAATTAAAGGCGAACAAATTTGTTGTGTCAACAATAAATATATTAAACTGATACTACGGGTATCATTTAATATTTAATTTGCTTAATATTAAATTAAATTCTAAACTTTTTCATGAATGTTATGTATTATTTTATTTATTATTATTTTTTCTTTTTTGGAAACAATTAATATAATATACAACATGTACATGTTTCTTTTGAACCGCCTGAAATAGTACATATGAATAATAATAAAATTGAACAATATTTATAAGTATTGTGGCTTTGTTCTAATCCACCGATGTTATTTATTTTGTTAGTGTATTTGAAGAGTTATGGTTAAAAATTAACCAATATCAAATATTTCAATATCAGTATTTTATTTTTATGTTCATCATACAAACTTGTTTGTTAATTTTGTCTAATAAACTCTAAGATTTAAACAATTTATTTGGAAGACAATGTATTGGATAGATTCTTACATTGTAATTTATAACTCATTGTGGTTTAGCAAATTTAAATGTCAATTTATATATGATAATTATTTTCATTTGTAAAAGTTGTATTATTGAAATTAATTGTGATTTTTAAATCAATTGTTTAATATTATATTATACTATATACATTTTAGCCGATTGTATGAAATTTATTATTACAATTTTAAATACTAAAATTATGTGATATTGTTTAGCTATTGAAAATGTTTATCCAATGACCAACATTGTTGTAGTATATTATTATTTACCATTGAATTGTATAATGATAAAAATTATATTATTAGTGAATAGAAGTTAAAAGGAAAAAAATTATCTTTCTAATATAATATATAAATAATTCATTATTGTTTGTATTTTAAAAGTTTTACCTGTCCATTGTTTTGTAACTGATGACCTGCTAATATTATATTTTAATAAAATAAAGTATTGTTCAGACATTTTTTAGTAATTTTGGGTCAACATGAAGTAGATTTATTTCCTTAAGACGGCTTCAGCGGTTGAAAATATAATGACGTGTTTTTTAGAACCCCGCAAACACTTGTACAGTATGCAATGTAAGAAAATATGTAGTAAATTTTAGTAAATATTCATACTTGATTCATGGCTGTCCAATATACAGGTATATTTTTAGCATGATCACATTTTTATTTTGGAGTACCCTCTCAGTAAAATTTCCTTTAAAAAAAATTGCTATCATTATAAATTAGAGAAAAATTGCTTATTTGGGGGGAGGGTTGAAACCCTAAAACCTCCCTCTGCGTTCGTCTCTATAAGTGATATCTCTACAGTCTTTACTTATTTCTATTAAATTTTTATTTTCAGCTTTAACGTAAGTGGCTAAAGATAATTAGTAGTAAAACAGTGAGTATGAGTATGGAGGAAAAGGACAAGACAACCAATGACAGTAATCAGTGACAATAGGCAAGTTTGAGAGTTTTAAGTAAGTTTCTAAAATTTTTTGTACTGATGAGTGGTGGCACATTATATATGAAGTATACACTATATATGAAATATAGGATAAAGTGTAGAGAAGCCAATGAGACTTAAAGTTAAGTTCTGCAAAAGTATGACGAAACTGACTGTGTTGTATGGTTCGGAGTGTGGGTAGTACTTACTCTGGTAGACAGAAAAATAGAACAGAAAATGAGGACAGAAACAGAAATAAGAACTTTTAGGTGAATGAGTGGAGTGACGAAAAAAGATAGAATTATAAATCAGTAAATTAGAGGTAGCTTCGATAGTGGACAAAATGAGAGAAAGTAGACTGAGATGGTCTGGGCACGTCACGGTAAGAGGAATTGGAAATCGGGTTAAGTAGAAATTTAGGAGGATGGCCGACCCTAAATAGTTGGATGAAGGGAAAAGAGAAGAAGACAATTTTTTTTTTTGTTTTTCCTGTAGAAAAGAAACTTCGCCTTGTACCCGGTGCTCGAATTATATTAAAAAAAATAAAAGTTCTATACGACTTAAACAAAAAAATTAGTTTCCTAACCTAACCTCGCTATTATTTAACTCGACGTAACTCGTAGCGAATTTCGACGTTCACACCTCCCTTCTACTAATTTTTGAATATAATTCAATGATTAATTATTTAAAAGAAAATAATAACCTAACGCATGATATGGTTTTAGTAGCATGTAATATATTTTTTTTTTATATTTTACTATATGTATGAGAAATTTACTATGAAGTGTAATTTTTTATTAATTTTTTTGGTAGAAAATATCAAACAGTCGATCGCGATCGACCGGTAGACCGCGGACGATTTAAATGCCGATCTCTCTTTTGTTAGAATTTATTTTTATGAAATTAGTAAATGAATCACAATTGCTGATAATTTTTATCTTAATATATTATCATTGTTTTGTTGTCAATTTACCAAGTAGGTGATACAAATCAACAGCGTTTATACTGGCGATCGTATTTACAATAATATTACATTAGTCTCAATAATAGTGTGATGAAAAACATTATTAAACTATAATTTTAGTTTTATTATTTGTAGGTACGTGTAGGTATGTTTAACGTATTAATACCTATTAATTAATTTTTAAATATGAATATTTGTTAGGAAGTCGGCCCTCAATGGAAAAATATATTCTTAGTAGATTTCTACCAACAGAAGTTTGGCCACCCCTGGTCTAGTTAGTGCAATGAGATAATTATTTTTTTTTTATTTTTCTTGGTTTTTTCTTCATCATGGTAAAAAACGAGAACAACGCCGGGAAAACTGTAATATTTACACAATAACGGTTTCTGTTGTAATCGATTTTGTTTTATAGTTTCAATTCAGTGAAATGTAATCGTATAAATACCGGGAATTTCGACAAATACTTATGTAGGTATAGCTCTTTCGAGATCTGGTACAGTTTCCAAAATATTCTTGTAATTTTTCAATTTTTTATTCACATTTGAAGTTTACGAGTTTTTAAGATTTTCATTGAGATTCGTATGATTGCAATTGTTTTGGCTAAGCGAAAATGGTCAAAAAATTAATACGAGGTTTCAATAAAAAAAAAAGCGTCATGTAGTCATTTTTTATAAGCGTTCAATATTCAAATTTAAATGAAAACGCATTTTGATGAAACTGAAAAAAATATGTACCGTCCCATGCGTTGCACTTAAAATAAATACTAGAGGTACCTAAGGAGTCCCTCTGCGCCCCCCTTCCGAGTTGGAGCATTGCTTTTGCCACAACAGTTACCTATACAAAGTATACATACACCTAGTTACCTACATAATAATCTATCGTTCTAGACGTTACACCAATATTGAACCTATACGAACTCGTTGACGATACTCGCCGCGTATGTCATCTATATATGTATTATGTACCTACGGTAATCAAGCACGAATTTATCCAGAAAAAAATGAACGTTAGTTATGGACCGAATTCGGAAATCGATAACGTGAAAATGTTGACTGAGAATGCTGTGCACGGTTTGTTATGTACGTACGCGCTATTCGCGAAGTGACACGTGAACACGGTGTACTCGGTCGTTGAAAACGGGCTGTTTTTTACGGAGACAGTGGCGCCGGTTAATGAAATTTATTTGTCGTTCTGGACCACAGTCAAGTGGATGCAGATCACCATAATCTGCAGTATTAACAATAATCTGAAGCCAACATTCAAGGTGAACTGGGCTGAAGAGCTGGTTATTAAATTGGACAGTGCCCGGAATTTCACGAGAGAACTAGACGAATTAAAATACCGGCTGGTCAAAATGATAATATCGCTGCGGCGGGTCACCTTGTCAAATACTCAAATGTGTATAGACACTGTCCAGGACGCCTGCCAACGGTGATCGCAGGGTGGTCGACGCCATTATCGATGTGAGCAGATAATACGTGGCCAGACCACAGACGTTTCGGAAAAAAAGAAACTTGAGAGCAAAAATCCCGGTGACTTTTTGCAAGCACTATCACAGTGGCTGATAGATTATGATATGGCGAAGAGGATTCCGAACGTTTATAAAGTTGGTCCACAAGACGCAGATAACAACATCGAAGAAGTAATCGCCGTAAAAGAACGCGCTTACGGATATGCCTTGGAAATACAGGCGATGCACTTATCAAAGACCGTCAGACTCAATAGCCCTCAATATGCACACCGACTCGACAGCCAAGTTGAAGCAGCCTACGCCATTAGTCGTTTACGCCAAGAATGCAGCCGTGAGAGCCCAGTAATTTATCGAGAATATGGACATCTCCGTTGCCGGAATGTTTGTGTATTACCATGGTTTACAAATTAAGAGCGGTTAGTTTAGAAATTTATTTTTACTGTCTTACTTTGTGGTAAAAAAAAAAAAAAAAGACGTCATATGATAATGGGGACGAGTGCAGCCACTGTTTTAGGTAATTTAATTTTTAATAATATTAATTATTTAATGTTGTACCGATTTTCGCGGTTTTCACAGTTTTTCACATTTGCTGGAACACTCCGGGGAAAATGGAAAAATTAATGTGGGTCATATTTAACCAATTTGTAATAGATCACATATTAATCTATTGTATAGGCGACGTTGGTAATAAATCAGGATTGGTCGGGAGAAACTTAAATAGGGCAAAAATATGTTTCACACGCGTCCATATGTTGAAACCAGTTATATTTTATAAGTTTGAACTGTTTGGTGTCTGTATGGGTGCTAAAAGTACAGAAACAATGTTTTTCGGCGATTCTGGGAGGGGTGGGCGCGGTAGTATAAAAAACACACGTGGACCCCCCCCCCCCGTAAGAACATTACGTCAAACACACAAACACAAGACAGTTTTTTTGTTTTAAATAAGATTGTATTAAATAATAGTTATTAATTACTATATTATCTGTCTCATAGTAGGCACTATCGATTACCGTGCAAATAATCTGTCAATAAAATATCCAAAACAAGCATCGTTTAATCAATTTAAAAATAACCGTTAAAGCAAATCATTAAAATACACCGTCATTAGACTAGAAATTTATTTATTTTAAATACAGGCAATTTTAAATTGTACTTAGAATGTACGTATACAAACATTACAAAAAACAATGGTAAACGGTAAAAACATGGGTAGTAAGGACGTAACCCTTAAAGTTAGTCCGTAACTCAAAAGTTATCCAATCAAATTAAACAATTTATTTTTAATTTTTATATAGTACTTAAATTCCTAAAACAATGTGTAGTGAGTTGGGTGCTCCTTTAACTTTCGATTTCCTAATTATTAACCCGCCCCCCTCTCTGTTCAACAATTTCGAAAAGTGAGTGTTTTCCTTATTGATACGTGACGTTTACAGCGTAGGTGCAGGGTAATATTTCGAATATATTTTAATCAAAATCGTTGAATGATATAGAACCCACCGGACGTACTCTCCTTCCTCATCTCTTAAATGTTTTTAGTGCTTATTTAATTTTTAATAAGTTGCGTTTAACGAGCTATTTTCTTCGTTTTAATCAGTTCGCTGTACGAAAGCCGTTTATAATAAATATTTCAGAATATTATTTATTATTTGAACTATATTTCGAAAGTTCGTACAATTTAAATATTTTAATGGTGTGTACCCTACTTAATAATATAATGTTGTCTTTAAATATTATACGAATAACGTTTTAATGTTTGCGCTCAATATAATAAGCAATAGTTTTACCGTAAGCTCCGTATATCTGCACGTACATTTTAATTTTTATTGGATAATTATCGCACCGTGTGTATTACATTTTAAAAGAAAGTTCATTTATGATTTTAGATTATGAATGTATATCGAAGGATAGCTATTATTTTTACTAATATGCGTTTTTAACCTTTGGGGAATCACTGTTTCAGTAAGTAAAATGTACTGGTTTTTGCGTGCAACTTTAAAAGATGCGGTCTTTCCGTAGAGTATATAAATACTTTACTTGAAAATCGCAAAAGTTCATTCTCTAGAACAGGGCCAGATCTAGGGGCGAGGGGCGAACCGGGTCTCCTTCCCCAAAAGTTTTGGTCGTGGGTACCAAATTACTAAATAATAAGTGGATATATTAACAGTTTTTATTCATGCATAGAAGCCTTTTTTTTTTTTTTTAATCATACAAAAGTTATTTAATTTTTTTTCTAGTTCCATTCAAAGATGGGATATTTTAATGGACATCTTTCATTTATCTTTAAAGGGTCACAGTAACATAAGGTGGTCTTCAAACCAGAAATCAGTCAGAGCATTAAACTTACAATTGTCTGACTTCATTAAAGTGTTTGGTTTATTAAATCGAGAAGCATTATCTGCTGAAGCTAAATTTGATGCTAAAAACTTATTAAAAGCAATAAATACATTTTCATTTATATGATGTTAATTGCGTGGGTCAAAATTCTTAGTACAATAATTGATCGAATGAACATAATATTACAAACTTAAAAAATAACGATTGATACTGGGAAAATCAAAAAAATAACCTCCCTAAAGTACCACCCCAGTCAGATTTACTTTTAGAAAAAATGCTATCGTTGTAAATCTGAGCAAAATTTCTGGTAAAAAATTTGTTTATAGATAAAAAAAAAAATAAAAATAAACATCATCGTAAAATCAATAAATTTCTCGCTCCACTCAAAACCTAAAAAGGGCGTTAATTTCATATTTTGTCCAAGGTAAAAAAAAATTTTAGATCCGGCTCTGCCCTAAAACGTTCTTTTTGGTTAGTATAGAATATGTTTAAAATTTTCACTTAGCATATTTTAAATATGCGATTTATTTCACATGGTGAAATTCGAAATTTTTTTCTAGATTTCCTTCAGTTTTTCATAAAAATTCAAAATACCGACAATAAGTGTCAATACTCGAATATCGATTTTATTTTTGATGATTTCCGGGTTACATTTTCGGCTTCAATAGGGAGGGGAAAACAACTAATATTATAATTTATAATATTTATTACTTTATCAATTAACCGACCTCACTCAAAATCGGTTTTTGATTGCAATAATTTATCGTTGCTGTCTGCATAAAGAAACTGAATTATCCTATATCCTATGTCTTGCTAGCCTGCGACGGTAGATGGGTAGCGATGTTCGAACACGTTTACGTTTCTTTTATTGAAATGTGAAATGTTGTAGAGAATATGACATAGGTAAAATATAAAACACAATAAATATATAAAAGCGGGGAAATATTATAATAGTACATTAATACGTTCTACAGAATAAATAAGTAAAAATCATAATTATATTTCGACCGAGGACGGGAGAGGAACGGAGAAAATTCTGATACAATATTAATATTCATTTTATTATTATTAAATATTAACAATATAACGGAAAACTTGAGCGTGGAAATTCTTTGGCTGTATTATAAAGACGTTCGGTAAATAAGTACGTAATATGCAAATCCCGTAATTTTTTATTTTTCGCAATATTAATATTATTAAATCCGTTACGGCACGGGATTCTTGAACTTGAAATATACACAATACATATTATATTAAATTAAAAAAAGGGCTTAAACATTTTAGTTTTCCATATTTTAATGAAAGCGACATACCATATATCATATAGATTTTTCCGGATAAAAGTTCAGACGATTCGCGTCTCTAAATGAATAATAATGATCGCGCACGAGGGCGTGATGGTTCGTTGTACAATTTAATAAAGCGACGTTGGAAAAAAACGTAGAACAGTCACTGGTCACGTGAAAAACACACCGCAATATTTTGCTATAATAATATTGTTAATCGTGTCTATTAATCGAATGTAATAACGTATCCGTATCTAATACGACCGTAACAACTAAGAAGGAACGGAGAACAAACTAAGAAACTAAGAACAAACGGATATTCCGTTTAGCCCGCACATCGAAATAATAATAGTTTTACGAAAATGATCGTATTTATTGTGTAAAACACGTCTCTGCGCACGATAAAAAATATTGAAACAATAACTTTGCATCGAAACGCATCGGGCTACACAAAAGTATTGTGATTATATTGTCGAAGGCGACGTTATAATAATTACAGCTAGGATTTGTATTGTATCATGTGTATAGAGGCGCGCACAGTTCAGGTGTCCGCAATAATAATTACAGCGGTCCGTCGCCGGTTCGTTAAACTTGGCAGATATATTTGTCCAGATTGTTCCAGTTGGACGAGTAATCGATTTTCATGTGGCCCAGAGTGTTAAAACGGAATTGACTAGGCGTCATCACGTGCTCGGCCGAATTGTACTCGCCGCTGCTGGTCTCGTACGCTCGACTTTGCGCCGAGTCAACGTCACTGTAAACAGTTATCAGATAAGTAACAATGTTATTAGACGCGACGTAAATCGCGCGCACCGGGTCGCGCGTTCACAGACCATATCCGAGTTCGGCCGAAGCATTTACCATTTGTAACCGTGCACGCGGCCCGTCGTGGTTTTTCATCGACCGGGCGGGCAGGACACGGTGGGTCTTAGATGCGCATTCAGGACACCTAAATTTCTTGGAGCCATATCGGTATCGGACCGACGAGTCCGTGTGGGGTCGTGTTTTGTAAAACTTCTAAAACCGATTCGGCTGGGTCCGAACTCGGATAAATAATTACTACGAGGCGGTTTGATATTTTAATTACTATAACACACACACACACACCCCCCCCCCCCACCTACAATAGTGTTATTGTGTTTGAGTAAAAATTTTAATAAACGCGAAGTGCGACGTAAATAGACGATTGTATTATAGGCGTACAAATAGTTTCTCTATAACGTTGTTTTTTTTTTTTTCACATCCGGCAGACCGATTTTTTTTTTTTTCAGTTTGGCGGCTACTGTATTTATTTTAACTCGATAAAAATAACATTTCAGAAACTCAACCGGCTTGCGTGTGAGCAGCGCTCGTCGTCGTGTGGTTATCGTATAACTGTATACCAGTCGCCGCCGTAGCACGCGCACTATTATTTTGTTTATTGTGCACACGGGCATTTAAAATACGCGTATCTAATATAATATTATGATACCAATGTAACGATAGAGGTACACGAGTAGTAGGATTTCCACTCGGACGAACATCAGCAAACAACGGTCGGTTCGTTAATATTTTCAAATCGTTATCGTCATCGACGGCTATATTACGTTTACCAGACCGTAACGACAATATTACAAGTTATAATAAGATAACCGAAACGTTAGTGCTGCGCGGGCCCCGGGGGCGACCTTGATTTGGCCGACAGTCGTCGACGTTTCGGTCCGTACGCACAAGTGGTGCATCCCTTTTCCCACGATTCGTATTCACGAAACAGGCAACAATAAGGGGAAAACGCATCTCACCGCGCCCGTTCTGTATTGCATTATAAAACGTATGTTACTTACTTCGGTACGTTTAACCGTTCGTCATAAATAATTATGTTATTATACCAGAGAATTGTAAATAACATTATTTCGTGTATACGAAATTAATGCGCGTAGAGCGGTACAAGAAAAAAAAACAACTGCAGTTTATTCCAGGTACGGGTCCAGAATTTTTTTTCAGATTTTGACCGAGAAATACAATAGTTTTACAGATAAATGCTGTTTCTGTTTACGTTAAAAAAAAAAATAATAATAATAATAAAAGAAAGAGAAACGGGATATCTACCGGTTCTATGAAGACTGCACGTCCGAGAATTCGACTAGACTGTGTATGAAGAAAATACGATTGAAAAAGTAAACATACCCTCGAATAAATATGGTCAAATTATAAATCCGAACAAATCGTTTCCTTCAAATTCGGCATATTAACATCGTTTTTATTAATTGTATTCCGTTTGAACGGCGGTATACATTAGTATTTTGCTAACGACCATACACAGTGTACTTTTTTGTTCTCATGATCCAGCGATTTATCGGGGAATTTTAAATAAATTGGATTTCTGTTTTTTTTTTTTTTTTTGTTTTTCAAATATTATACGGGAAGCTTTAATTCAAAGCTGTTTTCGAATTTTTACTCCCACTCCTGAAATACTTAGATATTACAAAAAACACTTTTAATGAATATTAACTTTTGATTTTAAAACAGAAAACCACATTTTGAACATAGTTTCGAAAAGAGAATATTTTTCTAGACATTTTGATACGCATAACACTAATATCGACAATACCGTTAACGATTCGTAAAAGTATGCAATTTAGATCCGAAATGGATATCATATCCATTTTTGGATAGTGATACGTCCGTACGTCTCTGGTCAACATATTTTAAACTGACTCATACAATTTAAATTTAATATTTTAGTATTATGCGTGTTGAAATTTTTAGAAAAATGTTCTCATTTCAAATGTGGTTTGAAAAGTTGCTATTTGAAAATCCAAACTGTATAAATGTTTTTTTCTGTGCACCGTGTACGGAATAACGAGAAAAAATGTTTTAAGTATTGTCAATATAAGATCATTAAAAGATTCTAATGATTTATCATAACGGCTGAGGAAAAAAAAAAAACAGATAAAAATCAATTTTATTGAAAATTCTCGTAGACAATTGTAGTTGGATTGAATAAGAAAAAAAAATCACCTTGTATACAAGCATAATTAATAATATAATAATTACACCAATTATGCACGCTGACGACGACGTGCATAATGGGGCGTGACATGAAGTACAACGACGGGCATTAGAAATTTCTTATTGGCTCGTGTAAACATTAAATTTCGATACCCGAAATCGATTTCGTAATACGAATTGTGTCAAAACTTTTCCGCAACCGTGCCATAATTGTGTTGATAACCGCGAAGCGGTTATTATAGGGTAATCGACAAACCATATATTACATATAACAGGTGCATGGTATTGTATATAGAGCGATTCAGTATAATATTTGATTTGATAAATGCAATAACTTTTTTTCTATTAAAATATTTTTTGAGACAAAAAAAGCAAAAGTATAAAACACAATTGTATTTTGGAACTAATCGGTGCATTGGAGTGGTCATTTTTTAATTTTTTTATCTTGGGAGTTTCAATAATAATTGGGGAAAACTGGGAAAAAATCATCAGAAAAGCTAACAAATATTTAAAGCGCACTGCGACGTTATCGATTTCATAATTTTCAATTTTTACGCTTGTTTTTCAGTTGAAATTTTGTTTGAAATTGCCATTTTTTGTTGTATTCTGGAACTATGGTTACTTAGGAAGTAAATAGTTTTTTGTTATTCCGTGTAGTTCTCTAAATAATCGAACAAATCCGGAAAAAGAACGGCAGAATTTCAGAAATACTGGTTTCATTGTTTTCAATTTTATTTGTTTGTTGTAATACAGTTAAAAATATTCATAGATACTTGAATTTTGATAGAAAACTTATATTTATCTTTTCTAGTCGCGACAAAATTTTCAAAACATTTTGGCAAGTTCTGAATTATTTATCAGCATTTTATACTTGCGAGTTTTCTCACTTGGATTTTATGTTCGAAAATGCTTGAAAATTTAATAAAAGTTTAACTATAAGTTGTACTTAGTGGCCAAAAAAATGAAATAGAAAGTAATGAAATTTTTTTTTTTTATAAAGATATAAGATCAAATTTTGATGAAAATCTTAAATATTATGGGCTCTCGAATCAAATATGAACGAACTTGGAACCGTTTTTCATTAGCAATGGTTTGTTATTGGTTATACATATATACTAAATAACTTTATGTATTCTATATTTTCAATTTTGTCACTTGCAACAGTGGCGCACGTGCACCGCGCGCCCACTAGCAGTATCGGCTCTTTTTTTCCATCTGCGCTAAAAGTATGATATATAAAAGTAAAATCCTATATTCTTTATATCTACCCTTATATCTTTCCGATTTCCCATCTAAAACATCAGTAGCCTGCCAATATTATGAAGTATTTCCGGCCTTTTTAAATATACAAAAAGATACATAAGTCACTAGTCACGTATTATTTATCTTATACACACATGCAACTAAGTTGTATTTTGTCATAAATAATTGTTCAAATTCGTTGATATATTGCAAGGATGGATCCAAGAAAAGATAGGCGGCGATTTGGAAAATGCATATGTGTCACTCATTTATTATGAAAATCAAACTTTGTGTACATTAGGGCTAATGGTATAATAGTATACTGGAGAGCGAATGGAGGGATCGCATCCATCGACCACTCCTAGATCCACCACTGCACCGATATTATTTTATTTTATTTTCTGCGCAAACTTCAAGTTGCATGATATATCCGTTCTCGAAAATACACTCGATAATATTATTCATTATTATTGTGATTTTTTTTTTTATTCTTTACAGAACCCAGGTACCCATATTTATGTTTCTTTCAAAATAAAATATTTTAGCTTGTTAAAGTTGTTTTTTTTTAAATTTTAATATAAAAAAGAACTAATGTTGTAAAAATATTATAATAAGTTGCTTTTTTTTTCGGCCAATTGTAAAGTTTGAAGAGTTTTTTTTCTAATTAACTAACCTTATAATAATGCTAACATATTTTCACGAAAACGTTGATAAGTTAATTTATTTTAATAAATGAAAAACCTTCAACTGTTTTATTATTATTATTTTTTTTTTTTTTTTGTATTATATAGGCACATTCTTATTCGCATTATAGTAGCAAAGGATTTTTTTTCTACTAACTAGTACCGTTTTCTTACTAAATGTTCAGATTTTTGTTTAAAAAGATGAAGTTTAGTTTAAAGTTTAAATAAAACATAATACTGCAATTATTTATTTTCCATCTTCCTGATGACGATTGACGAGCTATTCCATTTTTAAGTTTGTAATTTTGTGGGTATTAAGAAGAGGGTGGACTATTATTTTAGTTACTCAACTTGAGTAGTGGCGGGGCACGCGGAATTTAAATAGGTAGCGCGCAACTAATCTTCCCTAAACTACAAAATGAAATACTTAAGTGGAATGTGTTGCCAACGACTTAACGAATATTAAAAAGTTCAACACTGAAACACAAAATTAAAAAACATCATATATTTATGAAATGTGTAATATCGGTTGCCGTTTGGCAATAGAAATGTACAAAATATATAATAAATGTATACCCACATGAGGTTAACGTGTCTTCTTCCGGGCATTCATAAAAAGTGTGGCCCGAGAAATGCCGACAAAGTAATTCTTGAGAGTTACCTATTTCGAGCCATATTATAATAAACTGTGGCACTTATATATTCCTTGGAAAGTCTAAATAGTTCCTGATAAGAACTTTCTAATGGGATAAAAATGGGTGTTCAACCGAGACTGATACCCGAGCCAGTCAATACTATAAGGGGACCTACTTGATACGGGAACTCGCGAAAAGATGGCTGAGAAAGGAAAACCAATGAATTGGTTACGAAATTGGATGCTGTCCAATTACTATACACACCCTTGACTACGGGAGGTTTTATTTATTTATTATTGATTGTTTCCAATCGATACTGAAATGTTTTTATTCTGACACGAATTACACCTTATATCTAATTAAAAATAAATTGGATTCTTTGGCGTGAGTACCGCTAAGTTTCTGTAATAGGCACAAGGTTTTCGAATTTTACTGATTTTAATTTTTCCAAAGGCCGCCATCAAAGCCTTGTTTCGAAACGCAAAACAAATTCATTTTCGCATTCATTTTGTTTGCCGTTTGTTTTATACTTTTTTTCCTTATTAATATAATTGCGTTTCGTTTTATTTTTAAACCTGTACAGCGGTTCGTAAATGTAAATGTGTAAATTTAATTACATTTATGACGAGGACGATTGAATTGTTTAAATTGGTACTGTTCAAATCCCGGTTGACAACAACAAAATTGAACAGAAATAATATAAATGAGATCTATTCTATGAGAAAACAAAAACAAATATATATATTTTAGCTTAAATTATACAGGGTGTCCCATGAGGATGACCCATTGAAATATCTCCTGATACAATAAAGATAATCAAATAGTTTTACCATGCTTTTCTAACCGTCCAGCGTATGATATATTTTATTGGTCTCGCCGAAAACGCATAATTACTTATTTAACCGTTTACTATACCCAACGTCGTATAAGTATAACTTTTAAAATATCTATGAGTAGATAAAGATAAAAATAATTGCTTGAATAAAAAAGTAGTAAAAAAGTGTACAGGATTTGTTTTACATATAGATTTCGAAAAGTTGTGTGATTAACGAAATGTGATAAATAATCTATTATACCATATAAAAATAAAACTTTTAATATTTGTACTATTATTTATGATATTTTTTATTTCGCTGAATAAAAACGTATCAAATTATAATCTACAGCCCACAATAATTATAACATTTTGACGTCAAGGGACGCACAAACAACAAACGAATGCAAATAATAATAATTCAAATAAATTATTATATAGGTACAGCACATGAATACGAATTGATAGAATTGACATAGAGGTCTGTATTTTGATGATTAAAGGGTCATAATATTTTGATAGTGGTCGTAAACATTTTCAGTTATGTGATTCCAATAAAATTATTGACAAACTACATACGGCATGCATAATACATACAGAGTGATTATTTTATCGTCAGCCGACTAAAGTAAATTTGATTTTCAGTTTTTTATTTCGGAAATTTCTGAACGATAACCTCATACTCGCTATACCGCAAACAATTTACACACCCTACATAAGTACCTACATATAGTCTGTCGATTTTCAAACAGCACCTCATATATTTAATTCAAAAAAAAAATTGATTTTTACAAAAAATGTTGTTAATGCCTATACGTTTAATACTGTATAATATCGGGTAGGTTACCTATACCGTTAAGGAGTTATATTAATTTTTAGTTTAGGGTGAAGCAAAAAATGGTAATAAATTTAATATCTATTCATGTTTAGAAACGTTTGTTATTTGAAAATAAACTATGCATATTGCGTTTAATGTTGTTTTTTAGTAAACGAGATAATAATAAACGATTCATTAATGATTTCGTATCTCCGCAATTATCTAATTGCGGATTCATCATGGAATATATCACTCTGTATTTAAATTGTTATACGTCAGGTAGGTGTGTGCGAAAAGTTTCATTAAACAATTCCATTTGCTTGGAAATTCCATTTGCTTGGCAATTCCCCGTCCGTATTGTACCTATCTGCACAGTTAAAAATATATTACCAATTTCGACAATATCCCATAGTATGAAAATTCGTTGTTCTAAACTAAATTTTTGTAAGTATTAATAATGTCAATTTAATATAAATTAAATAGAAATACTTACCATACAAATTAACTGTACTTTATTAACCAAAACAGAGGTTTCCCGAGAACAAAAACACTTCTAAGTAAAACTAAAACACTCTTATTGCGAGAAGTTATTCGATTAAAATTCATTAAAATCAAATTTTATCGCCGACATTTTTATCAACCTATTTTATTATATTATCATACCAGGTGTAAGTAATAATTATAAAACAATGAAAAATTACCGTTTGATTATGGTTGTCTATAATAGTTACTGTTTGGATGATGGAAATGGTGCGGCAATGCGGTGAATTATTATAATAGTTGGGTACCTATTATGTTACGTTACAGTTGAATTACTGGCGTTTTTACACGGATCGATTTTAGAAAATAATATTAATATTGCATAGGTATATTAGATTATTATATTAAAACACTATCGCGGTTGCTCGCAATTACATTATGAAAACCATGGTTAATTGTGTACCGTATTAGAATAATATGTACCATAGGTACCTACGAGTTATCGCGTATAATTGAATATATTACACGCGTATACTTATACGAGCGTCTATAGAAAACCGCCAACAGTGAAATAATAATTAATAATATAATATTAGGTAGGTATTCCGGAACTCGATTAAACAATATATATATTATTACACTGCAATAAGTCCTTTAAATAATAGACTGTGCGCGAGCGTTTGCAAAGAGAGAGAACACAAACGGCAGCAACGTGACCATACAAAGGGCTATGTAGCGACGCGAACGCGTGACGCGACGATAGGTATGTATTGATATGCCCAAATAAATACGAATGACAAAAATACCGCACACCTACCTATATTGCAGTTGAATGGCGCAAAAATCAACTACATTATATTCGCCGTGCGTAAAGTGGTAACGGCATTCAAAGAAAGCAATTGCACATATATTATGCGAAACGAAACGAATTTCAAATAAAATAATATAATCGCCAGACGAATAATCCGAGTCTTTATCAAGGTGGATTAGGCCAGGTAAACATTTTAAAGGATTTTACAAACATCGGAACAGTTGATATATGAGCACGGGAGAAACAAAGCCAATAGTACTTCACACCATTGGCCTAGTGGTTGTAGATGTTTTAGTGAAGGGCGAATTGGTTTATGTACCGAAAGTAACGATAAATCGTTGCAATTAAAAAACGATTCTGGGCGAAGATTCATAAATTGATAAGATTACAGTATCAGTTGTGTTTTTCCCTTTGTAGCCAAGATAATTCAGAATTAACAAACATAAAACCAATATAATTTTCTGTCAGCTTTTTTAAAATTTTTTAGAAAATTTTTTGGGAATCTGGACATTTTTTCAAATAAAGTACCACCGACCAAAAAATTAGTATCTATTAAAGTACCATGCGAACAATTCGGGTCATTTTTACTAATCGAGAAATTGTATTCCGAGAAAAAAACACAGTTCAATAGAACCAATAAACTAATAACTTCTTTCACTTTAGAATCAACAAAAACAGATTTTTAAAAATCAAAAATTTGTAAAAATAACAAACTAACAATTTTCATTGATGTCTAACTTATCAATAAACAGATATTTATAATTTTAAACCGATAATAGTTATGACGTATTATTCCATTATCGTATAAAAATGGATTTACTTGGGAAAAAGAAATAACGGTATTTCTGGCCTTTTGTTAGTTACGAAACAAATTCATTCACCTATCTTTTAGTTATCTACTGCTTTCAGACTCACTGCATTATTTCCTTGGGATCTTGCCTACAATTAATTAAATTATACTTTGACATTGGTTATCCACTAGATATCCTTGGATGTCAGTTATCCTCTATTATTCCACAATAGTTCTCTTTTAAAATTGCGTTCCTCTTATTAAATACTATACACTATATAATACCTGCAGCGATAGTAAAATAAGAAATGACAAAAATATGGTTTACAAATATTTTATTTTTATTTTTTGTAAAATTAAAAAGTAAATTAGCAAAACGTTTTGCCAAACACAACTGATACTATACAATGCATTATAATATGTTAATCCGTTTACGTTTACTATAGAAATATTTTACATAAAAAAAGAAAACTGCTGAAATACGGCACACGAATTACGTATTAAAATATAAGCATCACAGGTAAGCACAAATTGCTAATGCATTACAACTACAAACCAATTACATGTGCTGTGTAATATTGATATAATACCAAATTTAAAATGAGCCAAATGTCGGAATAATTATTTATATTCGGTGGTTTGCGTAAAATCATTATGCGCTGCAGAATTGTCCATTACTTCACTGATGGAATTTCTTCAATCTTATAGGACCACGGGGGAGGAGCGAAGAAAAAAAAAATCTTGTAAGATTGTCATAGGCATGGATTAGCGGAGTTATAGGTGCTTAACCATTCAAAATCGTTGTGTGTTTGTATACAACTATTCTACCTGAATTATTGCTAGGGCTAAAACATAATAAAGAGACCTTTTTTTGTTGGATTTCGGATTTAGTTGGTGCATTAAAGAGGGGTCTAATTGACCAAACGGTTTTCATAATTATTGAAAGAAGCAGGAAAAAAACATAAGAAACACGGAAAGTTTACTCTATTCACGACATCGACGGTTTCATTATTTTCGATTTTGTTTTTATTCAGTAAAAATAATCGCAGAGACCTGAAATTTCCACGGAGTATATAAGAGTTCACAGAGTAATTATATCAACTTTTTTTTTTTTTAAGTGGTAACATTCTGGTTATTTTCCAGCTATTTATACCTAGATATTTTGTATGTTTTAGTTCTTTAGGACGAATATTTAGATTTAAAGACAGTAAAAACCCAGACAGTGATAACTAAATAAAGTTGGAGTCAGTTCTTTTCACTCAGAAGAACCTATATATTAAAAATTACAAGAATATATGAAATATTAGTCTAAATCAATTTTGATGTTATAACTTTTAATTTTTCGATTGCCTTAAGTTTTCCGAGCAAATGTGAAAAACCGGGAAAATTGGTACTATATTAAACAAATATTACTAAAGAAAATATAAATGCCTATTTAATTATTTTATTATAATATGACATGTATATATATATATATTGCTGATAACACTATTAACTGAACTCCGCTCAGAATAGTTTTTTCGTTAGCAATGGTTTATCGTTGCTTAAGTATAGAATATACCTAACAGTCAATAAAAAAAAAAAAAGGTTCAGGGGGGGGGGGGGTGGTCGCTTCCATCGTCCCTCCCCTTAAAAACCGCCACTGTTCGGGACGAAGTATAATTTAAAGAGCACTTAAAAAATAAAAATTTAATATCTACGTCAGTACAGGGAAATGAAGGGACTCGTGTTAAAATAAAAAAATGACACCATTTGTGGCGGACTACTTGGTTTAGTGCCTACGTTATATTTCTTCTTATTAATTATTAGTAGTGCAACAGAACTTGTGGCATTTGTATATTATTTATTTTACACCATTATAAAAAAATAGTGGAGTAAAAAACGATTACTTTTTATACTAAGACGAAGCTAGATTTTTAATATAATTTTATATATATACGTTGATTTTTGTTTGTTTTTAGGTCATATTTTATTCTATTTTATAGTTTTTGATATATATTTTATTTAAATCATAATTTTATCAATATTTTCCTCAATAACGTTTTTATTTCATTCAATAATACAATAGAAATTGTTAGATTCAAATTCAATTTAAATTTTAGATTCTAAGTGTAGCGAAGAATGTATTGGTTTCATTAAGATGTTTATTATTTTTCAATTTTGTTATTTGTTGAAATTAATTTTAAAATATTCGTATAATTTCTATGGACTTAAAATTCGGATAGAAAATTTATATTTGCCTTTTCTAGACGTGGTAAAAGCAGACTTAGTTTCAAAAATTATAGCTTTTTGAAATTCTGATATTATGCGGATATAATGCTATGTTAAAAACTCTATATTGTTTTTCTAAAGCATATTTGTCGTGATCTTATGGTTATACATGTCTATTTTCATACTATGGTTCTGAGTTCAAATCCATGTTTCGAACAAAATTGTTTGTATTTTTTTTCCCCTTGTACCTAAATAATGAAAATGACAAATTCATTTTGGATGTACCTAGAAACTCAAGCCATCGCTTTGTTGTGCAAACTTTTCTACCAGAAATCTTGCTTGACAATCAAGTGTAGCTTATTTTCTTAAAAAAATTTTTATTTCCTTGACAATTTAGGGAGATAATTTTTTGATTTTTCATTTGGTTCAGAATCGTTTTTTCGTTAGCAATGGTTTATCGTTGATTATATAACGCAGATATATATTAAATTTCCTATAACAGTGGCTACACCCGTCTCCATTATCCTATGACGTCTTTTTCATTTTCTTTTTAGAAGCTTTAAAACTTTAAAAAAAAGAGTGGTTGGGTGAATAATTTTTTAACTATACAGTATATAGTATGCACTATACTGTATTCCTGTATGATTCCTCAGACTATTATTATTTGGATTTTATTTTGCCTATAAGACTGTAGTACATGCAGTCTACCTTGCCTCATAATTAATTCTGTATACAATACCAAAATCTTCCAATTCGGTCCACAATAGCGTTAACGTTCTTTTTACTTAGTATTTTTTTTTCATTCCCAAAAGGTAAATTCAATATTGGGTTGAATTCCAGCCTTGTTCGCATATTCACATACCCATAAAACGACACAATATTATCAAATTATCAAGCCCAGTACTGACAGTACACCATAGTACTTACTGATATGTATCATAGGAATACGACACATCTTAGAAAGGCAAAGGCAAAATTTGGAAAACTATTGTTATCGTTTAAATTTGATTTTAAAATACTTATTAAAAAAATAAAAAAGTGTCGTCTGATCATTTTGAAAATTTTACCACGTCTAGGTAAGTCCAATATAAGTATTATGATCAAGATTCAAGTTTTTATTTATAACCGAATTATAGAAAAAAACTCATAAAAATTAAAATTTCTTAAAAGCTCAAAAAAAGCTCAAGAGTTTTGGAAATGATACCGTAAGAAAGTAAATCAAAAGGGAAACAAAAAAGGAATCTTTTAAAAATCAAAAAATGATTTTTGAAAAGTTGCTACATGTAAGAATCGGAGCAAGTTTACTAGAAAAAACGTGTCCACAGACTAGCATAAAGAACAAAGAAAAAGAAGAAATAAATAGCATTGTAAAACTAATAGATCCCTCGCTTCGCCTTTCAGAATCTAAAATTATGTGTCTAGATTCAGTCTTGAAGTGTTGAATGAATATGATGTATTAATCTTAAACATTTTAGAAGCTGAAATATTTTTTTGTTATTTTTCAAAATGTTGGAAGAAGTATCTGCAAGTTGTAACTATTAACTATCTAAGTAAAATAAATTTAGTAAATAAATTTAAAAGAAATTATTTGTTTTTAATTTCAAATTACGTATATTGGGTATTTAAACGCATAGATGGTAATGTTTTAGAGCTATGAGTTCTTTCCACTAATCACAACAACAATTGAATAATTTTAATAATTCCATTAATTACACATAGAGGCAATATTTTTTCAAACGTTCATGATATATGAAAATTAATTTATAAACTCATTTAACTTAAATATTATTCAAAATACAATTTTTTAAATGAGCTTTTTAGTAGATTATAAAATAATTACCCGTCTAAGTAAAATGAAGAAAACGAGTATTTAAAAATCACTTTGCATATTACGTAACGTGCACATACGCAGGTACATTTCAATTTGTTTCGATCCAACAGTCATAATTTAATAAGGATTTTAAATACATATGAAGTTCCGCTTATCATGAGTATTTTGTCGATGGAAAATTCGCGTGCAATAATTTTCGATGAACCGATAATGACGGTTTTTATTATTATAATTTTTTTTTCTTCGTTTCGAAAACATAATAATAATAATATTAAACGCGTGCCGTTGTTATCTTTTTCGACGACAACGTCCTCATTATTCCGACGTCATGTCACCCGGGAACTTTGCCTCTCACGCTGAATCCTCCGCTCTCGCCCTCGGCCCCTTATTTACTATACATTATAGTATACCACCCGAATAGTTCACGGGTCGCCGGAGAGGAATAACGAGCTCCACGCAGCCACACCACCCGTATTTTACATAACATATCAAGTCTTTTCTGTACCTATATATTTTATTTCATGGATTTATGTTAGACTTTTTGACTGCAGCGACCGTTGTGGTATATAACACTAACATTTTCTATACACATTATTGTAATGGGATTATCAGCCTTTATGGATTATTGCCCGATATATGTACTCCGAGACCAGTTTGCGCCAAAATGAACATTTTTCTTTTTTGCCAATACACGTTTCTCCGAACCGTGTGACTTTATGCCGTTTTCAACTAGGTTTTAGGGTTATATTACTGTTCTTGTACATATTTTGAAGAACTATCAGGTTTAAATACCATAGGTTAAGTTTTTCTCATTTCCTCTCTGCTTTGCCTAAATCCGCGGTGACTTTTTATCACCTTAGAGTGCAGTATGTCCTTGGATCATTAGTATTTTTCTATATTTCTCCAAAATATAGTAAAACCTGATCGATCAAATTGTATGGTTGGGGGGTTTAAATTTTAAAACGCCAAAATATAGATAATTGATATAAACGTTATGCATATACGAAATTCCAGTAACCCAGCTTTATTTGAGTATCTGTAGGGGTGTTCAAAAGTAAATAAAAGCCCTTCTTCCGCCATTGCATATGAATTGCACGACAAAATAAATAAACATAAATTGGATAGTTCGAATTATATGCTATCTTATAGAAGGGCATACCAACGCTTTTAGAGGTCTGTTCGAATTGTACATTTTTTTTATTTTAGACTTTTATTTTCAAAAACCGAAAAATAATAACCAATCAAAATTATTTTAAAAATATTTATTTTTATTTATTCATAAAAAAATAGTTTATTTAGTCGAAAATTTATTTATCTTTTAACGACACTTTTCTAAAAGGAAATCAGACTGGAAAGGTACTTTAAGGAGGTTATTTTTTGATTTGGATAGGAGTTTTCTCAACAAATGTGAAAAACCGAAAAAAAAAACGGTGGAAAAACGGGAAAATTAACCAAATATATGTATTGGTTGAAAATATTACGGAAAATCGGTAAATATATTAAACAAATGTCATTAAAGAAAATATATAATGCCTATTTAATAATTTTATAATAATACGACAAATATAATGTTAACAAAACATTACTATCAACTGAACTCCGCTCAGAATCATTTTTTCGTTAGCAATGGTCTATTGTTGCTGACAGGTATACCAGGTGATCCATTTAAGTGGGTACACTCTTTATCTCGGAAATTGTTAAATTTTTTCGTAATTTATTTTCTAGAACATTTAAGAAACAAGCTGCTCTACAATTTTTTTTTTATGTTATTTTTTGTCGCCCGTTTTTTTTGGGGTAAAACCACTACCTGCTTTTGATTTTTAAACGGCAACCTATATTAAAAAGTCCATAAATAGATGGAGTGTTAGTCAAAATAAATGTTAGTGTTGACATTTTTGATTTCTGTCAAGCCGTTGACAAGACATTCTTCTTTTAAGTTTGGGTTGAAGGAGAGTAATAGTGCATTATTAACACGCTGCGCGTCGTATCGCCACACAAATGATACTCCACTACTTTCCTCCAACCTACACTTAAAAGTGGAATATCTTGTCAACGGATTGACGGAAATAAAAAATGTCTACATTTATATTTATTTTGACTCCATCTATTTATGGAATTATTAATGTAGATGACATTTGAAAATCAAAAGTAGGTAGTGGTTTTACTCTCAAAATAAGGGTGACAAAAAATAACACAAATATAAAATTGTAGAGTAGATTTTATATGTATTTTTTTTATGAAAAAATACATATAAATATTTTTAAATAATTTTAATTGATTTTTTTGAAAAATTAAAAGTCTAAATTAAAAAAAAAGTTGTATTATGATAAGTAAAATTGTACACAGAATGAAATTCAAACAGACCTATTCATATTGATATTAAGTTCAACTATTACGACATCAATCCGCATTTAAAAATAACTCAAATTCCTGAATTTAGGCTAATTTCAAGGACCAAAGGAGGCGTTAGAAGTCCTACAAAGTAGCGGGAAAAAGATATATTATGAAACAGATACAATACAGTGTAATAGTTTTTACTTTTGGAAAAAATTTGAAAAAAAAAAAGAACCTAATTTTATAAAGTAGCCGGTTCGTCCCATTCCGGCGAAGTGTCACAATTGGTAAAAAGTAACAAAAGACATAGTCGATGGAAAAGTGGATTGGTGGAAAAGGCTTTGGTTAATTTTGGTGGAAATATGGTTATTATGTTCCTTTAGTGCTATAAAATGTTTGAAAATCCATACCAGATTATAATTACCTGTTGTTGTAACGCGAATTTCGGCGGACTTCCGGCCCGGAGACGTTGTACAGCAGGCAACACTGGTTAGTCGACGGCCCGGCGTAATCAGAAGCGGTCGCACTAGTGGCTGAGTAAAAATGGTCATCAACGGCTGTGGCGTATCTGTATGGCGGCTGCCGTTTACAACCGGGTTCCCAATATTCATACATTTCAGCTGAAATGATCCGAAAACCGTAAGTGGGTATATTAATGGAAATAGATAGATTTTCAAAAAAAAAAAATTATAGCGACCCATCCTTTGAGTTTTAATGATTATAATGAGTTTCTATATCACAGACATATCAAGTTAATTGGTTTCGCCTTGTGCCCATGACAAACAGTCAAACAAAATGTGATAAGTATAAACGGGTATTATCGAAGAAAAAAGGACAAAATTGTAAGATTTTTTTCACGGGAATAAGTAATTTATCATTACGCATGCTAGTGATTCCTAAACTTGTACGGTCACTGTACCCTAAGAAAATAATTTGTATTTCACGAAACCCTAACTTTAACTTAATCACAATTTTTCAACTATTAATTGAAAAGACATAATGTGATAAGAAAAGTCATGAGGTGTGTGCGGAACTATTGTGATTTTTCCGTTGAACCCTTAGGTTCTACTCACTTTAGAAACTGCTGATAAATGATAAATCAATGCTTTTCACGGAAAAAAAGAAATATTTCTTTACCTGTTTTCGTTAATCAGATACTGTCTGAGAAAAATTTGTCCAAGGTGCAGTCTATATGTTTATTTTTTTACTTATATATGAATACAACGTCGTCTGAACGAATACAAGATGATCTGTTTTGTGGGTTAGTTGTTAAACAATCAGTGACGTCATTTGAAGAATTCAGACTACACTTTGGCAGCTTTCTTTTTTTTTAATGTGTTTTAGTATGCATAAAATGTTATAATGGCGCCGTCGTTGATAAAATGTAAAATGCAAAAGGTAATCGACCCTTATGTCGGCCCACTTATGACGCCTCACTGATAATGACCCTTATTCTGAGACCTTATTATAGAATTCTTATAGTTATATATATATATATAATAATTATTATACGTTTTTAGAATCTAGCGTAAAATATCGTAAATTTATACATCTATTTAAAGGTAACTCTGGGTATTATAAAAAAAACTTGTTTTGCAGAAATACAGTGGCGGTGAATAGATTTAAAAAATAATTACCAATTGAAAAAAAAAAACTCTTGTGGGTTGACAGCATTTATTTAGAGAACTGCGTTTTCGAGAAATAGAATCGTATTATTCTAAAATAATATTATTATTGGCAGGTCACAATCGTCATCAATTTGGATAATATTATGTATCTAATAATATTCCGATTCAAGTGTATTCATGTATACCTACTGTTCGGAAAAGAACATTACAAATGCATAATCACGTGTATTATGGTTAACATTGATTTAAGGAATAAGGAGTAGGGGTAAATTTTCGACTAGGGCATGATTCCAATCAATTCAATTCTCGTTCCACTCAGAATTTATAAAGTTATTATTGTTTTACTAGTTGATAATTTTATGTTTGAATTCGAATAACTTTTTTCATAGAAATGATATTCAAAAACGAAATTTTCTTTTTTATGGTGATCATTTAGTTTCTTAATTAAATATATGTCCACGTATTGTTGCTCTCGTCAAACGGCTTCTCTTTGTTAATTTAACGGTTACACAATAAATATACTTGTAATAATGGCTCGGAACTACTTGTAAACGTAATTGAAAGTGAACTTTCGAGGTGATTAAAATTATATTTTTCTAAAAAATTGACTGTACGAAATTCCTTAAATATGGGAGATATCACGTTCTCTTAAGTCTTAACTAGATATTTCTGAAAATTGACCGTAAAAATTATGAAACTCGATGAAAACCAAACCAGTTTTAGGTATAATCCTAAATATAATTATATAGTTAACAAAAAAAAGCATTAGCTTTTTTTTTGTGTAACTAAACAATAGGTATTAACCTATTGTTTAGTTACACAATTTTTTTTAACTAGTTAATGTCTCATATATTAATCTTGTTTATAGTAAGATTTCTCTATTTAGCTATCTGGCCTTCTCTACCCCCGCCCTCCAAAAAAAAACTGGAATTTTTTTCAATAAATCCGGTGAATTTGTATTTATAATCTGAGAAGGGCCAAATTAGTATGTAAACTTACTTTGATCGGGTGGAGGTATTACCAGAGACGTTTTCGGGGAACACTGGCAACACTCGTATCGAGGAACTGACCGAGCCCTAGTTCTAGCCGATTTTCCCTTTGACGGGCCCGGAACGTATACAAAGTCAGACCGCGTGGACTCCGGTCCGGTGGCCGATGACAGTGACACCACCTGGTCAGCCGAATAGTCCGTTGTATCACTCGAGTGTCTCCACGACACCTCACGCAAATCCAGGTCCCATGGATCCACGTACTTGCGGTGCTGAAAAAAGCATTACAAATTAAATATTATTATATTAGAATGAAATGGTAATAATAAAAATAATAATAAATAGGGCTTTTAATTTAACGTACTAAAAACCAGTATTTCACAAAACCACCACTGAAAGCAGTTCAAAGTACACTCGGAATTCCAAAAAAGAATTGATAATAAATGCAATACAGTATTACAATTTAAAATCTACGAGTCTCTACGATTATTTATAACCGAACTGGAACAAAATCATTAACGCGTAGTTAAACCGACGCAAACAGAGTGGCTTTCAATTCTGACAAACATAGTTCCAGCAGACCTACGAAGACTTTAACAACACTAAGGACCTGCTGATGAAAATAAACAACCTACCTAATCTTCCACTTCTTAAAGAAATTAAAGAACACTCACCCAAAAGGATAAAATCAATATTTATTCCGGAAGAAAGTGTGGTAGAAACCTGGATGAGAAGATGCCTAAACTCAGAGTGCCGTATAACTCTACCCTCATTATAAACCCAACGTTTAAGGTACCAGTATTTGATTATATATGAGCGCAATGGACTTCTTTAAACATAATCAGAACAGGACAAGGTAGGTGTAACATGTTATTGCATACATAGAGTATAATCGAATCTCCTTTTATGAAAACTGTTTGGAAAATCAAAATTTAGTATCAGCTCTTTTTAAACCTACAATAAATTTGTGTGTAAAATAAATGCGTAATCTAGAATGTCTTATAGTGTTATCCTTATGTTAATAACTCTGTCAATATTCATTTTTTTTCAATCGTGTTTTGTGCCAGGGGCGCACATACCTGTGTGTAAGGAAAAATAAAATTGTAAAATATTATTCTGAATATTTTAACGTATCATACATTTATTTTCGATTAATAGTTTCTTAGTTATAGTGTCTTTAATTTATAAAAAAATAGGCGTAAAAAAGAATTTCCGTGCCGATTGTAATTCCTTATCGCGTAACGTGTTATACTATCAAAAATTAATCGATTTCACGCCAATTTTTTAGAAATTAAAACGGCTATTATTAAGAAACGATTGATCGAATATAAATGTACTGTTACGTTAAAATTTTTAGAATAAAATTTTTCACAAAATGGCTATTTTGGAAATTTTGAAATGTAATAAAATAAAATAATTGTTTTCAATAATTGAAGGATGAAAATAAAAGTTTCAATTTTTTTTTACTTATGACCCCCTTGCACAAAACTCGATTAAAAAAAAAAATTGTAAAAATAAAATGAATATTGATAGAATTATTAGCATAAGGATCTACTAATATCACTAATATCGGATCAAGGTTAGGTGATATATATAACTGTATATATGAGTGATGAGTGATAAGTATAACAATTTGTAATTTAGGCCATAGCCCATAGGTGTAAAGAAGAGATTTTATACGAGTTGTTCAATACGATGATGCTGTAGGACGAGTTTTGTAGTCTATCGACGATTTTATTTTTCGATTTTTTTGGTTTTTTCTTAAAACATCTAATAAAGTTTTGGCGCAAATTGTCAATTATTCGATATAATAATGAATGCAATTTTGCTTTGTATTTACGTATATAATATACTCGTATATTTCGAATCGTCAGATTACCACCTATCAAACGTGGGTTTACGACAAATAATGATTTGATTTAAAATATAATATTGCAGTGGCGACTCGTGAGCGATGATGAAGGTTGTGTGACAATATGAAAAAGTTACTTTGTCTCAGTATGATTAAAAAAAAATACAATAACGCACATGGCGCATACTTTTACAATACCAAACAACATTTGTACAACTATTATAGTGATTTACCGTTCTTATTTTAAATATTATTAAAAGCCCATTATACTTGATATTTTATTATTAAAAAATGTTGCGTTTTGCCAATACTGTACATATATATATATGGCAACCGCTTTTACACACACTCGCCATTTTGTGCTCATCGGCGTATTGAAACCTGGTACTCCCGTGACAGTATATCATAGGCGCGTTACACACGATCATTCGTCAAAACTAATAGTGAAATATTGTGTGTTATTGAAAAATATTTCCGTGTAATATTAAAATATAAATAGTACGAAGCGATTTGAACGACCGTCGCGGTATCTTTAATTCGGTCACATGCATTACGTCGCACACAGCTATTACTTATTGCCAAATTGATCATTCGCCCAAAACACCACAAATTCACCGTAAAACTAGCAAACTATTGTCCGGTAAATACTAAATAGTATGCTTACTACTGTACACGGAAAAAAAATGTTTCGTATTTCTGTATTATCTTGAAAATTTCGATTGCAAAATCAAAAAAAAAAAAAAACAATTAACTCTGATTTGAACGGGTTAGTTTCTTGAGGACTTTATGTACGTAATGATATTTTTTTGCATTATAGAATTAGAATATATTGAATATAGAAACCATATTCAAGGAAGGAACTTCCCCTGGAATCATTTCTCGTCCAACTGTAACGACTGCGAGTGTGTCTAGAAGGAGTTTGGTTGTCTTGTATTCAGAATCCATATTGCACATTCTCCCACGATTAATCTCTCAACCTTCATGAGTTAGGTCTTCCCAGACTTGCTGAACGTATACATATTTCACTATCTTCCCGTTCTTGTCCAATTTCCTTTCTGTCACAACTCTCTTTTAAAATACAAAATTTTGCCCGGGCCTGTCTGTCCGTTGTTCATATGCGCTATTATAATCATATGCAATAATTTATTTGTCGACGTACATTACATTTTATTATCTTTTTTTTTTAAATTTATCTATTATACGCCATCTTTTACGCGTTTACTTCCTTGATGCGACTTTGGGACGTAAAACTTTTATACGGAGTAAGTTTTTATTTTCTTTAACTGTTCATCGTAAATAAAAACTTATGTATACATATAAAAAACATGTATATTTTATTTTAAATATAAACGACCGTCGTAATAGTTATAAATAGTTTTTGAATTTTTAAACGATAAACATGAGGTATGAAGTAGGTATTTGTAGATGTAGGTGTATGCGTGTTTTTGGTTGACCCTACCGATGGGAACAATAAAACAATTAATCAGGAACCTTAATGGGAGTTTATATTGTGCAACTAAACGTTATCTCCTACGCGTTCAGGTTCTATTTAGTATACTTAAATGTAAAACTATTTTGGCGGTTCACAGTACAGGCACAATGAACCGAGGAAAATTGTTAAAAAAAGTTGAAGCCTCGCAAGGACGATAATCTCCACTATTGAAAAAGTATAAAACCGTTAAAAGTTTAACAGATTTTATTTCCAGGTAGATAAAATAATCAGGTAGGTTATTGATATCAATTGTTTTAGATAGGTACTGAGTAAGTGAAGCGGTTAGTTTTACTGAAATATTATGTGCTATTTGTAAAATTGCATTTAACCGGAAGACTTGGTCCAATTGAAATTTTATAAAAACTGTTTTATAGCATTTCGAATTTATTTTAATACGCATTTCAGAGGTTGTTGGTTTTTTTTTTATAACACCATGCACTTTTTCTATTATCGAGGAAAAACGGGAATATGAACGTTCAACATAGTATAGTTTTTTAAAATTAATTTCGATGAGATCCCATATAAGAAACAAGCGTAGAGACCTGACCTTTTATATTGACGTGGTATGATTCCCAAAATATTTTCGCTTACGGACGCTCGAAAATTTGATACAAGAGGATCATCGCACGTATTCTATACAACAGCAGGGATTATAGTTATTCTAATCGTACGTAAGAAGGTTTTTTTTTTTAAAATAGTGTTTAGATGCTGATTAAATTTTTCGAAAATAGTAACTATTATTTTAATGTAGTGACCAGTCGATTTTGATAATGATTAGGGCTCGGGACTTATTATACTTAAAATTGACAAAAAAGCACTCCGAGCAAATATTATATTACAACGAATAATAGAAGGGTTCAATGGTCCCCTGTCTAAAGATTCTCAAAGTTATTAAACATACAATTTTTTAACACGATGCAAATGATTAACAAAAAATTATTTTGTTTAAATAAAATTGTACTTATTATAAAAAAAAAAAAAAAAATTAATTCGGGTTGATAATTTGTTAGACAGTTGTATTCAATAAGTCAAAGCCGTTAGAGGGGGGAACATTTAAACGCTTCTACCGTTTTTATTTTTTTTTTAAAAATATTTTTCAAGTGTTTTTTTCAGAGTTTTTTGACGTTTTTTTAGCGGTTTTTCGTGGACTTCAAGCGCAATAAGTTCCCGGCCGTAATATAATGACGCTGCTACAAGTGCGGCGAAAAATTATCATACGTTATATATACGGGGGTGCTTACCGTCATCGTGCCGGAAGACGAATCGGACATCGCGCGCGGCGAAGGCGGCGTGGCGGCGGATGCGGCGGCGTACTGTTGCGGCGGCGACCAGCGTCTCGGACCTCGGATCGCGGTCGCGGTGCTGTTGTACGTCATGAAGAAACCGCTGCCGATCGTGTGGCACCGCGGAATAATAAAGAAAAACGCGAGCGAGCGAGGACTCCGGCCGGGCTGTATTGGCGGACAGTCGGGTAGATACTTACGTTACTTTCTTCTTTCGAAACCCGCGTCAGACTTCACGGTGTGTGTGTGCGTGTGTGCGTGTGTGCGTGTGTGCGTGCGTGTGCTCGCGCGCCGCGTTAACGCGTGACCACCGTGAAAAATCGCCGCGTGGAGGGATATAACACGTGGCGGTATCTGTAACGCGATTGTAACACCGTAATAATGTACATTATTATTATTATTGTTATTATTGTTATTGTACCGTATTGCGGGTAATGTAAGAAATAAATTGGAAACGGACGGAATTCCGTTTGATTTTTCCTGTCCTCCGCGCGCCCGTTACGAAATCCGGTGAAAATCCGCGCGTCGCAATAGTAGCACGCGTGTTATTGCGGGGTACGCGGCGCGGCACCGCGGCGTGTATTATCACCGCCGTGCGACCGTCCGCAACCCAACGGGCCGCAGCATTCATTATTATTGTACGCGGCGCGTCGTCGCCTGCCGGTACGTACGAACCCGCCGGAACGATGTTATTCGCCTTAATCGCTCGGATTATTATTATTATTATTTTTTTTTTTTTTCCGTCTTCCTTATTGCTGTTAATACACGTTTTCGGATTCCGTTTCGCGCTGCTCCCGATGTCTGTACGAGTCTTGTACCAGTCTTTATAATACACACACACACACACACACACACACACACACATATATATCATTTACAGAGTGGCCGAAATTTAATTTTACATCGGTTTGCACGCAGGCAGTGTAACGAATGCAAAATAGAGAACAATTCACGTTCATAATGCCGTATAATCCGAAATTATGCGCGGGCTTAAAATGTCGCCGTTTTTCCGGCGAAGGGAGACTTTGAATTCAGGTCTCGGAATTTAAATTCATTTTTTTCGACTCTGTGTGCGGCGATAGTTTTACAATGATATTTTTGATTTTGACTTTTGGTTTTCCTTTGGACGACTTTTATATCAGCAATTTCGCTCCGATTTACAACCACAGCACTTTTTCCGTAAGTAAATCCAACTCGGGAGGTACTTTAAGGAGGTTATTTTTCGATTTTTTCAAAGGTTTTCCGAACACGTGTGAAAAACCATGAAAAAACATGGGAAAACTAGGAAAAACGTAGGGAAAACGGAAAAATAAGTACGATATTAAACAAATATTATAAACGAAAACATATTCCTATTTAATTGTTTTACCATTATATGACGTATATATGTATTATTGGAAAAATCAACACTATTAACCGAACTCCGTTCATAATCATTTTAATCGCTGCCTACAGATATATATTAAATTTTCCCTCTACTATCTTCCCAACTTCTCACCTACAACAGTGGCCCATCCACGTGCGAAGTATGTCCGACTTTTTGTATATATCTGCACGGAATGTATTGTTTTACAATGATTTTTTTTTTTTCAGACCATTAATTGTACTATAATTCGTATCGATTTTTACCACCGAGTTCAGAATTCATCACCTTTTCTGAAAAGAAATGTCGTCTGATTGGTGCGTTAAGCAGGTCATTTCTTAATTTTCCAAGGGGTTTTCATAGTTTTTGGGATAAATCGGGTTAAAATTAAGGAAAAACAGAAAAATGTACTTATTTCTATAAAAGAAACTTTATTCCTAATCGTTTTTTGTTAGCAATGGTTTATCGTTGCATACAGGTATAAATTAAATCCCTCTCTATATCCCACCCAACTTCTCATCTAAAACAGTGGTCCATCCACCAAGTGAAGTATGTCCGCCTTTTTCAAACGGACTTTGGTGGTTGAAAACCATATTTGAATGCAAAACTTTTTGCTTGTGAGCGATTTAAAGGTTTTAAAAACTGTCTAACCACCAATTAACAATAGTAAATATTTTCAGCTCGAAAATAATTTAAGACTACTTGTGTACTATTTAATACGACTTGTTCATAATACATGTTTCTCTATTTCGCATATTTGTGCGGGAAAATGTCTGTTAACGTACAATATTCTGACCATGTTGTAAGCATATTATGATACACCAGAATTATAATAATAAAATTGGATATATAGAGCACGTGACGGGACGTCATATATAAAAAAAAATTCTCATCATACTGTACCTATATACTCTGTAATATTATTATAATTTGAGCGCACGATGATGATAAGGTAAAAATTTGAATAACCGTGGCGATTCGGTCTTCTATATAGATGCATATTTTCAAAATATTAACCGTTAATTTAGAACAATAATAAATACTGTGACTTAAAATGTAGATATTGATAAAAAAATATCCAGCACGTTACGCTCCAAATGGGCAAACTGTACCGGTTTTTTTGTATTTTAATCGTCATTATAATATTATACACTAAATACTTATTACTCGGGTGGTTTTGTAGAAATTATACGTGCCTGGGTTTGGGAAAAAAATAGCCGTTAGAAGACGTTGCCCGGGGCACATCACATAGAGGTTTTTTCCATGTACCTCAAATATGGTACTGGTGGTACCCGGCCTGGTGAAATTTAATCTATTCAAAGAAAGTGAATACTGTCAAAGAAACCACATGCCGGCTAATTACAGGATGCCTTCGAAATACTCAAATAAACAAAGTTTATTTACTAGCGGATATTCCACCATTATCGGTCCGATGTCTGATATCTGTTAAAATAGAACGCGGTACACGAATTAGAGATACAAGACGCACTATGCACGGCAAAAACGCCTCGATTGAAATCAAGGAAGTCTTTTCTGAAGATTACTAAAGAGCTAACAAAAATATGATTTACACTTTGTTTTCGATGGAACCGTCGGTCTTTTTTATTATACCTTCGCACAGCATCCTGACTGACTTTGGGATTTTTTTGCAGATCGTGAAACAGAAGCTCTGTTTACATCAGGATTTTCGTTGTATCTTTTTACTGCTTTTTTTTATGAACTTCTAGATTTTATCTGTATATTTTTTTACGCCTTCTTTATCTTTTTGTTTCTTAATTCTGTCATTTACCATTGAGCAACGTTTTTTCTTTCTTTTTTTCTCTGTGGAACTATTATCTGATAGAGTCAAGCTCGGGAACCTAAAACTTGAATTTATTTTATTTTATTACCATTTAATAATCGATAGTAAAGTATTATTAGAAATGTTGGGTACAACAAAATTAAAAAATTATATTATATTATATATAATTTACTAAAAATGTTGTTAGCGTAAACTGTAGATTTTTTTTATTTTTAAGAGATATTTTGACCGTTCACCGTGATCCTAGAGGCCAAATAAACCCAAACAATAATGACATTATTACGTATTTTATGTTTTCACGGTAGAGGGGGAGAAGGAGCAGGTAGTTTCATTTTTTTATCGAGAAGATTACATTATTTTATATAATAGCCTAGAAATGTTATCATTATATCATTATATGACGATGATCGTTGATTCGAGAGCGTATATTTTTTTACATTTTTTTTGTCTTGTTTAAAATTTCCCTTACAATAGAGTATTCTCTTTGTAAAAAAATATTGTCGTGGACGAGTTTCAACAATTAGTTTTAATTTTGTAACGAATTTTATGGTAGCACGATTTTTTTTTTCTATAGTCATTTTTTAAACACAATCACAATTATTCGCAAGTTTACTCGTATAGTTATATCGGCCTTGATTATCATAATTTTCGTATTTTGTTTATTTCTGTGCATTGGATTAGGTAATTGACCATTGTATACTAGTATAAATAGTATTTGTTAATATTGTGTACAAAAAATACAATACACATTTTATATCACTCATATAATCTTTACGTTTAAAATGTAAAAACTACAACAAAAAACAACTTTATTACTAAAACGATATGGAGATTCTGTTGTCAGTAAAAGGATATTTTAACGTATTCAATTTTTTCTACTCATCAAAATACGATCATTACATTATACATTCATAAATGAATGTTATGCGAAAGTGAATTTTATAAATATGTGATTGTTTACGTCTCATTTGACTTTTTCGGTCAATTAAAAGGTTTATTCCCATTTTGCCGAAAGAAAAACCGATTTTATCAGGTATTAAAAATCCTTTTGGCTCAAATATAAACAATTAAACATAAATTACCGTATGATGGGTATTTATAGTATGATACTCAACTTTTCACCGTCAAAAGTGGCTTACTTGGTTACTTACGATGCGAAGTATGCTCTCTACTTATTTCAAAAATATATTGTATATATATATATAAAAGAAATGCATTTCGGATTGTCTAGAAATAAATATCTGCTTTTTAAACATCGAATTAATAATAATAATAATAATAATAATAAAAAACAAACAAAATCAATTTATAAGATGAAAATCAAAATAAGCTGAGAAGAAATTGTTATTGGTAGGCACCTAACTATACCGGATGACGAGCCGCTGTTTTGGATGGACAAAAGTGGTGGTTTTCGTTTTTAATTTATTAGGTTTACATCAAAACGATCCATATAATTTAATTTCGAAGATGGTTTTTAAACGAGATCAGTTTATCGTTTATGTGGTTGTCCCGAAAATAGCCGATGGATACATTAATTTCGTTCTTATATGTAAGTATAATGTATATATAAAAGATTCGACAAATGTACGGGTTATTCGTAGATGTAATACACTTACTAATGTTATATCATAGTAAAAAAAAAAAAAAGAAAAAAACCAGAAGTACGTATCTTGAAACCGAGATTTTGTCACTCTTTTCGGGTTTAATTGCAGTATTTTTTTTTTTTTTTTGTAAATCGCTTTCTTGACCACGACTTATAAGTACATTAGGTCAATGTGGCTAAAATGTAATTGATGTGTAGGTAAGTCTTCTTTCGACTTATTTATTTATTTATTTTTTTTTAAACTTTGACTCCATCACCGCCGACTGGTCACACAATAAAAATGTAATTTATCACGTAGAAGGTATACAAGTTAAGCTGAGTATTTG